TTTTAGCCAGAAAAATATTGCCTAAGCCATACTAGATGTTTAAACCTTAGGACCATATATGAGAAAAATCTTCAGGTTTGCATAATGTTTATCTGGATAAAATATTGAGTTAGCCGTTTTTAAAAATCGGCTCAAATGGAGCCGTTTAACAACATTTTATTTTATATTTTTTTTAATTCATCACTTATTGACAAGTTTGTAACTGGACCCAGACCTGGAACCGATGGAACCATGTCAGATATAAGAACGTCAATCAGAAGGATCTCTTTAAAAAAAATTGGTACAGGAGCCAAAATTTTACTAGACAACGACCTGGAGATATATCGTAGGAAAATATGGATGTGAAGTTGGACTTCTATTTCGGAATTTTGGAAAATATTTTCGGTAAAACCGTGTATTTAAAACACGGGAAAAATGTGGCAATACTGTCCCCAGTACTGTATGGTGTAGATATTAATCAATCATACATATAAAATGTATGCACTTTAAAACCTATATTGATATATGTCCTCGATTTAAGAGATTAAAAATCATAAATTATTTAGTATCATAACTAAAAAGGAAAAAAAACGCATCTACTTTATGGTTATTAATTATTGTGTTATTTTAATGTAATATAATTAAGATATTTTTATTCTCATAATCTACTTTAAAAAAAAATTTAGTCAAAGATTTGTATATTTTCTTATAAATTTTTTTGAAGTTATTTATGAATAATAATTTATGTAAGATGGCATTTTTCAAAATTATATAACGCAACCTTCTGTATAGTTTTATAAATCAAATATAAATGATGTATATATTTGTATCAAACTTAAAATAATGGATATGTTTTTTATTGATTAATATTAAATTAAAGTTAAAAATATAAGATAAGATATCTTATCCTCAACCTTATAGGAGTATCCAAGGAGAGGGGGGGGGGTGAAGATTGTGAGTGAAAGAACCCCCCCCCCTGACCAAAATTTTAAATATATAAAATTCAAATACAAAACTAAAAAAAAATATTTTGAGAAAACATTTCTCATGTTTATAATATGCCAAAGTTATAAAATAATAAGTAATGTAACATGCTGAACGTTGTTTCTTTTATTTTAGACAAATTTAAACGATATTTCATTTTTATGACCTATGTTCATTTATTTTTGTAAAAGTTAAAATTTGATTTTTTAAAAAAAAAGATCTCGGTGGCTTATACCTATTTCCTTTAAATATTTTTTAGCATCCTTTCCTTTTTCACAAGTGTCTATTTTAAATATGTTTTATATTTTATAATTACGTTTTTGGCTTATAAATTATTTTATAGATAGACAAAATCATTCGGCTTCAGCTTTCGTATCATTGCCGTGGCTAATTACAATAAATCTTTCCAAAGCAAACAGGAAAGTTTTCCTTCAATTCTTTTGAATTAATGAGATTTAAGAAATTTGTAGAGCACACAGATACAAATATTATGGAAAAAAAAATAGAACCAATAGTACAGAAAAGATATTGATATTTTGCACAAAAAATCAAATGGTGAAGATATGATGCAGCAATTATTTATTGGAATCGATTTAAGTATGAAGGAGGTGGGCATCATACTTTTTCTGCAATAATATCCTAGAGTCATCCATTTTATCTGGTGATTAAAAAAAAAGAGGAAACCTTTCGCCAAAATACCCCGTTTTATAAAATTGATTATTAAAATCAATTGAAAAAAATGGTATGAATATCTGATCAAAGATAAAATATCAAATTCGAGTAAACGATAGAGCTACATCAATACACAGAGGGTTATCAATGGTAAATCGATAAAAAATATAATATCAATCACGTGTAATAATTCACTGGAATATTATTGTTCACACCGGATAATAGAATTAGAATTTCAAAAGAAGAAATTGATAAAGTTTTTTTAAAATTTGCTGTAATATCTGCTGCTGTGGATCGTTAACATTATCAAGGGGTTAGAGGAATGCTAAAAATCGCTATACACACGCACTCAGTGATTAATTTCTTATTTAGTTTAAATTTAAGAATATTGTTATCGTTCGTTATTATAATCGATTTGAAATAAACAATATAATTAAAAAAAATAATAAATTATTTTACATAGAAAATGTGGAATTAATCTTGTTTCTTGAGAAGGCGTGTTAATTTTAGACAAAACAAAAATTAAATTATTTAATAGATAAATGATTAGTTTTGAAATGTACAGCGGTATAAAAAAAGTGGTTAATATAAGAACGGTATTCATTATAAGATCACTACTATAAGGATAGACACTATGGCATTGTTATTCTAAGAAAATGATAACTTTATAAAAAGTTGATCACTATTATAAAATAGCATGGTATCTAAGATTTTATTTCGCGGAAAAGGGGAGTTGATACCTCCTTAAATACCTTGGGCTTGCTATTATTATGAGATAATCACTTAATAGAAGTTATCACCATAAGGAGGTTATCTAGATGTCTGCAATGGGCGGGTTTTTACCCTAAAGCCCATGCCCATTGTTTAAAATCTTTTGGCCCGCCTGTCCACACTCACCCGTAGAATGTGCGGGTGTGGGCGTATGAGATAAAAACCAGCCCATGAAGACATCTAATTATTATATAATTGTATAAATTGTATCCCAAAACTAAATACAATTAATTTAAAATTATTAGATTATCGTGATCACTATGAGTGTCATCACAAGAATATTGTCACTAAAAAGATGTAGTATCGCTAAATAGGCTCATTACTCATTAGGTATTATGATTAATAACATAAAGAAAATAAAATTATATTGGTAACAACAAAAATGGATGATTTTCATAATTTACCAAAAAATATATATTATTTAAAAAATGTCCCTTTTTTATTAACAAATTATATTTTTTATTAGTCTAATTTTATTTTTTAACTGATCACAAAATGATTATAGTCCAACTCAAAGAAACTGCAGTTGTAACCGCTGATTCATTTAAATTTCTATTCATTTATTTATAATCACACGACCTGTCAAGTTTGACGGATTATTAATATAGGATTAAATTATATTTTTTTAAAAAACCAATTTAAACCCAAACCCATATATCCTAAACCTTTAAATAACCCTACTAACCCATATCTCTCTACATTTAATCCTACTTTTTTACCAGGGTTTCGAACCTAACCCGAAGCAGAAAACCCAGGTTTTTAGAGAAAAATCGGAACCCGAACTGAAACCGGGAATTTATTTAAACCCGGGTTCAACCGAGTTCAGTGTATTGTTTAAAATAATATATTAAGATATTTGTATAATTTTAATATTTTAATATTGATAATTTAATTGAGATTATATAATAATTTCAAATTTCCAATTAAGTGAGGTGTTAATAAATTTTAAATAACTTAATTCATTTAGGCCGTTTTAAAAAATTTTTAACTAATTCTCAAAGATTATTAATTAGAGGAAAATAAAAGTTAACAAGTCAAAATAAAAATTATTATATTGGATATTGTTAATTTAAAGAAATATGTCTAAATAAAAATTTTTAAATTGACACATGACTGCTTTGTATTTTCAACTATATTTCGCCTATAAATAAAATAAAAAATTTATTTTTTATACCAAATTTATATCTAGTTTTTTAATTAATGATTTAAATATAGAATGTTTTTTTATCAATTCAAAAATTTTTAAATCCGAGCTGAACCCGGAACCTAACGGGTTCAAAAATATTTCCCTGAACCGAACCGAACCCGAACCGATACAGGGCAAAAATTTTGCCGGGTTCGCATTCCTGCTTTTTACAATCAAATTGTTTAATTTTAGATACATTTCATCCAATTAAATTTCCTTCACTTAATCATCATAAGAATATAGACCAAATTTTTATTAAAAAATTATATTCTATTATTAATACAGAAAAAAATTTACTAATTTTATGCTGGTAAAAAAAAAATATTGAGAAATTCGTTAAAATAATGTAGGCTTCAAATTATTAGCCTTCTTATTTTTGCAATCGAAATTTTCAATCAATCGGAAAAAAGACAAGAAAAAATACATTTACATTATAATAAAATTAATATTGTTTATCTTTTGTTTTCATTTTTCTTTTTTTTTGGAAAAACTTATTATATCAAAAAATTGGTAACTACATTAAATCGAATTTAATGTAATAATTTATTTCTCATTTTTTTTAAAAAAAATTCCAGATTTTTAATGAGATTTTATATCTTAGTATTTCGAGAGTCGACTATTAATAAATTTACATATTTATCATACTTTTTTATATGTAAGAACATCTTCACGATGACCACAGCTTTATCTTGACCAATTTAGATGCAACTCTTCCTCTTAAAATCTTATTTAAAATTGTGCCATCAAAAATGTTTTACTATATTCACCAAAATTTAACTAGTCCTTAAGTGGTCATTTTATAGAAGTTTCATTATATTATATATATATTTTTTTTCCTTCATTGCGATTTGGATTTTATTAATATTTTTATCTTTTTAATCAATAAAAATGTATAAAATTTCTTTTGGTTCATATTTTTTTTAGTTAAAAATTTCTTTTTTTTCCCCAAAAAAAAATAACGTATGCATTTACTATTTTTTAAGTGTAAAAATATTTTTCATCTAACATTTGCGACATTATCCATAAATTTGATTATTTCTAAGGCCATAATTGACAATCAAAAAATAGACACTAAAGGTTTTTTTTAAATTTTCTTTTAAGATTTAAATTATTAAAATCAAGATAAATTTCTCTAATCAAAAAAAAAAATTTAAAAATTGGGCTAAAATTGATCAGGAAAAAAAATATATATATGATTGCAATTTGTATTTGTGGGTTTGGTTTGAGTGTTTAACACGTTTTTGCTATTTCAATTTAAAGAATCTTAATACGAAAAAATTTGCTAAAAAGAATGGGAGAAAGAAGAAAAAATATTTACTAATGAAGACCTTCATGCCATCAAAAACGAATTTATAACGATATTATAAATTGTATTATATATTTATTTTATTTTTTTAAATCATTTAAGTTACTCCTGGAAAATTCGACGAAACGGAATACAGATTAATTCGATATTTGATGAGTGATTATGACAAACACATAAGACCTTCGGTTAGAGCTACCTTACCTATCAACGTTTCTTTTGGATTATCGTTGACTCAAATTATAAATGTGGTAAATAAAAAAATTATATTATTGTTTTAATTCACAAACATTTTAATTTAATCAGATTTGAGAAGAATAAAATCATATATCATTAGATTCTTTAAAAACTTAAATATTTTTTTAAATTAAATTGATTGAAAATTACTGAATAAAAGCATTAAATAACAATAATATTATATTTAGAGTTATAGGTAGTTGTGTCAAACGGCTCTATTTTTAAAAAACGGCTAGCCCAAATATTTTAACCAAAAACCCAAGCCCTAGAGATTTCCCTCATTGGTGTTAGAAAGGTTTTATTAACTAAATCTTAAGACTTGCATGTAACAATTATTTTATCGTGTTAAAACAAATTATTTAACAAACTAGTAGCATTAAGTAGCAAGGAAACATAATGGTTTTGTCTAAATTTAAATGAATGTACCCTAATTCAGTGCTGGAACTTAAGATTTGTAAATAATTTTCAATTTCTACTTCATACAATTTTTGATAATTTTTTAGAAATAATAATTTTATAATTTTGGCGAAAATAAATTAAATTTTAAGAAAAAATAAAAAAAATTTTAGTTTTTCGATGGTTTTTTGATGTTCCATTTTTTCCAGGCTTCCAGTTAGTTTAATTTACACTAAATTCTTTCATGACGTTGGAGAAAATTTGTTTTATGTATATCATAATTCAGAAGTTTTTGAGATTTTGGCTTTTGCATATTTTATAAAAAGTTGGCTTTTGCATATTTGATAAAAAGCATTTTGCTTAAATAAATAGAATAGAAATAAGTTAGGCGCGTAACTAGAAATATTATAAGGGTGGATAATTTTATTTATATTTTTTGGAAATTTAAAAATTTACTGTGACTGATCGTCATATATATTTTTTAAAAAAATGACAATATACAAAATATTTAAGAGCAAATGCAATTTTGTTAAAAAATAATATCTGGTATGTAAATCACAGTATAATATAGAATTAAACATTATATAAATGATTAAAAAGTTAATCAAAATATAATTCATAAATGAAAATGTAAACTTCTTTTCGATTACGCCAATTTTTCAATAATTTGTGGGGATTTAATTCTCGATGTAAATTAAGTAAAGCGCCAGCCCATTCAATGATTATAAGATGTCGTACTTTTGAGATAGGTTTCTCCGTAATAAAGAAAAATTCCTTTCTTTTGTGCTTGTCCTAATTGGTATTATTTGCCAAAATATACACTAATTTTATATTTAGAAAATAACTCCAAAATATATTTTAAAGTGCCCAGTGTTCCATTGCGTTTCTTTAAGGATTATTTAAAATAAATCTTTCATACCAAGATTTAAATTCTGAAAATAATTGACCTTCAGATACATTTATATCCTATGAATAAATAGCTGGATATTTAATTTTTTCAATGTCAAGATTTAATATATCCTTACAAGGATTTATAGGTAATAATATTTGTATATTAGATAGAGCTATTTGATGAATGTCAAATCGTTCATTGATTTGAGTCAAAAATGTATCCAAAAGTGAAATAAAAACGGTTAGTTTATAGTATTTCTCAATTGTATATGGAATAATTTGTTTGTCAAAAGGCTTGCGAATTTCAAAATCATATAATTTCACCTCAACAAACATATAAATCTCGTGAAATATTTGGTCGATGCCAACTTTTATTTTTCTAAGTTGTATTATATAATAATATTTTCGATTCTCATATCCTCAGCGAAATCAATATCATTTTTATAAAAAATATTGTACAAAACTGTTGTGTAATCAGGGGTGGACTGGCCATAAGACCAGGTGGGCATTTTGCCCACGAGGCCGCGTGAAAATGTCGATTTTTGAGGCCGATCAGAGGAAAATATCAAAAAAGTGGCCGATTGGAAAAAAAAAATATTATTATGTTCACATTTTTTTCTCTTATCATTTATTTATTTTTAATGATATCTCTATGATTTGAATATCACATTCCTTGACAATCGTCATGTCGTTTACTATAATTTAATGCATAAAATATCAGTAACGTCGCTTGACGCTATACATCATTATCACGTTCTTTCAACGCTTTTGTTTGAGTAGAATGAAAGCTAAGTTTTGATTAATTCATTATATTACATTTTTATACATTGATTTATTGTAGAAATAATATAGCCAACATTTCTTGTTCTTAATTCATTGAAATCAAATAAAATCCTGGTCGGTGAATCAGATAAAAGGATGGATGCTTGGGTAAAATAGAATAATTCATCCGGCTAAAATAAGTTAGGAAAGCTGCAAAAAATAGGTTATATAAGGTAGTGGGCACGTGAAAAAGCCCGTAGAGGATATATGGTAAAGAGAGCTTGCTCCCAATAACGACAAATGCACTTCAATTTATAATAGATAATAAATCATTTGAGACAAAACTTGATAATTTATGTAAATTTAAGACTCTAAGTACAGCTATAATATATTTTTAAATTTTTGAAATAATGGGGCCACTGTCATATCTTCAAACTAAAAAATTAGTTAATTTGTCAGCATGGAAAATGATAGAAGATGTCAAGTAGTCTTCTGTATCATTGATTATTACATCGATTCAAAATAAAGCAATAAAATGACTTCTAATTTAAATGAAACACTTTAATATTTAAAGCTCCTGGAGAGTATCAGGGTACAGAATGCTCTGCCAAATAATCAAATAGGACGAGTGAAGAGAATATATAGTAACAAATGCCAAGATAAACGTCCTCAAATTTCAATTGATCTTTATAGGTTCGGAGTATTCGTCCTATAATTGATCAAATTATAAACAGCTTGTCGGAACGGCTCTCTGCGAATTGAGAACTTATTTTGAATGTGCAATATTTGCATCCTAGACATTTTGATGAAATAAATAGTAAAGATATATATTTAGTGTTAAATTACGTAACGAATAATGTTCATTTGCTAGTGTATTCAAAGATTTGGTAGCAGAATTAAATGAAAGGACGATGATCTTATGTACAAGTTAGGAGTCAAATGAAAAGATAGAATATTACAATATGATAATAACTCAGAGTGTGATAATAAATGTAACTGATGTAACAAGTGTTTAATATGCGTGTATGATTTTAAAAGTTGCAATATGCATACAAGTGACACTAATTTATTTTGGCATATGAATACATTTTAACTTTGTCATTTACGCAGGTTAATTCCGAAAAAACATTTAGTAAATTAAAAATTATAAAAATAAGCTGAGAGCTAATATTGACCCAGAAAAATTAGAAGCGTTTTTAATGTCAGTTGAATGAGAACCATTAGAGCAGATTGAACTAGAAGATATTCTTGTATATTTACGCAAAGGTTCAAAGTTAATGAGAAATTGATTAACGTAAAAATTATATATTTCCTTAATTCTTTCATTTGAATTTTGTTAATAACTATTTACAATATGTTCAGTGCCTGATTTTATACGTGCAGCAATTTACGCTCTAATATTGTATAACTGTAACAATTTTATATGTGTAATTAATTGATTTGATATATTGAGTATGTATTTTTTTATATTTAACATGTGATGTATGATTTGATTATAGTGCAATATCGTTATAAATCTAATATAAAATATATATGTGCAATGAATATTATTTTATATTAGTAATGAATATGATTTTAGATGAGCATTTTTTAAAAATAAAATTTTTTACTAAAAATGTAAATCTTTTGAACTTATTTTCAAAAATAGGAAGTAATAAAAATTATGTAAATCGAAGAAGCCATATAAGGTAACCTGGTCGAAGACCAGGCAAAAGCGGGCCGAAGGCCCGCAAAATGGGGCTGTAGCGTCGCCAGTCCGCCCCTATGTGTAATTAAATAATTTATTAATACGTTCATAAATAATGTCTCAGCATCAGGTGAAATGTCGGGTTCAGACAATCTATTTTTCCAAGGGCACTCAAAATAGGCTCTTCTAGTCTAAAAGTTCTGCAACAGCTTGATGTTGAAGGCTCCATATTGTAGGACATACTTTTTGCAGTCTTTTTTTTCATGTAGCACAAGAAGTCCCAGAAATAATTCTATTCAAATTTTGTCTCTTTGGATATCTGAACATTTCATACACTCGAAATTTTGCCTATATTAGTAAAGACAAATAAAATAAAAAATTTTTGGTCGATAAAATTTTTAAATTCAATGTAAGAAAATATCAGAGTTGTTAATCGCTACTTTTAAAAGTAGCGCGCTACCGCTATCGCTATTTATCAAAAAAATTAGCGCGCTATACCGCTATCGCTATTTGTCAAAAAAAGTAGCACGCTATTAGCTAATTTTTATAAAAAAAAAATTAGAAACAAATTTGTTTTATTTTTTGCTTATAATGTTATTGTATAGTAAATATATAAAAATCAAATTTATAAATATTAAAATATAGTTAGTTTTGATCATAAAAAAATTTATGCAATAAAAATAAATATTTATGGTAATTTGTTATATTTTATAAGTTTTTACCTTGTGTTATGTGTCCAAATATCTGCCGTGGTACATATATATGTGATATCTCTGATAACTCTACTATTAGAACATACTTCATCACTTTAAAGTAATCTGCCATTTTATTCATTAGTGTCTAGCGACATAAAATGTACCTGGGGATAGAGTTTTAATCATCATGGTAAATGATGGATTATCAACCAAGGACATAGGCTGAACTGTATCAATTATAAAATCTACAATAACTATCAGCCAATTTCTGAGAAATATTGGCATTTGTATTATTTATTAATTTGGCTTGAATTGAATTGAATTAGTCTTTTTGGATGTAGAGTCGCCTATACCAAAATTATTTAGATGTTTCTCCATTTCCTTAAAACAATTGGCATGAACAGTCTTATAAAACAAATACTATTATATTGTAAAAATATCAATTTACCTTTGGGTGTTTCTTGAGGTTATATAACTGGATTGATTTGAGGAAATATTTTTTTTACATTTTAAACAAATAAATTTGAAGCCATTTATAGTTTTTATATTTATTTTAAAAAAAATTCCAAATCTAGGAAATGGGAAATTTTTATTATAGCTATTAAGAACTTTTTCTTCCCTGGTATCTTCCATTTCATTAATATCATTGTCTGAATCACTTTCAACGATTTGGATATCCATAGGCGATGACATTTTAAATTATTAACACGTGATTTAGGTTTATAATACAAATGAAAATATAAATTACAAATTGAAAATATATTTCAATTTCAAAATTAAATATATAAATCATAAAAATTATAATTAATTATGATATTATATTTAAATCATGTTTATACTTACCTTCATTATATTTTTTGAAAGTAGCTAAATAGCGCTACTTAGCTACTTTCAAAAAAAGCGCGCTAAAAAATTAAATAATTACAAAAAGAGTAGCCGCTATTAGCTATAGCTACTAAAAAAGATAGCGCGATACAAGTAGCTTGCTACTTTAAAAACTCTGGAAAATATACCTTAAAATTTTAGTAGTATAAAATATTATAGAATAATTATTTAAATTTAATTATAACCTTTTACCTTAAAATAGAATATAAACCTATTTATAAAATAGACTTTGCAAATCATAATTGATTAAAACCTATAATGTTTTTTTCAAAAATATTTTATACGCCCCCTCCCCCCTCCACTAGCTACTCGCCTGAAAGCAACATTTTAAAATAAATTTACTGTTTTGTATTTTAGGATGAAAGAAATCAAGTTTTGACGACAAGTTGCTGGTTAAATCAAGTAATATTTTTCTTTCAAATTATACAAAAATTGGATATGACATTAGACTAGACAGGCATTTGTGTAAGGAAGATAGGGGGTAATCGGCGCAATTTTTTTTCAAAATCTTCATAGGTCTGGAAAATAATTGTTGTATTACAAAATACCATAATATAACACATGATAGATTTTAAATATTTTATACTTTTTTTCTCAAGATTGATTTCTAGTAAAAGTGAATTTTTGGGCCAACAAGCCTGAGCCCGGTGCATAAATTTAAGTCTCCCATATGATAATTAATATTGTTATTCCATTATCTTCATGGAGAATATTTTATTGATATAAATATACCATTTACATAAAAATAATTCACATAAAAATATGTAAAATTTATAATAAATTTTTTTATTTTTTTCTAATTCTATTTCTAATTCTATTGTAATAGAATTGATTTTATTTAATAGTGACAAATAAATACTTAATTTCTCCTATTAGATAAATATATTAATAATATATCGTATGCATAACATAATTTGATTAGTCTGTCTAGCCCTGATTCTATTAGCCCCTTAGTTACTAATATAATTTAATACCTTTTAAAAATATATTTAAGCATGATACATGATTATGAAACTTTCTGAAATGCAAAAAAGAGGGTTTTAAATTTCATAATTATTTTTAAACTCTCCATATTTCAATAGCACCTAATATTGTAGTGTAAAAAAAACATTTTATCATAAAAAAATTAAAATAGTTGAAGGGTATATAAAATATTTTTAGCCTCAAATATACATATTATACAATGCTATTACATAATATTTGAATTTCTAAACATGTCTAGTTTTTAAATAAAATCCGTTGAACCGACAACCCCTTTGTGCCGACTAGCCCTGGTCTCCCCTATTTAATGAGGTATCCACCGAGCATTATTAGCCCATCTTCCAAGTTAAAATATTTGATACTCCACTATACATGGAGGTATTCCTTACATGAGCATTATGATTTTTATCATGTAGTTTTTGTTATTCTCTTTTTTATATTATTATCATTATCTTTCTTTCTAGTGTTGTTAAATGGCTCGATTTGAGCCGTTTTTAAAAAAACGGCTAACTCAATATAATTATCCAGAAAAATATTAGGCAAGCCTAAAGATTTTGGTCACAGATGTTACAAAGGTTTGGACATCTATTTGCGAAATCTCGAGGATTAGGCAATATTTTTCTGGCTAAAATTGGGTTAGCCGTATTTAAAAATCGGCTCAATTCGAGCCGTTTAACAGCGCTATTTCTTTCTATAAAAAAAAATTTTTTTATATTCGATTTATAATCTTATTACTATAGATTATAAATTAGTTATAGAAACAAAATAATAGTTAGATAGAGTATATAAAAATATATGGCTTAACATTAAATTTATTTATTGTACATAAATGTAATTAACTAATTAATTCTTATCCATTAACAGAGAATAAGGAAACTGATGTAGCTATAATCGAATTATATTGATTGTCATTCCTTGTCTAAAGCCTTCATTTGCATTTCGATGTAATGGATAAAAAATGTCTATCACTTTTATTTTTTTCATTAAATTTTTTTATGAATTAATAGCTACAAATCAATTAATCTGGTTACTATTCTTGATATTTATGCATCTAAAAATTGACCCCCCCCCCTAGCCCTCCCCCCGCCTCCCCCTCCAATTAGTAAATCTTAGTATAAGATTTTGTTTATAGATATTATTTCTTTGAAAAAATAAATTAAATAATTAATCAAAGCTATAACAATGTTTTCATAGTCAAGAAGTTAGTGGGAGAAGATATCCACCACTATCGGTGATGATCCTAATAAGTATATATCTAATAAAAAATAACCATCGAAAATGGTTACTTGATTTTTGAGTTTCTATCTACTCCACACTGGGATAAAATCTACTTTTTAAAAAGTAAGAAAGAAACGAATTATTTCATTTATTATTCTAAATTTTTCATAGGTTCTGGTAAAACCAAATTGTCAAAAATTAATTTCCATTATAAAAATTAAATAACAATGAGAAAAAACAAGTTGAACTTTTTAGCAAATGCAAAGAAAAATTAAAGTGGCAGATCTCTAAAAAGATCCTTTGGAAAACGAAAACATTTCGTTAGGAACTCCGCTGAGGTTATTATTTTACAGGAATATTTTTATTATTGATGATGGTGATGACACTCAAAGTAATAATGTCTAGTTTACTTAATATCATTAAAAAAAACTACCCTATTTATTTTAGAGGGAAATATGTCTATTTCTTTAAAGCTTTACAATGGTGATGCTCACGAAAATACTTGCAAGGGTTAAGTGGCATTTGTTGTCAATAATTTGGCTAGAATAATTAGATGGTGTGATTTTATTTAAATATAAATAAGTATTTTTTTTCTATGCCGCTTCTCTATATAGTCTGAATCAAATCTCGAAAGTTCACATGTGTATGAATTTCCCAAACTATAGCTATATATTATATAGTTATGTATAAGCTATTATATTCATATCTACTTTCTTTATATATCTGTAATTGTTTTAGTTAGATAATTGTTTTTTTTAGGTGTTACCTATTCCTAACAAGCTAAAAACCGTCAACCCTCTTTTTATTAGCCGAAAACTTTCAGACTTGGGTTTTTATTTGTTAGAAAATATATCGCAACTGAAAAAAGATAAAGTAAATTAACTTGCGCCTCAATGCTTAGATTGACCAGAATAATTTATTTTTATGATTCACTTGATTATGATGAAGAATAATAAACTATCAAAACAAATTCCTATTATAAATAACTTTTAACAGTTATAAAAATCAAAAATAACTTTTTCACTTTGAAGCGTGTATAAATTAATTTTTTTTAGTGTTCAAAAATTAATTATACCCAATCATAAACGTAGCCCGGGGAGGGGGAAAATCCCTCTCCAAAATTTGCTACTTCCCGCCAATTAATTTTATATTAGTGAAAATCCCCCCGCCTACACATCTCCCACCTCCATCCCTCTTCCAAATAATGTATACCATATATCATTATAAAGAAGAATAGAATTCGGAAGATAAAGTAGTAAATGTTAATAAATTTTTAAAATAACCACTATAATTCTAAATTTTTAGGAAAGCAATTTTACGAAAAAAGAGAAGTGAAAACTCAAAGATATTTTTATAAAAATCTAATATAGCCAAAGGCCTATAAGTAGTGGGCCTAAAGACCTCCAGAAAATTTATTTGGAAAACCCCTACCTAATAGCTCACCCCCCCCCCTTAGCAAAATTCTCACTACACCTCTTTATGTATCTAATTTCTTCCTGATTTTTAAGAAAGTAAAAATATATAACTCTGAACCAAAAAATGATTAATCTATCAAATAATGTTATTAAAATGTTTGAGCAGTTAATATATTTATAGTTTGTTTCTTTGTTTGATTTTTCATTTGTTAACAAAAGTTGATATCAGAATTTAAAACCCTAATATTTAATGTTCTAAATTGCAACTTTTAACAATTTTACGCGAAAAAAAATAATAATGATCAACAAAATAGACGCACACCTCAAAAAAAACGTATCTTATAAATTAGAGTTTATGATTGAATTATTTCGACATTATTTCAAAATATTTTGGGAAATTTCAATTTAATTTCCTTGGATTAGATTTAACTTAAATGACTGTTCTGAGTTTTTACCTCACAAAATAATATGTGTTTAGTTCATTCAATTCAGTATCTTTATATTAAAAAAAAACTTAGGCCGAAAGAATAACTTAAAATTTTACGTAATTTAATATTTATTATCCGCGTTATTTCCTAATGTGGAATCTTTTTTAAATAATAAACTCTTGTTTTTTTTCTTATTTTAGGTTAATTTTGGTATAAACCTGCCCAGGCTCGATTTGAGCCGATTTTAAACGGCTAACTAAATATTTTAGTTAGATAAATATTGCCTTCGGGATTTCGCGAATAGATATCCAAATTTTTGGGGTGTTAGCCAATTTTAAAAATCGACTCAAATAGAGCCGTTTAATAGCACAACTCATGATAACTAATATAATTACGATTTAATTCCTTAAATATAATTGGATGAAAATAAACGTATTACAGGCCTGGATTGATTTCAAACTACGTTGGGATCCGAGAGAATTTGGTAACATCTCGGTTATCAGATTACCCGAAGATGCCATCTGGAAACCTGATATCATTCTATATAACAAGTGATATAGAATTTAATAAATAAAATTTTAAGTGTAAGATAAATCAAATTTTCCTAGCCTTTAGATTAACAGGTCGATATTTAATGGCTCTCACACGGAGAGCCTTTTTAACAATAAAATATTTTTTTAAAAAAAAGTTTGGACCAAAATTACAAGAACGCTATCCTCTCCACTTACGCTATAGTGAGCTCCGATGGCAACGTTACCCTACTATCCGCTATAATATTGCATAGCTCGTGCAGGATAAGCGTGAGATATTTCCCTTTCGACGAACAAAATTGCTCCATGAAATTCGCCTCCTGGACTTACGACGGCTATCAAATTAACTTGATTCAACCGTCGGAAGAAGCTGACCTTTCCAATTACGTTCCCAATGGAGAATGGGAATTGTTGAGCTTGAGTGTAAAATCCAACTTATTTTATTATTTTTATTGGGGTGGTTTTATGCATTTTTTTTATAACCAATGTTTTATGAATGGTTTAGCAAATATTAACGATTCTTGACACAACTATATTATTAATACAATTAAACCATTTATTGCATCAATGCTTTTTCCAAGATTTTTTTCTAAACCAAAAATAGTCTAATATATATTTAATCGCGGCATGAATCTCAATAGTATTTTAAATTTATCCCTTTATAGTATTAATTATTATAATACTAATATTTTAACTCTTTTAGGACCTAATTTCATGGTTTTTCTGTATTTGCGCTTATAGCATGGGGGATGGGAGCCTGACCTATAAAAATTATTATTTTAAATTTTTCAAAATATATATAAAAGGTAATGAGAAACGTAGTTTTTTACTCTTGTTGCTTAGAGCCTTATCCCGATCTAACTTACCAAGTACGACTCAGAAGAAGGCCACTTTTTTATATATTTAACTTCGTATTACCTTGCGTGCTTATAACAGCTATCGCTTTATTAGGCTTTTACATGCCTAGCGATTCTGGAGAAAAAGTTACCTTGGGCATTACTACGCTACTTTCTATGACTGTTTTTATGATGTTAGTAGCTGAAAGTATGCCTCCGACATCCGAAGAATTACCTTTAATAGGTCAAATTTTTTTATTTACACTTTGTCTTTTTTTATATAAAATTTAAAGAGTTGCCGCTATGATAATTGCGGGAGATTTAATTTGATTCCCTGTCTTAACCTCAATCATATTTTTAGTGGGGAGGGGTGGGGGTTATATTTAGAAACATCAATATCGCTTAATAATCTTTGAAAATATAATATTTAAAATAATAAATTTATTTATATTTCTTTATTAACCCACAAAAAAAACTAGGAATCTATTATGGAGTTACGATAATTATTGTTTCATTAGCTACTGGGATGACCGTATTTACATTAAATTTACATCATCAAGGATTCAGAGGGAAAAAAGTTCCGCCACTTTTGAGGCGCATTGCTTTTCTTTACCTGGCCAAAATCATATTTTTTAGATTCGATCTTAAAAATGACATTCCTTATAAGAAATTGAAAAAACAACGAACCTATGTAATTAAAAAAAAAATTAATAATCATTCAATTATTTTAAACTTTGATATGCAATTATTCTTCAAAAACACTTCTCCTATTCTATTAATTATTTTAACTTTAAAAAATAATTTGTATGTAATATATGTTTTATGTTGTGACCAGGATTCTCCCGAATTATCAGAGGCTAACAAAATAGATTATTTCAAAAGTTTTTCCGACTTTATTACACCTCAAACTCCCAATAACTACTGTAAATACATTTACAATGATTATTCAACCCCTGTTAAGGGTGAAGGCAAGACAACAAGTTCAAAAGAAATGGCTAGTGAAGATTCAACTGCATTTATCGAGAAAAAAAACTTGCAAAAATTGGCCGCAAAATATCACAATGTTTTACCATTGTCAAACATAATATACAATAACAAGCCAAACGGCATCGTTATGGGAAGGACAGATATAACAAATATTTCAGAGTATATTGAGAAAGAGGCGCATAACGTTGAAAAATCTAAGCCCTTTCAATTTTTGGATTTAAGCAATAATTATAAAATGAACCAAGAAACGCTGCAAATTCTTAATGAAACGTTGCCCCGCAACAGAATTAAGCATTATATAAGAGACGAAAAAAATGTAGAGAAAAGGGAGGAGGCGAAGAAATCTAGCTTAGACATTGATACAAATAATGATTCGTGCTATAGAGAAAGCTGTTTTAACGCACCTAGAAGTGAAGTGGAAATTAGATTTTTGCTCGTTTTGGAAAAAATCCACTCAATGATGGATAAACACGAGATGCGAATCCTTGAACAGGATGAAAAAGATAAAATTAAAGAGGAATGGATGCAAATAGCACTTATAATGGATAGAATCTTGCTTTTACTGTTTGTCACATTCACTATAATAATATCTTTCATGATAATTTACTCCTCGCCGTATTCCAAGTTAATTTACATTTCTATTATATATATATAAATTTTTTATTTAAATTTCGATAGAATGCGTTTATATTTGGATGCGAAATTCGGTGATGCGAACAACAAAACGCTAAGCTCAAACCATTTCTAAATTCATCCTTTTTTGAGTTTGTACGTTTCAAAATTATATATGATTAACTTAATTGTGAAAAAAAGAAATAAGTGATATATGGAAATTTTAACATAAAATATAATTAAATGACTGTTATTTATTAATCCTGGTTAATCCTGGAGCGATAATTTAAATTTTCTCTGTTCATTGTTTTGCAATCCAAACATCGTATTATTTATATTTTATCTATATCTAATTGAACATTTAACTTTGATGTTAATTTTTAAAAGAGAATCTATCGGTTTGCCCTCTTCTAAATATAAAATTAATATCAAGATAAAAAAAACTTCAAATCAAGCCGACTCACATTAAATCAGGTTGGATCTGATCCATGGCTCAATGATTTGGCATAGATTCTAGTAGTTTCGTTTTTTTAGCTCAAACTTTGCAGTTTTTGACCAAACCGACTCAACCCAGTTACTTAACACTATATCTGTACATAGCGTTGTTAAAACTAATTTTAAAAGTAGTGCGCTATTAGCTACTTTTACATTTTACGCTACTTTAGAATTTTTTTAAATCTTTTAAAAATATTTTTTACATATCTCTATTTCTAAAATGACTAAAATTTCAAATATATATATAATTTAGTTATTTTTTATTGCATCTCAATAATAACATTTTCATACTGTCATCCCCAAATCTAGAGCTACGATCAAAAAAGTAAAAGCTATGACTAAATAATCGTTCTACACTAGTACTTGAGGGCAATGTAGTATTAAATTTAATATATATACCTTTTATGTAAGAAAAATTATCAAAAATATTTATATTCTTAGACTTAAAAAATACGTCTAAAGGATTTTCAATAGTATCATTATTATTTCAAAAAAATTATCTATAGTAGGTGGCGTTTTTGATCTGGCTGATAAGTTTAAAATTAGAATATGTGATACATGATGAAAGCGTTTTCGTCTGGTGGATACAACAGAGCTACTCAAAAATCCATCAAACTGTATATTTAATTTAGGGGGAGAAAAATGAGGAGCCCTTAACAGGTTTGTAGGCACGCCGTACATACTACGCACAATACTCCCTATAGTAGGTGGCGTTTTTGATCTGGCTGATAAGTTTAAAATTAGAATATGTGATACATGATGAAAGCGTTTTCGACTGGTGGATACAACAGAGCTACTCTAGGTTTTCTTCAAAAATCCATCAAACTGGATATTTAATTTAGGGGGAGAAAAATGAGGAGCCCTTAACACGTTTGTAGGCACGCCGCACATACTACGCACAATACTCCAAGAACTATTGTTTAAACGTCTATAGGCTAATAAGAGAATAATTAGGCCAAACAAAAGCCTATACCCGAGAACTACAATATAATTTAATTACTTAAGCGTGGATTATGACTGATTTTAAGTTTATTTTACTTTAATTCATTGTGAGAACCTATAAATAAACATATGAATAAATAAAATAAAATATTAGTACAAATACAGTAAAATCGCTAATCAATAATACTAGATCTTTATATCCAACTTTGAAGATAATCTTCCATCATACCGGAAAAACCATAAATTAGAATAAAATAAAAATTATGTAGATGAGAAATGGATGGTCATGTTTGCCAACTGATCAGGCCACCACCCTTTAACTTTTACCTATTGAACTAATTTATTTCAAAATTGTTTAAAATGTAAAAGAATTAAAAATTGAAATAAGTATTTTATATCCTATTTTGATAAAATTTATAAATAGATGATTGATTAATTTAACATCTAGATAATAATTTATAAAATATTATCATTAAATAGATAAGTCTGTTGATAAAATGAATTGTTATATTAATTATTTATTGTAATTTTGTATTTAAAATATAATTCTTGAATAATATTTTATGGTATTTATCAAATAATTAATTTCACATCCTTTTCAAAATAAATCACTAATTATATCTTTAAAATAAAATTTGTCCATCTTAAGTAAGATGTTTTATAATCAATTAAAATAATTTAAATTCAAAGATCTAATAAGAAAGTCAGCTATTTATGAAACTATGTATATTGGGAATGGGCATATTTTAATTCCATTATATATTCGTTAGCTTGAAATTTTTAAGGGCTATTTAGACAGCCATTTTAGCTTATTTGTTTTTTTAATCTTTTTAAATAACTAAAACCGTTCGATACCACGAAACTGGCACTTTTTACAATTTTTGAAAAATAACAAATTATGGACTTAAATATTGCTATTATACTATTTGGAGTTCTTTTGATATTGATATGTTTAATCAAACGAAAATTTTTAGCTGACGATAAAAAAAGCAAAGGCGTGGAAAATATTGTCAAACAACACCTTATCAAAGAGAATGAATATAGTGGAATTACAAATGATTCTAAGCCAGACTTTGAGAGCAAAAATATTGAATGTAAGGATATAGATGAAAATGATCCCGAATATTTAAATTTTAAAGAAAATATGTATCAGAAATTTGGGGCCAAAAATTTAGAAAAGTTAGATATGTCTCAAGGAAATGTTCTCAAAAATCGGGCAGTAAAATTGAAATCTCCAAAGATTTGATTTGATAATATACTTCATCCAAATATTATTTACTTAAAGCTTTTTATATAAACAACAAGGGGGTAACTGAACCAAATATATGAAATAAACATTTATGTTTTGCAGGCCACTGTGAAAGTTTGATATTATTTTTATATGTAATTTCTATATCGTGATTTAAATATGGTCAAAGCTCGCAAACTTTATAATTAATCATGTATATAAAGCAATTTTAATAATGTGTTGTAGTAATTTTGAAAAGCAATTATCAAATTCTAATTTATATTTTATGTATCCATAAAAAAACCAATTAATGAGACCCCCTTTCTAATTAGGATTTTTGGTTGATAATATCACATTTACAATAAAATAGTATTAATAATAAAAAATTTTAAAGGCTAAGAAAAATACATTTATTATTTAAATGTTTAATTCTACTTTATTTCATTTAATATTTAATTGAAAATTGAGCCTTATTAGTATTTAAAACAAATGCTTGTATTTACCCAACACATTCACTTTTAAAAATCTTAAGCCATGAAAAGAAATTTTACTAATGAGGCTTTGACAATTTTTTCCTCCTTGGCAAAATTACTAGGGCTGCACCAAAATTATATTAATATCAATATTTGTTGATTTTAAGAAAAAAAATTGTATTGGGCTAATATTTAAAAAAACACTGATCCAATGTTATCATTCTTTTTGTTGCTTTTTATTTTATACATAATTTCCTAATAATAAATAAAAGAATTTTATAGCATTAAAAAAAAAAATTTAAGAAGTCACATTCAGCCATAAACATTGTGAAAATTTTAAACAATATGATTAACTCTTAAGGAATAATTACATAATCATTATAATACCTAAAAATATTGATTTTTATGAATTGAGGTAAATAAAAGTAGTTTAAATATTGAATTGTGGGAAAATTTTGTGGATTAATAACCCTATAATAACAGTTCTAACCACCCCCCCCCCCATCTAAGAGCATAATATTGAAACTGCAATCCTCCCAAAAGTGGGCCTTGTTTATAAAAAAATATTTTTAAAAAATTAAGCTAGCTTTGGGCCCAAACATTACCACTCCATAAATTGCACTGAAATCACCCACCAGGAGTTTAAGCTTGCATCATGTATTTTCACTAATATATAGATCCAAATTAAAATACATAAAATATAATTTATGACATTTGTTAATCAGCCAGTTTTAATAAATTTTAAATTTCTCAAAATTATATCTAAAAATTATGACAGGACATGTTTACAGAAAATGATATTTATAGTAAATTGGGTGTTTTGATAACTTATCTTAAAGGAAGCATAAAATTATATTATTGAGTCTGTTTATAAAACAGAAAGGGAATCTAATTATTGTTTTTGCCAAGATTGATGTGGAGAATTTGGATATAAATAAAGGTTGATATCAAAATTGAAGAGATCCTTGAAAAAAAATCCAGAGTTTTTATAAAATAATATATTTTATATACAAATACAATTAACTTATTAAAAATATAAAATTTGGTATTAAGAGGATCTATGATACAAGATGTTTGCCAAGAATTTTATGAGGGGTGAGGGCAATTTACTATCTGAGGAATTGAAATAAAACAAAATCAGACACTCATAGAAAAATTCTGCTATTTTTTATTGAAAATATTTAAATGCTGATAATTATGAATATAAAAAATAATATTTAATATGATGATTTGTAAAATATAACATAAAGGAAAAGGTTAAATTTTGGATTATTTTTTTCATTGCTTTGGTTTTTTCCATTTCTCAGGCACCAGTATCTACATGAGTGGTGGGGGTAAGAACAGTTTGCATTTAATATAATATTTAATGGCCTCTCCATTTCTTGTCACTTAATTTTATCAATATCTATTTTATTCCTTGTAAAAATTCCTACTTAACATAACTTAAGTTTCATTTGTTTAAAAAATAATTACCTTGCATTTTGTTTATTTATAATATGAATTTCTTATATAATTAAAAAGATATAATTAAATTTAAAAATATCGCTGCAGGGAGGGGGGGGAGGTTAGGTATGTTGAGGGGGCTATTCCACTAGTGAATATTCTCTCATGTTGATGTTGTCTGGCCTGGCGCTCAAAATAACCCTCCTGCGTATAGAGAATGAGACCTCGCAAAATATGTTACCCTTATTATAATTGTTAAATGGCAATAATTATTGCTATATGAATCTTCTCTATTGTTATACATAATATTAAATATAATTTCAAAATCATGTCTTTTATCTACTTCATCTTGAATATTTTAGCCATGATGTAATTCGCTGTGTATTGAGAGTCGATTGGTATTGATGTTATAATTTTTTTGAATATTTCATGGTTTTAAAAAAATAGGAATAAATTATATTTTCATTTGTAGCATCAGTTATTGTCATGAAACCCTACCAACAAAATGATTATGCTCGAATTGATGGCTCACCAAAATTGACGATATTTCTGTATCCTTCTCGATATTACTCATGTTTATTTTAGGCCATTTCTGAAAGCCAAAAAAAATTATGGGTCAGGGGCCATAAATTTTAGTAATACTCTTTATGAAATAATTTATCTATTGCCAATACCTAATAATCTATAAGGTCGGTGAGGAGGTCATCGGTGCCAAATTATAATTCATTACAACTGTTCCTCAAAAAAAGTAACTTGTTACATTAATAAAGCAATATATAATAATAAATAAAATATAGATAATTTGCGATAAATAATTGAATTAGGAATAATTTATGTGTCACTTATACTTTCTAAAATTACCTTTAAAAGTATAAAGAACAAAATTTGATGGCCCCTAAAATTAGAAAATTACCTAATTTTGGTGACTCTTACGGCTTGTCTCTTTGAACGTGTTATGGACAAAATAGAATTTTAATAATATTTTCTAGAACATTGCATAAATATCTATGGTATCGAACCTATACCAAGTAGCATCGAAAAAAAATGGTTTGGATGGATATCTGCTCTGCTTATATTATTCTCCAAAATTATATCTTTTTCGGTTCCCTTTGGTCCTCTTCCAGATTACTTTCATTTTAGTGAATTTTTCCAGCCGTCCTCCGTTCGTGCATTAAACTATCATAACAATACTTATCGTCACAGCAATTTTTCTTTAACTCTATCTTAGTTCACCTCTCGCTCTGTGACATAAGGCGCATATCTACCTTATTTTCGGGTTAAAATGTTCTCTAGTAAAACATTAAATATATTTTACAGGCTAATAAAATTTCCTAATACTTTTTCAATATTTGCTTTACTACAAAAATCACGCCCGTGATTCTATACGAGCTGTAAAAAAGAAATCTCATCTATTTCCCAATTTTATCCAGAATTAAATCATTAAATATCTGCTCTCAAACATAATTACTCGTTACGAGCCAAACATTCGATTATCTTTTATCAACGTCTATCTGCCCTATTATTTTTCTAATTCTTATTAATTTTATTTAATGTAGAAAAATTTTGGCAGGTAAACGGACCATTATGTTTCTTTCAATCAGAAAGAGGTTATAAAAAAAGAAAGTAGTAACGACGTTAATATTATTGTATACAGTGTTGTGCAGATTTGATGGAAAGCATTTCCATATTTTTTTTAAATTTTATTTACAAATGAAATTATATAACTTGTAAAAATTGTTAAGAATATAAATATGTCATTTTAACAATTTCTGCAAGTTAAATTATAAATAAATTAATCAATATGGAAATGTGTTCCACCAAATTTGTATAACACTGTAAAAGAAATAAGATTTTTGGTTTATTATATTAATGCTTAATAGTAATATACTATTTAATTAAAATTATTAGATAGTTATGAATAATTTTTTGAGCTAAAAAGTTATTGATCTTGTCTATAATGCTTTAATATGTAATATAAAATGTATATGTAATGAAGAAAAGATATATAAAATTATATTAATTTTTTATATAGATAAAATTGGTCTTTTTAAAGTGTTTATTGGGCATTATTTGTATCTGGATTTCGTAAACCACATGTCGGGATTATTACCTATAGCCTCCTTTATCGGTTCTGTAATTTCATCCAGTTTTCTTTTCATTTCCTAGCAAAAATAAATAATTGTTTATTAGATATAATAAAACAAAATAAAAACTGACTCTCATTTTCCATGGTCCCTAAAAAAGGGAGGCATTCGGCAAATAACTCGAGAACACCCTCACCTCCCCCTTCTTTCTCTCAAATAATATCACCATAGAATTCTTTTAATATAAAAATAAATAGGCAGTAATTAAGGCTTAATATTGTCGACATGGAGGGGAAGAGCAGTTTTCCGAGAAATTTTTTTCGGGGCCAATTTTCTGAATAGTTTAAAGCTATGATATTTATGAAAGATGCACCAATACCATTTTCTTAGCCGATAATAGATACCAAAAAATAATGATGTAGTATATATATATATATAAACAAATTAAAATTATTCTTCTTTTTTTTATCAATTCATGAAAATTATGTATGTATATAGAAACTTATAAAAAAATAGGAATGTATAAATTGTTATAAAATGGTTGTATACAAAATAACAATAAAAATATATAATTAATTTATGAAATAAAATAAGATGTTAACTTTGTTTGTTTAGTAGAATATGTTTTATTTGATGGCGTTTGAGAACTTTGCAAATGGTTCTTTTAGAAATATTAAATCTTTTAGCGCATTTTTTGAGTATAATGATTTAGAGATTTAATGACCTAAATTTTATTAATTAAAGTATAACTCGTTGTATTTGTCTTTACTAATTTTGTTATTTGACATGAATCAAATGCCCACTTTATATCTCACGCAAATAGACAAAAAAATAAGAATCTGTCCACTTTTCAAAGTAGACAGTTGCCCAATTTATCATGGCATTTTGTGATAGTAGTTAATAGGAATTTGATTGGGACTCAAAACTTGTTCAAATTAGGAAGTTTCCCAAATTATCATGAGCACAAATTCGACAGGTTTGACTGAATAAATTCTTAAAATATAAACTTGAAACTCACGACTACTCTATATAAATAATTAAATGAAATAAATTAATGTCGATCCAACAGGAATAATAACATATTATTAAATCCCGCAAAACCGTAATTAAAGTGACCACTTAAGGATAGTTATGTTTAAGATAGCGATCAACATATATGGATTTTTTTTAAAAAAATGAGGTTTCGATAGGGAGTGAACGACCTGGGTCAAAGCAGGTTCTTTTTTTTACTGTATAATATTCGGTTTAGACTTTTATAATTACCGATACGAATATTCATTGGTAGCCGAGACTTTCCATTTTATGGCTGATGCCTAAGAAAAGGTACTTGGTATTCATAAATTAAAATTATTAACTAATTTTTTCTAACCGGGTAAAAAGAAAGAAGGTACTTTTAATTTAGATTTCATTTTTATAATTATCGTAAATTAAATAGATGATAAATTACTTATTATTTTTTTAAAAAAAATGATAAGTAATGATGAATTATTACCTTAATTTTTCCAAAAAAAATACTATATGGCTATTTCCAAACAGAAAGTTTTTTTCAAAGCTGTTACCTAAGAATTTTATTTTTAATTTCCAAACAAAGGATAATAATTTGTCGAATTAATTTTTTTGGATGTAATATAATATCTTTAAAAAAATATTGATTGTTCGTGTTTCTCAGGATCCATTAAATCGTTTATAAAAATCCAACTGGAAATGGCCGAATACATATAACAGCAATTTTTCGATATTAGTGGTATTGGCTAAATAAAAGTGGTATTGGTAAATTTTTATCAAATATAAAACATATTATTAAATCTATTAGTCGCATATGATTTACCGTATTCATGAGAGATGAACTAGCGTTCTTACAGATTTGAGTTATCTGATCAGCCGAGGAGGCTCCTACAATGACACTACCCACGTTTAAATTGCTAAGTATCCAATCCAGGGATAGGTTCACCATTCCATATTGCTCTTTGCCATCTCCATCGTCCTGAATGTCAAGGCCTGATTTTTTACATACATTGAGTTGAGTTAAAAGTTGTTTTATATCCCCCAACGCTTTAAAGACCTGATCTTCGCAACCACTCTCGGTGTGTACTGCTAGAGGAGTGCTTAATTAATTAAAGTTTTTTTTTACGGGTGGGAAAAATTTATACTATATAAAATACAGGAAAATGTCGTGCACTATGATTAGTTTTCAATATATATAATATTCTAACAATATGCAAATTACAGAAATAATATTTTGATCATATTTTCTTTCCACTATAACGATAATTTCAATATAATTTTCTCCAAACAAATTTCTTTATGGTAATAGGACTTTTGGCTTAACTTTAAAATTTGGTAAATTTTTTTACTACGGAAAACGTAGGTGTACTTGGGGTTTTATATCTTTATAACCCAGAAGCGCTTAACATTTTTTTTTGAAACACAAGTCAAAACTTTCCCTATCAATTAGGAAACCCAAAATATAATGGTTCTCTTTCTATAAAACAAAATATTTTAGTGGTGCATTAATAATATGCTATGTACATTGAGAACGCCTTTACTCTCCCCAATGAGACAATAATTTTAACTAATGCATCGCAACGAAGTTAAAGAAGGTTGCTTTGTTTGCTAATATCTTATCTCTAAAAGATTTTAAATATGTGAATAATAGGTTCATAAAATTATGGCATTGTTTATGTTAAAAATTTAATTAATATTACTATTATTATATAAATAAAATGTTTTTCATAATATAAATGACCTTCCATTTCATGATTTTTTTCCAAATTTAAATAAATATCTTAGAGTAAAAAAATGGAATAATATAATTTGGCTATTATAAATATCCTCATGTCATGTTATAATAAAAAAATAGAAATAAAACCTTTAATCGAGGTTTAATCTATTAATAAACTCTAAAACACCTCGCAAGAAAGATAAGTTATAGAAACAATAATTTAGAACTTTTTTTACCCTTCTAAATATTGGAATATAAAAATATTTTTAAATACAATATGCTCTTTCAAAATCTTCTATTTTTTTGTGTATTGTGCTTTAAAGATATATGTTAGCCTTAATGTGTTATTTTTTCAACTTTAAATCATTTTTTGAGCGCGTTATTTTAAATTAAATTTAACATTACCGGAAATGTATTCTAGCATGTTTAGAATACATACCCTATGAATTTCAGAAAATTTTGCCTTTAGATTTTGAGTCATTTATAGTTTATATAATGGAAAAATAAATATAAAATATATAAAATTCAAACGTTCATGGCAAATTTTCTAAAAATCATAGGGTAGGTTAAATAACACTATGTAAAATACATTGCAGATATGGACTAAATTATTAATATAAATATCTTTAAAAAAAAATCATTTTGAATTATTTGTCCAATATGTAAAAATTCCTTGGCTTCATTTGGGAAATTTACAAATTTGCTGCTTTTTAAAATAAAGCTCTTACATTATTTCTGAAAAATGGTCATTTCTTGGTTTAGCTTATTTAGAAAAGTTCTGTTGTTCGCGCTTGTTCGCGCTAACCAAAACATTTTACTCGGTGTATAAAAGAAAAAAGAGCGGGATGAGATCCTAATTCCCATTTCAAAATTACACGTAAACTATAAGACTTAGGCCATATTAAGCGTTCGAGCCTTTGGCAGTCATATTTGAATCTAAGAAAATAATTCCCCGGAAAAAAATCCCCGTTTTTTAAGATATTAAAAATAACAAAATTAATAAAATAGGAGTAAAAATTTCCTATAAATATATCCATTGAATAAAAATCCTCAAATAATATATTTAAAAATTTTGAGAAAATCAATTCCGTTATTTTCTAAGAATTATTATTGGGGATTTTTTTTCCGAGGAATTATTTCCGCTCACAAAAGGAACAATTTACTGAATCTATCAGCAATATAAGATTTGCAATCTCTTTTTAAATGTGGAAGTTAGTATAATTAGTGCTCGAACGCTTTGCCATGATCTTAGCCTAAGTATATAGGCTTCTGGTCCATCATCGCCACATAAATTTCTTTCCAAAAAAATAACATTTTGATTAGATATATAATTTACCTTTTGCAATTAAACAACCTGATCCTGCGTCTTCCATTGGGGAAGGAGGTTGAATCATTATATTTTCCCGACAAAAGCCCTTGAGCCAATGGAGAATATGCCAAAATACTCAGGTTTCTTTTAGCGCATTCTGGAATAATCTCGTATTCTATCGACCTCCATAGTAAACTGTAAGGCAGCTTTAATCATTTATATATATATATCATTAGATTTTTTTCTTAAAAAAAATAAACATTATATTATATTTATTATCAATGGCTAAAAAGTCCATTATGGTAACGTTTAGTCAATTTACTGTGTTTTCCTTTTTTTTTGTAACAAAAATATAAAAGGTGCAACAGATACCCTAGATAGACCAAATTGTCATATAATAGTTTTATATCATAATATTGCATATTATATATATGTTTAATTAAAAATACATTCAAATAAATAAAGAGCCAAAAAAGCCATTAAAATAATTTTTAAACGGCGGACGAGCGGGCTGGTTAAAAAAACTTATAAAATAAATAGGCATGCGAGTATATTTTAAAATAAATTATAAGTGGGCGCAAAGGTTAAAAAAATCAAAACAACGTGGGAGGAGTTATTTAGTTGAAACCCGTCCATTGCAGACCTCTAACCTTGAGTGACGATTAAACCCTTTAAACGCGATCAATACCAATCAGCTGATGGCAAGCCATTTTAGTTTGCCATATAATTAATTTACAATAAAATTTTATAAACTCTTTTTTTTAAAAAAAAATTAATAAATAAAATAATTGTTTGATTTATAAAATTTAAAAAATTTTTTTTATTCAGAAACCAAAATAGTATATAACCAGCTAATTTGTATTTAAAGCGTCAGCCTATGTAAGTATTATATGTCGTTGCATCTGTAAAACAATGATAAAAATAGTGATTGGAAAAGAAATATAAATATTTGTCCAATTTTTTTTTTTTAAAAAAGATGATAAAATACGTTGCGAGCCTTTTTCTCAAATCAAATTTATTATATAATAGAAATATTTGTAAACCTATCTAAATGCATTCTCAGATATATGGACACCCATCTTGCTGAAAAAATAAATAAATAACCTGATTAGAAACTGGTTCACCGCCGAAATCGTAAAACTCTTTGAGTGTTTGAGGACCGAAATTGGAAACGCCGTAATATCTGATTTTACCTAAGGATTGTAGTCTTTTAAGTTCTTTAACGGTTTCTTCTACGTTATTCATAACTTCGGGCCAATGCACCTTTTAAATTCAAACATTTTTGTAATCGAAATATTTTATCATAAATCTGTAACCGTAAGCATATACATCGCATTTGTTAACGAGGGACATTTTAATTTTTTTAGTTTATGCAATAATAATTATTTACCAATTTAAAAATTTTTTCCTTTCTTTCTTATTTAATTTTAAACAAATATATATTTATTTAAAAGATAAACTTGATACAAATCCAGATAATCGGTCTTTAAAGACCTCAAGGATTGATTTAAAGAATCTTCGATATCCGCCGGGGTATAAGAGACAGGCTTATTCGATCCCGGAGTTGCGTTGAACCCAAATTTGGAAGCTATGACCAAGTCCGATCTTCTGGACTTATAACTTCCATCCAATATATCGCCCAACACTTTTTCCGAGTTTAGGTAGGCCTAATTTATTGCGATGAATTTGAGAGATCATAATATTTATGATGGTGAAAATGAAATATACAATATTTATAAAAAAAATAAATAATTGTTTATATATGGAAAAAAACAAATTAAAAAATATAAAGATAAAATTTCGCATAAAAAGAGTAGAATAAGAGAGGAAGAGTAACTTTAGGCGAAGATTTGTTGAGAGAAGACTGCCATTGAAATTAGTAATTCGCCTTAAGGATAGCTATAGCCAGTCTCTGTCTGAGGAAGAAACCTTCTCGAGGATAGTCAGTATGCTTGTGGATGTGAGATCCTAAATCCTTGAAGAAGAATAATGCAAGCTAATCAAAGGAAATTAAGGTTGTGGATATTATTGAATAAAGATGTGATCTTCTGATATTTTAGAATATTCGGAAATTTTAAGCTGTTCTTTTTGCTAGAGTAAGTTTAAGGTTTGGTTGGATAAGGCGAATAGATCTATACAAGAATAGTCCCAAACGAGAAACTGACTCCATTTTCATGGGATCAGGGTGATTCCGTCAAGCCGCTTTCCATGTCTTCTCTACACAGATCTTCACCAGACTCACTCTTCCTTCCTTATTATATTTATTTTACGCTATATTTCATCTTTATATTTTTTTAATTTTGGAATTGTTTTTTTATACCGTATATAAACAATTGTTTGTTTTTTTAAACATAAATATTGTATATTTTAAATAGTTATAATAAAAATTTATCTTATTCATACAAATTAAACAAAAAATTTTTTTATTATTATTACATATTACAGTCTTACCCTAAATTTATAGTTAGCGCAAATTCAAGGCGAAGTATACAAAAACAATTTTGTATACTTCGCCACGAATTCGATCTAACTATGAATCCAGAGTTATAATTCCGATAAATAGTCTAAAATTCAGTAATGAAGTTATCCCAATTAATAACTGACAGCAAGAGACAAAATTTTAAACATTGAGAGTAGTGTTAAATCTCGATTTTTATAAAGAAAAGGACCAAGCCAAGAAGCTTTGAGATTTAACCAAAAGATGGTAAGAAATGTTTGGCTCTATTCTGAATAAATCTTGAAACATAGGTATTACTTTTTTGGGCTAAAATTTTGAAAAGATGGGCTAAAATGAATGATAAAAATTCCTATTCCAGCCTAGATTCTAGCCCATGCTAACGCTAGTTTTGTAGCTTCAAGCGTATCGAAATTGGTTATAATAAAAATATATATATTATTAAACAGACGTATATATTCTTAGAGTAGGCGATTTTATCTATTATTTTTGTAAAGGAGATTTTAAGAGATTTTAAAAAAATTAATAAATTTCGACCAAAAATGGAGTTAGAACACTATAATAAACAAAGAGCGTTTCTAGGAAAAATAACCAAATGAGTTCTTTTTTTAGTGATTTATCTAAAATTTACAATTGGTTTTTTTTAAACATATTATTTTGGATTTTTTAAGGTTTTTTAAAATTATCAATCATCATTTCATATTTTTTAAAAAATCAGCTAACTTTCATGAATTATAAAGTATATTTTATTTTTTTTATATTCTCCAAAAGTTAATAATCTCATTTAAAATATTTTCAAAGTTTATAGTGTGATTGTAGTGTCTTCAAACAGCTCCATTTAGCCGTTTAAAAAAGACTAAATCAAAATTTAGACAAAATATTTATTGCCCAAGTTTCGAAATTTGACCAATAGAAGTCCAAACTTTTCTGCCATCTGTGGCTTAAATCAATAAGCATGAGTAATTTGATTTTGGCGAAAATCGTTAGTTAACCGCTTTTAAAAATTGGCTAAATCGAGTCGTTTAATAATATTGCTGATTGCGAATCGTTAGGTTTTTTTTAAAAATCTTTTTCTCGTTGCAGATAATTTAACAAAATAATAAGTGTAAAATTTTAACTATTTTTTTTAAAAAAATTACAACAAATAAATTGTATTAATTATGTGATTATATATACAATTCATAAAATAACCAAATACAAAAGTAATATCGACCCGATCCGATATTTATTATCGACACTGCGCTAACATAGGTCTAATCTACAAGGGTATGATAAGAATCATCCGCTTAGGTTTCTAGTCCTAATGGATTCCTCCCACCCCTGTTTTTATCAAGGTTTGAGCCAAATTCTGGAGAAAAAATCTTGAGGCTAAGAGATTTATCAACAATAGTCTCAGTGTATACTAAATGACGCTAAATGGCCATCACAAGGATGGGGCAAAATAGTGCTCATGAAAATATTTTATATCTAAACAAAAAAAATTTTAAGCAAAACACCTAATTCTAGCGCCGGCCATTTTCTTATTAAGTTTGTTACTATTTTTAAGTTTTTTTACTCTCCAAATGTAATTATAAATGGTATCCACCTTAAAAAAAAATTTTTCTTCTAAAATTCACTTTCCGTCGCTGAGGAAAATAATGGTTTATTTTTTTAAAAAATATCATATTATAGTAATGTACTTCAGCCGTGTCAAAAAAGTTAATACCAGACTCAATTGCAGCATCTACGATTTTTTTGGAGACCTTAAAGATATTAATAATATATATTTTTTTTAAAAAAACAATATATTTAGGGTAATTCCAAAGTCAAAAAAATAAAATAGGTTCAAACGGATCAATATAATTTGTCCAATGGAACATGTCGCTAGATGTCGGGGTCGATTTAAAGACCAAAATATCGACTTGAGTCGTGTTTGGGTCGATAAATTTAGTCGTATATCCACACTAATTATAGAAGATATTTTCTTAAATTATAATAGCTTCATCAGTGATCGAAAATATAAATATGTAAATTTTAAATCATAATTAACTACATAATTTAATAGAATAGAATGGAATGGTCTATAAAATACAATATAAATTCGAATGTGATTTAATTTACTAACAGTTTATGCATAATAGAATAAGCTCAAAATTTATAATGATTTTTTTTAAATTTGTTGTGTATAGTGAATAAATCTTAGCCTTTTAATTTATGGTTAGGTCGCAAAACTCTTCAAATATATAAATTAATGATCACTTATCAACGAAAGAGAGAAATATTATATATTAAATTTAAAAGGCTGTCATTTTCGTATAATATTTCTATTGCTTTAATAAAATGAGTAAATTTTTGCATTATTTTTTCCTTGCTCATCACAAAAAAAAATGCAGTCATTGCCAAAACTTTACCATATATATTATAAGGTTTACAATGGGCGGATTATTTGTCCGCTGGCCATACTTTGGGTGGGCTAAAAAATTAAACATTCGGGACGCGGCTCGGTGAATTCTAAATATATTATTTCTGGCGAAATTAGAAGTTTAAATATAAATATATTAAAATAAATTTACCAATCATATATTTTTTTTTAATATCAGATGGGTATGTTTAACAAAATGGCGTATAGGGTGGATTTTTCAAAAAAAAATGTTTGGGTAATAAACCCTACCCCCTCCCCCCGCTCCATTGCACACCTAGTTTGTTATCCCTCTACTATCAGGTATGCCAACACTCCCGCTGGCAATTTTTAAATGTAACGAAGAAAAAACAAACCTGTTACACATTGAATTCCTTTTTTAAAATAAAAAAAATAAGCCCGTCACCCTTCCGGGTTTAAAATATTCAGGGATCTAGGTCTTTCTTTGCTTCTGATAATATTCATATTAACTGGGTGAGGTTTAGAATAAGAGATCAATGTGGCACGTGATTTCAAAAAAAAACATGTCCGAAATTATTTTATAGCCTGGAACCATGCATCAAAATTAACGGACAGAGCCAAAAACCATAATTACCATGGGACAGGTTCGTACCTCACCAATCTCTAGTTTACATGTAAAAAAAACTATAGTAACTTAATTTTTCCAATCCCTAACATTTAATATAAATTAAAGATAACTTGAACAATATTATCTTTGGTTTAAGACCTACCTGCCCAAAATTGAACTCACGTGTTTAAAATTACAAGTTTAATTAAATCAGAGTGCTCATTTTGTTTATTACATTATATAATTTATAGTAAACGCGTTTTGTTCAAGTGTTGGGTTATTAAACTTAGTATTATAAAATTAAGCCAATAGGTATAAATTTGAAAATAAAGTGCTATGATAGCCAGATAAAATTTGAAAAACATGTTACGAATTGCGATGCGTTGTTAAAAAGATATGATTATAAAAATAATAGCGAATTCGATAAAAAGGTATATAATTTTTCTTAATATTATATAAAATAATTATCTCCATTTTAGCTTTACTTTTAAATTAGTTTTTAAAACTAAATAAACACTCCTTAAATAAAGCAAAACTTGCGCGTTCATAAACGCAGCGTAAAGCTAGCTACAAAAATTCAAAGTAATTCCTTGTTAAAATGTATTACCAAGGCGAAAATTCTAAATGAGTCTCATTTGATTAATTTACGTTTTAAAAAAACTTTACTGGGGAAGAAATTTAATAATTATCCGATATCCCTAAGGTATATTATATATTTTAAAAAAGGTCAATTTAATAAAATACAATTTATAAATCGATCAAATAATTTCGTCTGCGTTTTATCAACAAAAAAAATAATACAAAAGTAAATATAAAAAAAATAAGTCATTTTAAAAGTTATAAATCAACATATTAATAGTTTTAATAAAATTTACGTTTATATCTTGAGCATTCCAAGTCCCCATAGATGTCCCAGCAGTGTTTCCATTGAATTGCCACGTTCCCAGGCATATGGGCGACACCTTCAAATCACTATTTTTTAGATGAACAAGTTTCATAATTTTAATAATTAATTAGTTTTCGAACTATTTTGTTTTTATAAAAAATTATAATCGAATTTTAAAAATAAATAAGAAAATAAACTCAACTCACTTTGCTCAACCCTGTGTTTATTTTATTATTTTTAAAGGCAACAAAAAAAAATAAATTTGTTTACTTATTCAATTATTTATTTTATTATATAATTTTATGAAGCTAAAATTTTTCAACAAAACTATCTAATTTGAATTTTTTTAAGGTCTGAAATATAATGAGCAAAGGAAAAATTGAAAATGATAACATTCTCGGAGATGAATGATTTTTTTTTTAAATATTCACGCATTTTATATGCGGTAAGAAATAAAGTTACTAGAAACGAAGATTACTCGCTCGATTTGAGCCGATTTTTGAAAACGGCTAACTCAATATTTTCGCCAAAGAAATACTAAGCAAGCCTGAAGATTTTGACTATAGAAAGTGAAAAGGTTTGGGACATTTATCAGCAAAATCTTGAAGTTTTGTCAATTTTTTTTGGCTAAAATTTTGAGTTAGCGGTTTTTAAACATCGGCTCTCAAGCCGTTTAACAACATTACGCGCAGTTATACCATTAAACTTGTCGCCTTAAAATATTTTATTTTAACCAAATTATTTATTTTTTTTTGAAGATTGTTTTAAGAATAATTTAAGCGATAATAGTGATTAGTAAGTTATAGTGTCAAATGTTTTAATTAATAATGAATGCCTTAACTATAGGCATCCACATGGACGTATTAATCGTCTAAACTTGGGGAAATCAATATGGCTTGGTCCGACTCAGCTAAAAAATTCATTTGATCCTTAACTTAAAGATTTAGACAAATTTTTGAGGATAAAAACTGGTTTAGCCATTTTGAAGATATTAGGGGGAAGTGGCAAACAGTATTATGTGAGTTTTTCCCTTAAAAATGTTATTGGATAACTTTCAACCCGTTAATAGATCTTTGTCAGAGTTACATAGTTAAATGATTGTACACATTTATTTTTTAGAAATAGAAGGAAAAAATGGGGAGAAGAATAAATTTATTGACTTTAAACGATATTTAAGAATAAATATGTCAATGAGCCCCCCCCCTGCTTTACACCCAGTTCCACTTAAACAGGAGAATAGGCGGGGCAGCAATCTCAGAATACCAATATTACTTTATTTTATAGGCTGCCAAATATTTCTCATTTAAAAGTAAATTGTAAATAAAGATTCTTATTTTAGTTCTTTCAAATATTAATTTAATAAATAGCAAACCTAGTTCGATATTTCATGATTTCTTTTTTAAAAAAAGCTTAAATAAATTCGAAGATATTAAAAGACAGCTGAATTTATTATTGTCTCTGTCTCTCAACATTACCCTGCATTCAAAGTTAACGTGAATTCACGCTAACTGTGAATGTAGGGTAGCGGTGAAGTATGTAAAAATCATATTTTGTATACTTCACCGCGAATTCGCGCTAAATAGGGTTACAAACGTCCCTTTCAACTCCTATGGCCATGGCACACACTATGAAATGAATTGAAAATTTGAGTTTAAAACATCGACTAAAAAATGGATCTCTGATAGTTTTCGGATTTTTTTCCAATTTATTTCGGGTCCATTTCCGGGTTCAAACTAACTTTTAATAAAAAAATTAATTAATTCACTATTTATAAAAAAATATAAACTTATCCAATTTATCTCATCGAAAAAAAAGTATGAATAATTAACTTACCAATCTTTATATTCAAAAAATTGTTTAATATATTCTCTTTTGAATAAAGATCAATTTTATATCCACTAGGCATCCTTGTTTTTCATTAAATATTTCACAATATCTATTCACTAAAAATGTCATTGCCTTTCGGAATATTTCCAAATCCTGTATTAGTTTGATATCTCCCGTAATTTGGTTTTCCCTTTCTAATTATTTTCTTAATTTTCCTGGTATATTTTGCATAATGGGTTTTTATTTTCCTCGCCTTTTAACAAATTGCCTCGATCATATTTATTCCCTTATTATCGCATGATGTATATATCAGGTTTCCGAAGTATTCTACCTGATTATATAATTTTCACCACTATTTAATCTTTAAAACTTTTAACTAATGTTGTTAATCACGATTTAAGACGATTTTTAAAAACTCCCAACTTAATATTTTATCAAGAAATATTGCAAACCTGTAGATCTTGCTCATAACTGGCAGAAAGGTTTAGACATCTATTAGAAAAATCTAAAGCATTAGGCAATATTTTTCTAGCTACAATATTAAGTTAGACATTTTTAAAAATCCGCTCAAATCGAGCTATTTAACAACACTAATTTTAACATATGATGTACCTAGTAAAATGTCTTTTCTTCTGTTTGTTTATTTTTACAAATATTTACTCTATCACACTTTCATAACCAAGCTATCTGCGGAGGATTGTTTTCCATTTTCTGGGCTATGAAACATATTTTTAAAATAAATTTATTTGCTACAATTTTTACTATTATTTGGATACTCTTTTTGGCTATATTCAACAAGCAAATCAACTGTTATAACGAAAAAGAGAACATAATTTATTATTTACATTATACTTTTTATTCCCATCATCATACTGGCAGCCATCTTCTGTATTATAAGATGTTTAAGGTTATTATAGTCCGTTTGCCATAACTATTTTTTTTGTTCCAACCTTTTTTAAAAATATCTTTATTATAATTAACCGTTTTAAAATTTAGTTATTTGAATACAATGACTAAAATGATCTGTAATATATCAAATATCCCATAATTTTTATTATTATGGGTATTCCTACCGCTTAAAGCTTCGATATTTCACATTTTTGTTCACATATTATCGTATATTACACTATTACCATTGCTATGTTAAAAACATATTTCAATATTTTCCATTGCTGTCGCAGAATGATTTATTTTACATTTTTCATGGTTATATTCTTAGATATATGGCCCCACCTTTTTTTTAATATCACCAGGACTTATTTTTTGGATGATCTCTAACTTTTTAATTATTTCAGGCCTATTTTTTGAAGAGAATTGTATATATATTAAAGGAAAATCTTTCCCATCTTGTTTATCGGCTATCGAAGTTATTCGACTCATGAGGTCTTCTCAAATGTTCATCCAGTAATTTTTATGTATTCATTTTTTTTGCTTTTATTATTCTAATAAATTCTATTATAAGTAAGGCGAATACTAGTAAATTATTATTTACTATGTTCTTATAATTGTTTATAAGAATTCAATTATAAGAAATTAATAAAAAATATGTACGTCTTGTTTTTATTGTCCGTAGACTTACTAAAAAAAATTTAAGAATACGATAATGCAAAATATTCAAGTATTAATAGATGTGCATATTTATTTATAAACTCTCCAAAAATATTAAATTTTATAAATTATTTGTTATGTACTTAATGGCATTAACCGTTATGATTTATGTTATTATAAGGAGCACCATTTTATTACTTAATTTATTCATGCTCAAAATTATTAGGAATCAAAATTTAGTGTAAGGTTTTTACTGAAATTCCTCTTAGATATTTAATTTACAAGAATAATTCTTTTAAATCTTAAATACACTTATTATTTTTTATTAAATATTTTTCACATTTCAAAATTCAAATTTTATATGCCAACGAAAAAGAATCAAAAATGCCGATATTTGAAGATGATCACATTTATTTTTTCAAATGACTCATATAAAAAATTATATTTATATTTGCCTACCAAATATCAAACACATGCCATATGCTTAATTAAAGTGAAAATCTCTCTGGACAAATCGCATTCATTTGTACGCATACACTTGTACGCAGTCCTAAGACTATTATTTTAATCAGGGTTGGCAAGCCGGTAAATTTACAGGTCTAATTCAGTCAATTGACCGATTTGCTTTAAATTGTAGTATTAGTGTATATTTAGAATAGAAAATTGTTGAATTGGTAACTAATTGTATATCTAGTGAATGATGTATTTGATGTATTTAACGCACCATTTATTAATTTAAGTATATCAAAAATATATATCAATTTATTTAACAATTTATTTTTTAACACTACCTCAAAATCAAACATCATTGTATGATTATATATTTTTTCCGTCAACAATTTAAAAATGTCTTAATAAATAAATAAGTAAAGATTAGTCATTTTAAGTTACACAAAAACAAATATGATTTAAAAGTGATAAAATCGATAAAATAAAGATAATGTAAATTGTAACACGATAAAATATTAACAAAACTAAAATGTTTTAAATCACGCCGTGAGGCATAAAACTAAAAATATATTTATGTATAACATCAATCGATAAAGTTAAAAGATACATTAAGGTAAAAGTTAATTTTAAAATATAAAAAAATCACGTTAAATCAAAATGTTTTTTGATAAATAAAATATCGACCACAAAAACAAACCTGATTCAAATACTCTAAAAAAATATGAAGATAAAAAAATTAAAAATATGTTTGAAAGATGAAAAACTAAAATACATATGATCACAATGCGGCTTATTTATTGGGTAACTCAGTATCAAGGTGAGCATCTTATTAGTATGAAGTTAATGAAGTATGTGATATAATACAAGAATTAGACATTTTTCAAGGTGGTTATGATCAAAATATTTCTATATTAATTTCAGAAGTAAAAGCGGCCAGTTTCATAGCAAATTATGTGGAAAGCAGTAACTTCCATAAGAAACAATCAAATTCCGGCCTCAAGTAGAATGATCTTTGTCCATCAGACCCATTAAACAAAGTGGCATTTTACTATCAATTCCTTCTACTTCTTCAAAAATTAATTTGTCTATTTGGGTTAATATTATTACTAAAACAGAAATCGATTGAGGATCTCGACAACAAAAAAATAAAATATTAAAGAAAATGATAATATTGAATATAAACAAGAGCAAGACTCTGCCACGGAGAGCTAAACATTTAGCAAGAAATGTTTGAACCTCTATTTGCTAAATCTCGAGGCTTAAGAGCTGATTTTGATTTTAAATTACTATGTATATTTATGTTAAATAAGTAAATTCGGTTGTTGGGGAAATATTGAACAAATAATATTTTACTATGTTGATGTTTGTAATATGAATAAATTGAAAGTTTAACTTGTCATATTGAAAATAACTAACTAGGATATATATATAATTAAATAATTAATACCTTTTTGACCATCGCGTATTATAATTTACATAAAGTTAATATGCTTATGTTGAAAGTATATTTTTTAAACCAAAATTTAATTAAATCACCATAATAAGAAGAATCAAAAAGATAATAGGATTGAATAAAAAACTAACATTTTGGTAGTCATCCTATTATTCTTACCATATGTTTCGGGTTATGAAATTTCCCAAACTCTATAATAAAGTACTATTACTATTATTTATTTTTTATCTTTACGATTTAATATATTTTATTTAGAATATAATATCTAGATGTTTCTTTACAGATAAAATATATCTTTCAGATCAATTGTATGTTGTATGTTTTAAAACTAATTATTTAAAATTTTTGTTATTTTTTAGCATAGAGATGATAAATTTAATAACCCAGATACACCTTTTGAATTTACTGAAGAAAATATGAAAGTAATTTAATTTGCACTATTTTAAAGTTTAATTATTAGAGAATCAAGGCTGTAATTAAACAATATCCGAAAGGGTTTGAAAGAGCAGCATTATTACCTTTGTTGGATATGGCTCAAAGACAGTTAGGTATTGTTAATTTGATCATATATATAATTATATTTTATAAGGATGGTTACCAATTTCTGCTATGCACAAGGTTGCAGAAATTTTAAAAGTGCCTAGAATGAGAGTTTATGAAGTAGCAACATTTTATACAATGTATAATAGGTAAATTAATTAACATTATAAACTGATTAATTATATAATTTATTTATAAATAAATGTACAAATTAGATCAAAAGAGTTATCAAAACTTAAATTAGATCATTTTTGGTACATTTAATTATTTTTAAAATACTTATGTAATTTAGCAAACTTTAAAAATATTAATATGTGTGATATTTTATATATAGACAACCCATGGGCAAATATCACATTCAGTTGTGTACCACTACTCCTTGTATGCTTGGAGGGGTAGGTAGTGATATTATTTTGGAAACTATAAAGAAAAGACTAGGTTTTTATATATTATATTACATATTAGTCTGTAAAAATTAAAAAATATTTATATAGGTAATTTAATTTTCTTAAGGTTATGTCCAAAATGTCAAAGAATTTTAATAAAAAAGTATTAAAACTTTATTAAAAAACACAAAATAAACCTTTTTTAATTAAAAAATAAAAATATGACCACAACATATTTGTGAAATTTTCAAAACTTCATCATTAGGTTTCCTTAAAGTTTTTAAACTTTGATAGAACATGTATTTAATGTGACCTAAAGGGAATGACTAAAATACGCGTCCCCGAAAACTACGCGTCCCCGGTCAAAACGACTTATTTTTATTATTATTAATAGGAAATCTTATTAAGCTTTATAATATGAGTTAGAAAATGTTTTTTTTTAATTTAAAAAAAATACGGTAACTAAATAAAATTTATAAAAATTTATTTTTTTAAAAATAAACTACGCGTCCCCGGTCAAAATACAGTTTTTTTTTTAAAAAAAAACAGATTCATATTTAACTCATTAAAAGAATACAGAATATGTAAATATTATATTTTAAAGTATTTTATAACTTAGTGATTTTTTCAAAGAACACTTTTTTTTCAAAAACACTACGCGTCCCCGGTCAAAAAACCGTTTTTTTTTAAAAAATAAAAGCAGATTCATGTTTAGCTTTTCAAGGAGATTCAGAAAATAGTAATAAAAAAAATTGGCTAAACTACGCGTCCCCGGTCAAAATACAGTTTTTTTTAAAAAATCAAAACAGATTCATATTTAGCTCATTAAAAGAATACAGAATATGTAAATATTATATTTTAAACTATTTTATAACTTAGTGATTTTTTTAAAAAACACTTTTTTTTCAAAAACACTACGCGTCCCCGGTCAAAAAACCGTTTTTTTTTAAAATAAAAGCAGATTCATGTTTAGCTTTTCAAGGAGATTCAGAAAATGGTATTAATAAAAAAAAATTTTTTGGCTAAACTACGCGTCCCCGGTCAAAATACAGTTTTTTTAAAAAAATAAAAACAGATTCATATTTAGCTCATTAAAAGAATACAGAATATGTAAATATTATATATTAAAGTATTTAATAACTTAGTGATTTTTGGAAAAAACGCTTTGTTTTTTTTAAAAAAATGTATTTTGACCGGGGACGCGTAGGGACGCGTAGTATAGTCAAAAAAAAAATTTTTTTTTATTAATACCATTTTCTGAATCTCCTTGAAAAGCTAAACATGAATCTGCTTTTTTTTAAAAAAAAAACGGTTTTTTGACCGGGGACGCGTAGTTTTAATCACTAAGTTATAAAATACTTTAATATATAATATTTACATATTCTGAATTATTTTAATGAGCTAAATATGAATCTGCTTTTTTTAAAAAAAATGTATTTTGACTGGGGACGCGTATTTTAGTCAAAAAATGAAGAAAAAAAGTTATTTTTCAAAAGCCCACTAAGTTATAAAATATTTTTAAATACAATATTTACATATTCTGAATACTTTTAATGAGCTTAATATGAATCTGCTTTTGTTTTTTTAAAAAAAATGTATTTTGACCGGGGACGCGTAGTATAGTCAAAATTTTCTGAATCTCCTTGAAAAGCTAAACATGAATCTGCTTTTATTTAAAAAAAAAACGGTTTTTTGACCGGGGACGCATAGTGTTTTTGAAAAAAAAAGTGTTTTTTGAAAAAATCACTAAGTTATAAAATACTTTAAAATATAATATTTACATATTCTGTATTCTTTTAATGAGTTAAATATGAATCTGCTTTTATTTTTTAAAAAAAACTGTATTTTGACCGGGGACGCGTAGGGACGTGTAGTTTATTTTTTAAAAAAATAAATTTTATATAGTTACCATATTTTTTTTAAATTAAAAAAAACATTTTCTAACTCATCTTATAAAGCTTAATAAAATTTCCTATTGATAATAATAAAAATAAGTCGTTTTGACCGGGGACGCGTAGTTTTCGGGGACGCGTATTTTAGTCATTCCCTGACCTAAATTACATTTGCTAAAATTTATTTATTTCTTTATATCAAAATTTTATGTTTTAAAATAATATGCGAGTCTCACTCTCAAGGGTTGAATTCAGAAATGTACAAACAGCTGAGTTGCCTTCAATTGGGGATCCTAAGAATTGTGGAAGTTAATTTCGGAACTGTATATAAATTATGATTTGCTTTTATTGGGAATTAACCCTAAAGAAGAGCAGATCTTTAAATTTATTTTAATCAATTTATTGACCTCATTGGATAAGCCACAGATTATACCATCATCCATGTACCAAACACAGTGGCCCCTACATTTTTTGAGTGATGGAAGCAGAATACTTACCTGATACCCCCCCCCCCTTTACCTTGAAATAATGATAAATTATTTTTTGATTCCCATCAATTTCAACAATAATTTTTATTGCACAAATTTTTAATATATAATATAAATAAAATGTAAAAAAATATATACCTTAAAAATATTATTTTTAAATTAATAATTTAGATAAGGGAAGAGAAAGGGAAAGAATTTATAATTTCATCAATATTTAATTGTTTAAATAAATTTTTCACCACTGATAAAATGGTTAAATTATTGAGAAATAGATCTTTCATGGTACTACGAAGCTTGTTTTAATTAATTTAATTTTACTCATGACTCTTTCGGCAGTACTTGAGATTGTAGGAATGGTTAATAAATATTTATATAAAATTGTTAAATTAGAGAAAGCAAAAAATTTAAAAGTAGATGATAAGGTAAAATAAACGAATAATTTTTTAGTCTGAACCATAAGTCTCAGAATTATCATCATCAGAAGAAGAAGAAGCTAAATAATGTATAAGTAAAAATATTTTAATTAAATAAATTTGTAATTCTCAGAATCTGACAAATCTTTCGATTTTTTTACCTCTAAATCACGAGTAATTATTACATCCCCCATTTTAGCCACCTACCTTTAAATATTTCGAAACTTCAATATTTCTTCAAAAATTTATATCATCTCTAACAATTAAATTTTCCGCTATTCCCTTTGATGTAAAAAATGATGTTTGATTTAAAAATTTCATCGATTCATCATTAAATCTTTCATTAAACTGCATAATAATCAAATCAAGTGCAGCATAAAACACACTAATTTAAAAGCCAAAAAAATAGTATATTTAATGGTGAAAGAAGTATATATATATATATACCACATACCTCCTTTTTGGATTGTAATTGAAGTCTGGAACTTTCAGTCAAAAGGTAGATTTCTAACCTTCATAAAATCTTGTGCCTTTTTTGTCCAAGTCAAACTTGTTATCAAATTCTTATCCTAAAGGCAAAGTGATAAAATAAAATCAAAATTTTCTATTCTAAAGACTATAGCATTATCCGTGGAAGCGGCAGTGAGACGCCTAAGCCCGTTGAAAGACTGATAGACATATATTGTTTAGGAATTACAACTGGTCTCAATATTAAAAATAATATAATATCCAAACTTACTGAATTTACCCCTTGAATTCCTAGTTGGGCAAAGCTATGATGGCGCCTCACATGAGTGAAAGAATCAATGGAATGGAGGCTTTGATTAGAGCGAAGGCGCCAAAGGGAAAAGGAGGGAAATATATATACTTTCATTATTAAATATAATATTTTTTAGCTTTAAAACCAGTGTGTTTTATGCTGCACTTGATTTGATTATTATGCAGTTTAATGAAAGATTTAATGATGAATCGATGAAATTTTTAAATTAAACACCATTTTTTACACCAAAGGGAATAGCGAAAAAGTCAATTGTTAAAGATGATATCGAAGATATCTCTGAATTTTACCATTTAAATTCATGTCAAATTTTTAAAGAAATGTTAAAGTTTCGAAATATTTATAAGGGCGAAAATTGGGGATGTAATAATTACTCGTGATCTAGAGGTTATATAATCTAAAGATTTGTCAGATTCTGAGAATTGTAAATTTATTTAATTAAAATATTTATACTAATACATTTATAGCTTCTTCTTATGATGATGATGCAAATTCTGAGACTTATGGTTCAGACTGGAAAAACTATTCGTTTATTTTACCTTATCTTCTACTTTTAAATTTTTCTACTTTCTCTAATTTAACAATTTTATATAAATATTATTTATTAACCATTCCTACTACCTCAAGTACTGCCGAAAGGGTCATGAGTAAAATCAAATGAATTAAAACAAGGCTTCGTAGTACCATGAAAGATCCATTTCTCCATAATTTAACCATTTTATCAATGTGAAAAAATTTATTTAAACAATTAAATATTGATGAAATTATAAATTCTTTCGCTTTCTCTTTCCCTAATTTATCTAAATTATTAATTTAGAAATCATTTTTGTAATTTATGGGTGTCAAAAAATAATTTATCATTTTTTCAAAGGGGGTGGGGGGTATTATTTACTACTTTTTAACTGATAACCAATAAAATGAAAGGATTTTATATAATTAACTGTCATACCAAATGAGCTAATTTGTATAAAATTAAAAATGATAAAACATCAACATTAAAATCATTTTTAAGAAAAAATCCCCCCCCCCCCATATTTTTTATAAATATTTTAAAAATAAAATACATTAAAAATAAGAAAATGTCATTTCCTACCTTTTAAAATCAAAAATCGGAATAGTTTTTAATTTTTATTTGCAGGTATAAATGTAGGTTTTGCGAGATCAAAAAAACTCGGTTATCTTTTATTTCAATATCTGACCTTATTTTTTTTTAGTTTAGTCCTGTCTTTCAACTTCATTAGTTTATAATGTATTCTACAATATTTCATTATAGACATATAAACAGACTTTTCAAATTTTCTTGAAATTTTATCCGAATACTGAATTAAAGGCTTAAAAGAAGGTCAAACAACTACGACCGATAACAAGTTCACCCTTTCTTGCGTGGAATGTCTGGGCGCATGCGTCAATGCTCCTATGATGGCAATCAATGACGATTACTACGAAGACCTTACCCCAGCGAATACCATGGAAATTATAGATTCCATATATAAAACCGACAAATTGCCCAAACCGGGACCGAGGTTTATATAAATTGTTTTTTTCTATAGAATATATTCAAAAATTAAACTAATGAAGGGAAAGAAAGGAAGGTGTAGGGAGAGAGAGGAAAAAAAATTGAGAAATGAAAATTTTTTTTAGAATATTTAAGCTTTTCACTCCAAAGAAATTGGAATCTAGAACTTCAGTGAAAAATTTAAAATTAAACCTTGGCCTTTGAAATAAATAAAAATTTATTCTCTAAGATGTGTATTTATTTCTGCTGGATTAGATATATCGTCGCCTAAAAATTAGAATATTCTATCTCCACTTTTTTTAAATATAATTTTAAAGGAAAGGAATTTTTAAAAATAAATTTCCATTGATTTCAATAGGATTTAACCTAGTATCGGATTTAATTTGAGTTATTTTATAAATATTTCTTATTTTTTAATGTAAATAGAATGATATAATTATAAAAAAATTGATTTATTTAAAAAAAAGTCATTTTTGAAAAAAGGATTTTTTTGATCTTGGCTAGGCTTTTTTATTCTAACTGCAAATGTAACTTCTTTTTTTTTTAATTGTAAATATTCTTTTAGATTTATAATTCTTGACCATTATAATTTTTTTAATATTAATTTAGAAGTAGCAGATTTTCTTGCGAACCTATCAACGGATTAACGTCTTTAACTGAACCTCCTAAGGGTCCGGGTTTCGGCATACGGCCTGATTTATGATTCAATTAATATTTCAACGTTTGAGAATAATATACATAATTTATAAATAATTAAATTATCTGCGTTTATATAGAAAATAATATAAAAAGTTGTCATTCTATTATTAAATTTACTTATTTTTCTATAAATGTGAATATTAATTATTTGTAATATTTTATTTTCCCTATTGTTAGTATAGTTGGGTAATGGCTAACTGTTGGCTACAACGGTTCAATCTACCGGTGCTTGCGGATAAAATCCGTTAATATTAAGGCAATTTAATTTATATTAGTTTCTTTTAAATTTGAGCTGCTATATATTAAAGAAAAGCTCCGAGGCCAAAGTGATAGCTTTCTTGTTGCATCAAAATATCTAAAATTATATATTTTAAAATATATATATAAAATAAGTTAGAAAAATATATAAAATGATGGAATATTTTTTTTTATAAAAGCTTGTAGTATTTTGAGCGATTATTATGAGCGAGCGGATGAGCAGTTTAATTGATAAACCCACTACATTCTGTAAAATCTAACAAATACTTATTGCTGCTAACAGTGAATAAGTTTCTGTTAGTTTTTACAGAACGCAGAAATAGATCATACTATTAACAAACTCTCAAGGCTTGCGTAATAGTATTTTGGCTAATACCTTAATTTAAAATCAGATAAATCCAATTGTTTAACCCTGCATTTGCAATTTGCGTGAATTTGCTGCCAAGTATATAAAAGTTGCTGTATTTTTGAATTCTTCTCCACAAATTCGCGCTAACTGCGAATTAACAGTAACAGAACTCAATGTCATATAATACTTATCTAGACTGACAGTTCAATTATAAAAATGCCCCTTAAGGCCTTGTTGAATACAAATCAGATGGTCACACGCCATTTTTGTTTTCCATATAATTTATTTTAATAATATTTATTTTTTTTATATGCTTGCATTAAATTTTATATGTAATGGCGTGCCATAAGCTGATTTGTATTGACATTGAATCATCAATCTAGTTATATAGTTAAGTAATGTCAGATCAGCCCAACAATCTAAAGGCCTAATACAATACTGGGATGAACGGACTTGAGCAGATAGGTGCAGAACCTTAAATTTGTAAGTCATAAGTGTAGTAAATGGCGATTACAATTCTATCAAAGGCTTTATACCAACGTTTAGAGAAATAATTTCTTGTAGCAATATATTTTATCTATTAATAGATAACTTTCCAATAAATTTATATTACCTATAGCCTACCTCTCTTATGTGCAACGATACCAGATTTCCCTCTTTTGGCGATTTTGCGCATAGCTAGCATTAATGCTTGGACATCTATTTACCAAATCTCGATGGTTGTTTAATATTATTTTAGCTAAAATCTTAATTGGGCCGTTTTGAAAAATCGGGCTTTTTAACAACACTGTTGTGCAGAACCTTAAAAATTGTAACCTTTCCCTATCAAATGTAACATCTTTTTGTGCCGATAACGCTATTGCGAATTTCAGAAAAAGCAAATGTGTGTTGGCGGAATTATTAGTTTTGAATGAAAATATTGTGCCATACAATTCTTATTACAAGAAGAAAGGGGCATTCTTCATTATCAATAGATATAGAAAGATTTGCGATAAAATGTTATGCCGAATTCAGCAGTAAATAGGGTACCTATCTTAAAATAAATTATAGATTCTCAAGTTATTGAATGGTCTGAACTTCTACGAATAATTCCAACAAGATCGTTATCATTAATTCCGGTTCTCGAAAGACTTAATAAAAACTATTTAGCTGTTCTTTTTTATGCCAAAAACCCCAATTCAACATAAAAAAAATTTTTGTTTGGCTGAAGCTTATTGGGCTTGGTTATTAATATAGGGACAACATTAAATTACTTGGTTAAAAAATTGTAGCCCGAAAATTCAAGTGCAGGTCGAGATTTGTTGTGATGATAAATTGATCACTATCTATTAACTAATCGCGATCTATTAAATAAAAGATCAAATGTTGTGATGTCCAAATCGCTATCTATTAACTAATCGCGAGCTATTAAATAAAAGATTTATTCTTTATATTAAATTAACTTTAACCTTGCGGACTCGTTTTATAAAATTAACTCAATAATTCGACATAAATTACTTGATAGATTTTGTAAACTATATAAACTTAGAAAATTATTGTACTTACCAGTTAAAAAATATTTTTAAAATAAATTTATTTAATTTAGTTAAATTTCTGTTTCTCATTTTTTTTCAACCTTAATAAGATGTTTTCAATAATGTATAAATTACAACTTTAAAAGCCCAAGTTATTAATAACTTTCCCGGTTACAGATAAAATCTGATATTCATTATATCGCATTATGAATGATGTTAATAAATTTATTAAAATAATCATTTCGTATTTAGATAAAAGTTATGAATTTACAAATAATAAATGGGAAAATCTAAGTATTATAAGGCTTGATATTAATTTAAATTCGAGGAAGTTAAATTAATATATTAATCTTTAACTGATATTTTTTTTAAAAATGCGCTTTTGGAATATTGGGCAAAATATGATCGATTATTCTAATCTAGCATTCTGCAGAAATCTTATTTTCCTTATATTTTTATACTATCTTTAGAGATCTAAAATCTTTAAAGATTTATCGAAAAGTTTGTAAATCACTAGCCTGTCTTGTCCTGTATCATTGGTATTGGTACTATTATTATTTTTTCTATAAATATTTCTCCTGATAGTTCGGTTGTCAAAATTTCAAATGGCATCGCTAGAAAGTTTTGTTAATCGTAAGTTTTTAAATACATTTCTTTTAATTTGTGTATTTTAGATACCGTTTCAATAATAACTTCAGATGGTCGAAATATTGTGGTGAATTTTTTCATTTTTTAATACCTTTTATAAATTTAATATGTAATTTGAATACACTGTAAAGCCTATTGAACCTACTTGATCACTAAAATTAATGTCCACTACACCGATTTATTATACTTAATTAGTGACGGGGCTTAATTTATGTATTATGGCAAAGCTTTACTATATATTTATGATTTTTCATAAAAATGTATACTTATATATATTATATAGGGTACATTAAAAGGATTTGATCAAACTCTAAATGTTATATTAGATGAAAGTCATGAAAGAGTTTATAGTACCAATCAAGGTATTGAACAAGTTGTATTAGGCCTGTATATAATACGTGGAGATAATATGTAATAGTTAATATAAAATTTTGATTTTAACATATTTTAGAGTACTTATTGGAGAAATTGATGATGATATTGATAAAAATTTAGAACTTTCAAGTATAAAAGCTGAGCCTTTGAACCCCTTAGTACGATGATTGTATCCTATATTAAATAAATGTAAATAATAATTGTAAATTATATAAATATTTAATAAATTACTGGACTATATAAATAAAAATATGGACTAATTTGGATTATAACAGTATCCTGTTGGTATGATAGTTTATAATTAGTTGTAAAAATTTTTATTAAATATCTAGATCCAAATAATTTATTCAAAAAATATATCATATATAAACACAAATTAGAGGTCAATATGGGGTATATTTTTTTTATTAGCCTGTTCACTCATGCTGGCCCTAAAAATATTCAGGTTGATTTTATTCTAATTCTCAATTATTATTAGCCCAATTCACCCACTTATGAAGGACAAGAATTTTATTATTACCATAAAATTGATTGGTTATTTTGAAAGTAGTTTAATTTTGAAATTTTTAATGCAATTTTATTTAATATGCCTGCACTTTTTTGAATTTTTCTTTTCAATTTTTATTCACCAAATATTATAATTATGTGATGCTAATCCCTCTAGTGTTGAGAAGCAACAGAGCTATGTTAGGTTTTCTCATATTCCATCAAACTGGATATTAATTTTGAGAGAGAAAAAAATGAGGAACCCTTCACACGTTTTTGGGTGATCTGCACAAACTTAAACACATAACAGCCCAAAAACTGTTATTTAAATCTCCATAGGCTAAGAAAAAAGAGTTGGGGAAACAAAAGTCTATAACCACGAACCAGTTTTTGTTAAAAGCTACCTTTATAATAGTGCATTCTTGCTACCACCATTTTACAAAAAATAGCTAGCTACTGCTACCACTACCTTTTCAAAAGGTAGATCACTATTATATACAAAAAAAAGTTAGCTAGTTATTTTTATGCTACTTTAGAACTTTTTTAAAAATATTTTTTATGTATCTCAATTTCCACAAATAAAAAATATAACTAAAATTTCAAATATATATGTATAATTTATTTTTTATTGTATCACAATAATTGTAACGCTTCCAAACTCTCATCCCCAAGTCTAGAGTAACGATCAGAAAGTATAAACTATGGCCAAATAATCGTTCAACGCTAGCACACAATGCAGTATTAAATTAAATATTCCTATTTTTTATATAAAAAAATCATCAAAAATATTATTTTTAGATCTTAAAAAATATGTCTAAAATTTAAAAAATCATCTAAAAATAGGTGGCGTTTTTGATCTGGCTATGGTCAGTTTAAATTATAATAGTAATAGTTAGAATAAAAAATATATAGGGGAGATAGATGGCTATGTATGCCAACTTGCTATGCCACCACTCTTTAACTTTTATATATTAAACCAATTCCTCTCAAAATTAGTTAAAATGTGAAAGGATTGAAATAATTATTTTTTAGTATGTTTTGATGAAATTTATATATAGATGAGTGGTTAATTTAAAGCATGTTTAACATCCAGATAATAATTTATAAAATATTATCATTAGATGGATGAATCTGATGATAAAATCAAATATTGTAATTTTTAATATTTCTTGAATAATATATTACCAGATGAAACATACCATGTTTGGATTAAGCTTGAAAATTAACTTATAAATTCATCTATCTCAAAATTATAATAGATACATCTTTGATTCAAATTTTATTTTAAAGTCCGGGCTACATATTCCAAATCACTATAAATTGCGAATCTTGCTTATATCTCCTAGAATTTTAAAAGTAATATTGAAAATAATATTAATAGATGGTAGGAAGAGCACTTGTGTTTAAATTGAGTTTTTCAAAAATCGCTATAATGAAGAAAATATTATCATTGTTCCCCGAATTGGAAACAATATTTGGGAATATGGATTATAATTTTATCATTTTAGCGATTATTTTTATAAAACTCAATTTAAATACAAGTGCCTACTTCCCTAACATCTATTAATATTTATTTTAAATTTACTTTAAAAATTTATTATAAGCGAAATTCCCAATTTTTTTTGTTTTGAGCAATTTAAAACCGAATTTGTTTAAATATTACTTTTAAATGTTTCCTCGTTGAAACTGGTAGTTTTGTTCGATGATATAACCTTCCGGTATTTCTTACAATGAAATTTATACCTTGTGTTAATTTTTTTTATCGAGATTAAATTATTTTGCAAATTCAAAGGGAAATTTCATCTTTTCATCATTTTTCAGGGAAATTACTTTATCAATATGATCTTTATAAAAATTATCTTCAATATCAATCTCTATTGTCGACATTTTAAATTATTTTGAAAACTAGGTTTATAATGCACATTTTTAAATATAAATTTCAAAATTAAATTAGATATTAAGTTTATGATTTAAGAATTAATTATTTATATATTATAATAATTTTTATGTGTATTTATTATATAAAATTGAAGTAGCGAGCAACCGCCATCGCTATTTAGTAGCGTGCTACTTTAACAATGCCGAGAGCTTCAGTATAATTTAATTACCTTAAAGGTGGGAGCGTGGCTGATTTAAGTTTAAATTCCTTTGTGTAAGTATGAAATGATTATTATCGATATTGAGTATCCATTGAATTTCGATTTATCCTAAATAAATAAAATTTAGTATATATTATTTAACTTCCATGGAAGATCATTCAAACAAAATTCTTTACACTTATCATTTGAACAAATTGCATGATACAATTGCTCCTGAAACCACTTTTCAATCCCCGTTTCGAATTAACTTATTAACTTAATACCAAATTATTATTATTATATTTTGAATCATTAAAAATAAATAATCAATCGTAAAGTTTAAAAAAATATATAAAGATAATCTAACAAAAAAAGTCAATATTAAAATGTCCATGCCAAGCCAAGCAAATTAAAAAAAATAATTGTTCCAAAATTGTTAACTGACCAAAAAGGCCTTGCAGATCTCCAATTTGTATAATTTTAATAATATATTATGCAAATATTATTCATTTCATTCATGCAGATAAGAATTTGATCAAATAATGTTAAAATATTAGAGATCAAATAATGTCAAATAGTTGAAATAAAATATGATTGCTCGCTAAGAATTAAATCACTACTGTAATGCATATAATATACTTAAATATTTGAATGTTAACTAATAGAATTAGCAAACATACATTTTACGGAAATTATACAGTTAGTTTAGTATAAAATAAATCGCATATTAAATTTTTTATAATTTTGATATTTTTTTTGATAAATTATGATATTCCTTCTATTGATAGAGGTGTGCTGCATCTAGCAAGCAGATAATTTGGTAAGCACGTTCCTCTTGAAATTATTGGCCGCTTTTGTAGCACAACTATCTTAATAGGTTCATCAGCTATAATTGATATGAGCCATTCTTCCTAATAGTTTGCCTTAGACTTTTGAACGAGAATGGCAAGCACCTGGAATGTCAATACGATGCCAAATGCTCATGTAGGACGTTTCAGGTGCTACCTTATTTTTTTCAATATGGGACTCGGACCTATTGAAACTTTGAAAGGTCAAAAAGATAAATATATATATATATGTATCTAGAAAATTCCTCCATCTTTTTACCCATATTCTTCCTTTTTTGTGGAATTCCTTTCCCCAATCCATAAAATTATTGAATTTATTTGGCAGGTAATTTTCTCTAAATAACTGGGAGAAAATTAAGTTCCTCTCTTTAATTTAAAAAACTTTATTCAAGATTCTAAGAGGTAAGTATAAATGCTTTTTTGAAACATTTCCTAATCTATCTTATTCCTCCTTACTAGTGTTATTAAACGGCTCGTCTTGAGCCGATTTTTAAAAACTGCTAATTCAATATTTTATCCAGAAAAATACTACGCAAGTCTGAAGATTTTGCTTTTAGAAGGAACAAAAATGCAGAAATATATTAACGAAATCTTGAGGGTATAGCATTATTTTTCTGGCTAAAATATTGAGTTAGCCGTTTTAAAGAACGGACTCAAAACGAGCCGTTTAATATCACTACTTACCTCATAATATATATATTGCAAATTTTTTTTTATCGTTTTTGCTCTTATTTTTCTTTAAAAATTGTCGAATACGTGTATTAAGTTAATTATAAATTTAAAGAAAAAGTTAATTTGAATATAAAATTTGCAAAGAATGTTTAAATTGTAAAGGTAATTGAAAGGTTTAAATTATAAGCAAATTAAAGGATAATTATATAAAATAATTATCGATGTAAATTTTAGTAGTATAAATATAGAGATCGAATATGTAAAGAAAAAGAAGAAATGGAACTTTTTATATAATAGTTTGTTTTATATATTTTTAGTTGATTATATACATTTACGTTTTAGTTTATTTATGTTTTTTAGAATGATTTTGATTATTATTTGATAAATTAATTTGGCATCTTCAACTCATGTTCATATTAAATTTCAACTTGCAACAAAAATAAGGATGCAAAATGCAATTCATATTTATGCAAAATTTTTTTATCAATAGATTTAGCAAAACTTTTATCTCGACCCAAATATAAAGGAATTTTATAGCAAAGGTTATATCTAAAATTGTAATCGAATGCGTTGTTCTTAAACGAATTTGTTTATTTGAAAAAAATTTTAATTCAAATTTTTTAATCAGTTGTTTCCTACATCACATCTGAATATTATGTTCGATGGTTTAGTATATTAATTTGAAATTTATTATTTTATTAAATATAATGGCTTAAGCATGGACGTTGTTATTTCATCATTTTTATATAATTCAGAATAATACAACATTACTATGCCCCAAATATAATAAATACTTATAAGTAACATCCTATCTTCAATAAATATGTGTAATATCAGTTTCAAAATCTTACTTTAATATTTTTTTATTTTATAATAAAATAAAACTATAAGTATCCTGTTAATAATTTATTTTAGATTGTTGGGTTGGGTTTCATCATTATTAAATAATAATAATTATAATTGGGATAAATAAAGTAAAGAATATTTTATATATAGATATAAAATAGTAAATATCTTTTAGAATACATTTATTTTTAGTATGATAAATTGAAATTTCTTTATTATTTACAAATTTTTATCAATACTTATAAATTATTATGAATTTATAAATTTTATAAATAATATGATATATAAATTTTTTTATATATTGAATTAATAAGAAATCTTTTTTGATAACAAAGGTTTGGACATCTATTAGCGAAATCTAAAGGCCTAGGCAATATTTTTCTGTCTAAATATTGAGTTAGCCAGATAAAAATTATGAAATTATTTTAGTTATTTTTGATCATTTAAAAAATAACTTATTAATAAACTTAAAAAGGGCCTATTTATTTCCTAGATAAAATAAGTAATCTAATTACAGAAAAATTCCATTGAAATATAAACATCCATGTTATTATATATGTGACATGTTGATTTTAAAAGATTGATTAACAAACCTGTCAGATATAATCAAGCTTGGGAAAGCTAAGATTTTACTCCTTTAATGGTAATCCTAATTAGTTCGGAATCGAAAAACTTGTTAAGATCATGTTGAATATAGTCCAATACAATAAGTGAATTCTGTATTCCCTTGATTATCATTTGTGCCAAAGACCTTTTAAAATAAAAATTATTAATAAATGACTATAGCCTAGCAATTGCAACAATTAACTATATATGTATGACGTGTCATTTCTGATAATTGATATATTTATTTGTTAATTTTATCAAACGTCTTATGAATGTTATAGATCAAAGGATCTTTCATAATAATTAAATTAAATATACATCGAGATATTTGTCGAATGAGGTAACATTTAGCAAGAGACATCTCATTTTGGTTAGGTTTTAAAATCATGAATTTAAATTTTTCTCGCACTCTTTTATGTATAAGGTTTACGATTTATAATATATAATTAATAATTCTTTATCTTAGTTCCAATCTTATAACAAATATTAACCGTTCATTGAAAAAGAGGACTTTTCCTTATAGGCCTCGTTTGAAAGATTTGAGGATAAACCCTATAACTAAAGTAGTAGATCGTGATTTGACCCCAGAAAATAGTGAATTTTTAAATGTAACTATCGTGATTAATAGCATATGATATAATTTATTATTAGAAATTGGTTGAAAATTTAAATTCTACTAATACTAATGATCTTAGCCCTCTTAAAGAAACACCATGGGCAAAAGGGGAATGGTTTCCAGGGTAATGATAATGTTTTTATGAAGTGAAATAGCATAAATTTGCCTAATTATCAGCTTATCAATAAAACTATCAAAACCTTGTTCTGACTTTTTAATATTATTTAGACAATTTGTCTGGCCTAGAAAATTATTTTTGCCAATTTGGGTATTATGTGTAGCTGTCCTCATCTTACCTTTGTATCTTTTTTTATGAATAACCTTACTCATTACTTTCCAAAAAATGTTACTTTATTTTTTCCAAATAAATATAATATATAAAAGGTTAAAAAAATATAATATTATGATTTAATTTATTTTTAACAATTCTTTTATAATTCTGATCCAAAAACAGTAACATTAAGTACTTAACCCACTTGTGTGGTGCTAAAAACATATTCAATGGTGCCAATGATTGGGTAGGATTATATTTTTAATTATTCTATTTATTTAAATTAAAAGATTTATATTTATGGTAATATTAATTATTCCTAAAAAGCTTTAAATTTCCATTTTGTTTGTAGGACTGATTGTATCCAAATATTTAATATGGGAAAGGGTAACGTATCTTTTAAAAAAAATTAATTGTCGGTTTAAAAAAATTATATCTCTTCAGTGATAAAAATTTGCATTTGTCAAAATTTTATTTGATTCCACTGTTCCTTAATAATGTTAATTTATACATGCTTTGTGCTCTTCTAAAGTTAATTCACTTGCTATTATATCATCCATATAAATGCTATCCTAGGTGGACCTTTATATAGTGAATTTACATCACTATTAAAAATAGTGAGGCCAAAATGACTCTGAACGGTAGTTCAATATTTTATTTTGATTCTTCCTCTAATTGGATTTGATCATAGATCGAAAATTGTGAAATACGATCCTCTTCCAATATTTTATAGTAGTTCATCGATCCATGGTAGTGCTGTTAACATTTCTAAAAAAGAACACGTTCAACGTTCATTGACAAAAATCGAACGCGTTCAAGTTCACTTTCAAAAATAAGGAACGCGTTCACTTTCAAGAACGCTTTCACTTTCATGAACCGTTCAAAATTTTATGATAATTTTTTTTTTAAATTTAATCTAATATAAATAAATGTCTTATATTTATTAACACATAGTCATATTAAAAAATGTTATATTTTTATTTTGATAATATAATTATATTCAATATAATATATCAATAAGATATTTTTATTTATAAAAAAATTTTCTTATTAATTTTTAATAACAATATTTTTCAAAATCTTTATCTGATAGACAGGAATGCTTAGCAGTTAATACGGCATTAGCTATACTAAAAAGCGCTTAAGAGTAGATGAGGGGATTGCGGTGTTATACTTAATAAATAACCCTTTTAACGTGGGGAATTTATTAAAACATTTATAGTTTTGTTATTTGCTTCAAAAAATTGAGATAAGTTATCCTCCAATCCATTCTCTACTTCCTCATCATTTCTATGTTTTCAAAACATTCTTTTCAATAACGCTATAGGTTTTTAATAGGTTCGTTCTGTAGAAGTTTTATCGATTATTGAAGCTTGAATACTGGATGTATAATTGCAGAAAGAATATATTGATCTTCATATATATGTTCAAATCTTTAAAAAAAATATATATATGTAATTAATTGAGAGTGATAGGTTTAATACCTTTTATTAATCCCATTTAATATGGCATCAATGGTTGACCATATTTGAGGCCACTAATTTTTTTAATTTTAAAATAACTATCGTTATTGTTGGGGTCAAGTAAGCCAAATGCATTTTTTCTTCAAATTTAATGATTTTACTTAGTTAAATTATATAAAATAAAATAATTAATATTACAATCAAATGTCGTTTTAAATTGGAACCTGAAGATTTTGACAATATAATACTTTTTGGCCACATTTTACACTTGGTAAGCATTGAATTAGTTCCTTCAATATAGGATGTTACTATAAAACATTTATCATATTTGGCCATGGTAATGATAATTCATCTGATTTTGGATTTTCAGAATCAGATGATGAGGATTAAACAATAATATCCTTGATTATTAATATAATTAAAATATGAACAATAATATTCAAATTAAAAAACTATGTGTTAATAAAATTAAAATGTGAAAAGGAAATACACAGCCGCGATTAAAAAAATATATATAATACTTTTTAAAAAAATTCATAAATATTAAATTTTTCAAATGAATAATAATAAAAAGTATTTTTAAAATTTATCGAACGTTAAATTCGAACGCGTTCGTCATAATAAAGGAACGCGTTCACGTTCAAAGTTCGTCAAAAATAAAAGGAACGCCTTTCAAAACGAACTTCGTATGAACGCGTTCGTTTACAACACTAATTAATCCGTGGTATAGGATAAGGTCTGTTGCCTATTTAGCCTTGATCGTTTGGGGAAAATCATCACAGATTCTGTAGTCATAACTTTTTTAAGATAATAAATATGAGTTTGGCTATACAGGAAAAGTATATTCTTTCAACTATTTTTATACTAATTTAATTGATTCTCTATTTTATTCCAAGATAATGGTTCAGGATGTGGCCTAAGAATCCCATTTTTTTTCTTGAAGATTATGTGATTCTACTAAGGTTTGCATTAAATAAGTCACCCGATAATTTATATGATTTTTTGTCTTATATTACCTTTTAATATTTTTCCCTCTAAAAAATAGAAGTAAATATAATTTATAGTTAAAATAACTTTACCCAATATATTTATTACAAAATTTTTATAAGATTTTTTAATATATTTATTTTAATTAAATGGGTTTGGGGTAAAAAATTCAACTTTTGAATATTTAGTAACGATACAACGACTCCAGTATTTACTATTTTATTTCAATATTATTCTCCCATATTCCTGGGCTCCTACCTCCACTCTTTGTATTTTATAACAACGCCTCTTCGACAGATATACATTTGATAAAATATCCTTTTGTAACATATCAGAATTTGAATCTACACATCGCCCTTCACATAATTTTCTCGTGGCCACCATCAAGCTTTTGTCCTTTAAAATTTTCTCGATTTTTTTATTATGACTTGTTAATTTGATTTATGTTTTCTGTGGTTATTGCTCTTAACTTGATATTTACTTGTTTTTCAAAATCACAAATTTTTGATGTTTTTTAATTAAACTATAAAATCAATTATTGATTCATTAACCGTTTGTTTTTTTTTGGATTTTAACCCATTCATAAAGCTGTTTTCTTTTAACCTGATAATTATTTTTTTGGAAGAAGCAAAACAAACAGGTAATGAATTAATTATTGTCATTTTTGGGGAACTGCCCTGCCGACATAAAAAAACATCAATATTGTAGCAAAATCACTAGCTATTAAAAATTTAACATGGGATGTTCTAACCAACATAATAACAACCATGGATAATAAAAGTTAGTTGACGATAACTCATAATAATAATGCAGATCTATGTGAATTTAAAAATAAAATTAGAATATAACAGTGTTGTTTATCCTTTAATATAATAAGAATTTCCTCTTTCATTGGACTATCAATCTCGGAATCAGATATTTCTAAAACCTTACTCTTTATTGCTTTTTCAATCTTTTGAATTTTATTTTTAGGATATTTTTTCTCCATTAAACGTTTTCTTTTAATTGGTGATTCTCCAATATTGTGTAATGTTTCATTAATCGATTCAAAAGCATCCTGATTATGGGTTATTGGGGATATAAATTCTTCGGGAATATGTGGACCAATTTTACTTAACTGGTATCGGCACGAATTACATATTTTTTGTTGAAGATATAAATGATTATTTATATTAAGCATCCATGGAAGAACTGATCTTAAATTTTTTTTAAAATTTTTATGATTAACTTTATTCAGTGGATTGCAACATTTTATCTTATCTTTTAAGGGTTTCATTTAAAAAAATTTATTTATTTTTAAACGACAAGTAAAAATATTTATATGTAAAAGATATGAATCGGTGTTTGTGAAAAAATATTAAAGAAATCAATTTGTATTTTTAGCAACTGTGATTTATCGATTAAATTCGCTAATTAATTTTGCTAATCAGTTTATTTTTAATAATTTTAAGAAAAGATAAAAACAGCTGACTTACTTTTATTAATTTTTTCAGTGTTAAACATATGCTCAAAATTCAAAGACTTTGATCAAAAATTTTATAGAGAATGCTCAAATTCATTTGATACCCAAAATTTTATAACTAGTTAATTTTTTGTTAATTATATCGCTTAAAATTTTTTTAAAAATCTTTGAAATTTTCTGGTTAATGACAATTTTATAACATTCTTGGTCTTGATGGGTATGACTTAGTCTGGAGGGGGGGGATGGGGGGTAGGCCGAGTAATTATATGATTTTCGATTTTTCCCTTAATAATTTTCCTGCACTCCTTTAATCCTGCTTTTTTGTTCGCATGTTAGTCGGATTTTTTAATTATTTTTAATTTACATTGAAATATTAAAAAAATTATTAAAAATTTTTATCCTGAGAATATCTCAAGGGAATAAGGTTTACAAAGTTATATAATCTAATTTTATGATATATTATACATTAAAATATTTTTAATCAATAAAAAAATAAATTTTAACATATTAAAACTATTATATATAGCGCCATCTATTTTTTTAAAGTATAAAAATCGTAATATTTTTTAAAATAAATATCCAGCCATGCTAATTGTTGAAGAAATTATTAAAAAAATAGTAAACGGATAATATTTCTTAAAAAAAATAAAAATCGGAGATCATATACATTTCGAAATATTAATTTCAAGTTTTCAACTGACCATAAGATGACCCATATTTTATAAAAAATTAATTTTGATGTTTTCGTCATAATCATAAATTATTAACTTAGCTATTGATATGATATTAGATTCAATATTTGATCATATTTAGTTTTAAATTAAAAACTAATTATTTGACATCAGTAAAAAGCAAAAAAAGACGTTTTTTGGACCTTTAACCCCGATTATCTCGGCTAATATAGTTGCTAATGCGCTAAAATTTTGTTTATAATCTAATGGGAACATATATAACCAGTCTACAACTTTTTATCGAAATTGAAAGGGGTCGGCCGAAAATCTTGATTTTTTTGCTCATTTGACATGGAAATCAACAATATCAAATTCTTACAATTTTGCCTCAAGGATGGAGTGTAAATAAAATTCAAAAGGAATTCAACGTAACATCATACATGGCAAGAAAATCTAAAATGATGGTAAAAGAAAGTGGAATTCTTTCATTTCCAAAACATAAGGCAGGAAAGACACTAAACGAAAAAACATTTAAACTCGTCAAGGATTTTTATAGTTCTGATGAAATAAGCCGACTCATGCCAGGAATAAAAGATTGTGTATCTGTTAAAGGCGAGAAAGAACCAGTTCAAAAAAGACTTATATTAAATAATCTTAAAGAAATATTCAAGATGTTTAAGGAAGAATACCCAAATATATCAATTGGATTCTCTAAATTTGCCGAACTTAGACCAAAAAACTGTATTTTAGTTGGAGCTAGTGGCACACACACTGTTTGTGTCTGCGCTATTCATCAGAATGTGAAATTAATGACAAATGTAATAGCTGAAATTACAGCAGGAGAAGATTACTGTATAAATTCTTACAACTATCTAATGGCGCAAATTATTTGTAATCCATCTCAGCCAAAATGTTATTTAACAAATTGTGATCAATGCCCTGGTATAGAATCTCTTAAGGGACAATTATACCAATTGTTTCAAAGAAATCGTATAGAATATGTCACGTTTAAACAATGGATCACGGTGGATAGAACAAATCTTGAAACTATTATAAAGTCCGTTGATGATTTCATCGATTATTTATTAGAAAAAGTTCAAATTTTACTGCGTCACTCGTTTATAGCTAAACAACAAAGTTTATTTTTGAAGAATTCCAAAGAAAATTTAAAAGATGGGGAATTTTTAACAATTCTAGATTATTCTGAAAATTATTCCTTCATTTTACAAGATGAAGTTCAGGGATTTCATTGGAACAACGTGCATGCCACTATACATCTATTTGTAGCATATTATAAATCTGGAGAAGATTTAAAAAATATAAATTTTGTTATTATATCCGAATCATTAAACCATAATACTAGTGCAGTCCACCTTTACCAAAAAAAATTTCTTAATTTCTTAACAGCCAAATTTAATTCTAAACCAGAAAAAATAATATATTTTTCAGATGGAGCCGCGTCTCAATACAAGAATCGCAAAAATTTTCTGAACATATGCCTTCATAAATATGATTTTAATATTCCTGCCGAAAAGCATTTCTTTGCCACTGCTCACGGCAAAAATGCATGTGACGGTATCGGGGGAACTGTCAAAGGATTAGTTGCCAGAGCTAGTCTTCAAAGGCCAAATAAAAATCAAATCCTAACCCCATTAGAATTATATAATTATGCTAAAGAAAATATTAATGGAATTCAATTTGAATATATATCCAATCAAGAATATATCGAAGGGGAATTAGCCCTTCGCAAAAGATTTAATTCTGCGCTGCCCATACATGGGACCTTAAAAATTCACGGGGTTATTCCCATTTATCAAAATAGACTAAAAACCAAAATATATTCAAATTCTAAAAAATATAATATAAAACAAGTTTCGTTTTTAAATGTAAAAATTATATTTAAAAATATTAATGGATATGTAACATGTGTATATGATGATAAATGGTGGTTAGGATATACAATCGATAAATATGATACAAATGAAGAAGTAAAAATCCGATTTTTACACCCTTGTGGACCTTCAGCCTCATTTAAATTTCCCCTGAAAGATGATATTTTAGTGTTACCTAAATCTCATATTCTTTCGCTGGTCAATCCTTCTACTCCCACCGGTCGAACATATATATTATCTCCTGAAGAAATCTCACAAGCTAGCCAGGCTTTGTGTTCCTTTAGATGAAGTAAGATTTAATTAATTTATAAACTATCTTAATTAGGCTAAATTTGTGAAGATTTTAAAAATTTATGATCTGAATTACAAATAAATATATATAATGGACATTGTAATCGATTTAGTATGATATATATACATTAAAATATTTTTAATCAATAAAAAAATGAATTTTAACATATTAAAACTATTATATATAGCGCCATCTATTTTTTTTAAAGTATAAAAATCGCAATATTTTTTAAAATAAATATCCAGCCATGCTAATTGTTGAAGAAATTATTAAAAAAATAGTAAGCGGATAATATTTCTTAAAAAAATTAAAAATCGGAGATCATATACATTTCGAAATATTAATTTCAAGTTTTCAACTGACCATAAGATGACCCATATTTTATCAAAAATTAATTTTGATGTTTTTGCCATAATCATAAATTATTAACTTAGCTATTGATATTATATTCAATATTTGATCATATTTAGTTTAAAATTAAAAACTAGTTATTTAACATCAGTAAAAAGCAAAAAAAGACGTTTAGACCTTTAACCCCGAATATCTCCGCTAATATAGTTGCTCATCCGCTAAAATTTTATTTCTAATCTAATGGGAACATATATAACCAGCTTACGATTTTTCATCAAAATCGAAAGGGGTCGGCCGAAAAGTGATTGATTTGACATGGAATGACCCGTATGTGATTCACATCAATTGCTGATAAGATATTTTTTTTAAACATTCACTTTAATGAATTATCAGAGTAAAACGTTCTGGTGTTATTGCTAAAAAGATTGGACAATTTCCCCAATGGTTAAAAAATGGAACAAAGGTGTATGTTACACTACTGCAAGTACAATTTTGTTAAAAAAATATGAATTAATATTACATCATTATTAGGTACACGATAATCATGTTATAAATTACCAACCTCCTGACGTCTTAGCACAATCCCATTCTTGCAAAGATTACTGGAAGGGTAAATTTGGGTCTTTAGTAGTTGGGACTCAAACTTCTGATCCTAGAATGGTATTTGAAAAAAACAATATTTATAAAAATATTCTAAGCCATTTCAAAATGCTTTTATATTTAAAAAAGTATTTCTAATATTTATTTATGATCTGGGCTATAACTAAAACAATTATTCGATTCCAAAATTCAATAATAATATAAAGAGAATATATTATCTGTCGAATAAATTTTTATATCTATTATTCTAGTGTTTGCAGAAGTCGGTCGGACCGACTGTCCGGCCCAGTTTGGTCTCATCTGACTCTTGGGTCCGACGGGACGGTCCGACCGAAGACTGATTAAAGGAGATAAAAGTTTACTATGAATTGCTTTTTAGTTAATGTAAATGTAGAACACATAAAACATGATTATTTAATGCCTAACACTTTATAAATCTCATTCATCGTTTATATTTTAAATTATTCCGTTTCATTATATTCATTCGTCAAGTAATTTAATTTAGTAGGGTAGGTAGTATTATATTTTTAGAAATTGAAATTGAAATCATGGAAGTTGATAATAATATTGAACCGCCACCCCCTTCAGATGGTGAAATAATGATTATAGATGTAAATGTAAAAATCGACCAAATTCAAATTTGAAAGATGTTAAATAATTATATAAGTTTTTTAAAAAGGATAATGGTAGGAAAACATCTAAATTATGTCTACAGATATTTCCCAATTCTTCAAGCACAAGTAAATTATGCATATATATATATATCAAAATGAGAGCTCAAAGAGGGAAAGAATAACCAGGGATCGGCTCATGGAAACTGGGACATCAGAGAAAGATGATATAAATAAAATACAAAACGATTTACCTGATATTTTATCAATTAATTCCAACATACTAGATTGGTGGGAAGGGAATCATTATCGATTTCTAATTCTAGCCAAAATATCAATGGACTATCTCCCACGGCAGGCTACATCAGTAGCATGAGCGGATCTTTTCTAAAGCTAGTGATAAAATAACAAAAAAGCGAAATAATAAATCCAAAGATGGTTCAATCTCTAATGACACTTGAATTATGGATAAAAAAATGGAATAATTTTTGATTTTTTAGTAGTTAATTAGAATATTTATATATAAGTCAGTTTTATTTCATAACCAAATATCTATCGCATATATATACATATCAAAATGTATTTATTTAATATTCTTAATATTGGGCACTTGTTATAATATAAAAATAATTTGATGATATAATTAAAATATTGGTAATTTAACACTTTTCATTTTTAATAGCAGAATAAATCTTTTATAGCTTAATAAAAATATATTTTTTAGATAGGACCGAACTGGACCGATGGTTATACGGTCTGGCTCTGGTCTCACTTGACTTAACAGTCCATCGGCTCGATCTCATTTTAGAAAATAAGGACCGGACAGGATTGGACCGTTGCAAACACTATATTATTCGATCGTATTAATCCAAATTATTAGTACTATTCCAAATTTTTCGAAATTATTTTGATATTTTGAAATTATTTTGCAGAACTTTGCTGTTTTTTGAAAACTTTTTTCCACATCTATTAAATCACTTTTTAAAATTTTAATAATCGATTTTTGAAAATATTTTTAAAGAATTTAATTTTCGAATCGAATATTCGACGAATAAACTCAAATAATGTTTATTATTATTCGTAGTCGTACATAATTCGAATCTATAACGAATAATGCAAATATTAGATTTGTTTTGTATTTTTCTCATAATATATATCATTTAGTTTAGCCCTGCCTATAATGGTTTATTCGAACCTTCAGGCTTAACAAGTGCTCCCAAGGCCAAATTAACCCGGTTCATTGTTTCCCCTCAAGCAGCAATACAACCCGGCACCCCACTGAATGTCAATCATTTCAAAGTGGGTCATTACGTTGATTGCGAAGCTAAAACGTAATTTTGAATTACATGCTTAAATTTATTATTATGTAATTGATGAATAGAATATTATATAAATGAATAAGTCTTTATTGTCGAAATTTTTGGATTACATATTATTGTATTGCAACAATTGATTTTTTACAAGCTTAACATATTTTTTGCGTTATATAACTTGTATATCAAATGCATGGCTGTTGGCATGGTAATATTTATTCTTTCCATAAGAATATTTCAAAAACATATTTTCTAAATAATTATAGTATAAAAAATATACACTTTTAGAATCAACCCTTTACTTGATATAAGAAGTCATTGTCTTTATGAAAGAAATTTTAATTTAACAATTTTTTAAAAATAATTAACTCATGGAAATCTTAATATAAGCACTTAAAATGTAAGACAGAATTAAAGGATGACTGACATTTAGTGTTTCTATTACCTGACAATTTAAACATCACTCAGCCATGTTTTTATCCCTAAAATTTTGTTTCAATCTTTAAAGTTGAGTTTAACGTAGAGGTTTAAGCCAATTTTTTAGGCGGAAAGTTTTGCTACCTCTTGAAGTGGGCGAAAGTTAAGATTTTACAAAACCGTCTTTTTCACATATGAAGGAGTAATGTGCTTTTGACACCTTTTTTTCAGGCAGAAATTTTACTTTTATTTTATTTGAAAAATTATTTTCTTTTAAATGCGTCGAATTGTTCGTGATACAGAATAGAGCACGGATTTCAAGGCGTGATGAAAAGGTGGGGATTTAAAGGTGGCCCAGCTGCGCACGGCAATACCAAATCTCATAGAAGACCCGGTTCTTTTGGTGGCGGGAAGAGGGGCGATAGAAAAGTTTATATATATTTTTTTTAAATGGGTAATAACCAAAAGGGAATTTTTTTTTATGATATTTTTTCTATACCTTTGCATAATGACCTTCTAATCATATTTTTGGTCGCTAAGGAATTCCTAAGATTACATTACATGCATATTTTTATGGTAATGCACATTACTTTTTAAAATTAAGTCTTAAATTCGTTACTCGAACGAATTTTTATAAGTTGATTTCAATTATTTCACTCTTTTAAAAAACATTATTTTAATCTAGACCTATGCCAAAATACTTTTATTGCCCAGCTAAGCATTTATTCGAAATATTATCGGCGCATGGTGGTAGAGTTGATAAATAACTCACCTTTACTCAAAACAGCTTAGCCATAAAAAATCACAATTTTTTAGGCTTAACCTAAAGGTATAAGTCAATTTTTTAGGTTAAAACGCTTGGATAAATTTGTTGATTATTACAGCATTAATTCATGGAGCGTCAACTCCATTTACCATTTCTTTGTTTTTAAAATAACCATTATAATAGCCCCTTTCAATAACAGTGGAGGAGGGGGATTAATTTATTCATTTCGAAATCGTAGATTAATTTTTTTTAAGGGAGTTTTTAATAAAATAATTAATTCAAATTCAATTTTATCATTTATGATAATAATTCAGCGATCGATATCTGATAAATACCTTGGAATGAAATTTAAGTTTAAAATGAGAGTTTATAAAATAAATGGGGCAATACATAGGAATCGGTAGAGTTCATATATATGTATATGACAGGAAATCGGGATAAAATCCACATGAAAGCCAAAGTATCAGTAAAGTCTGATTTTTTCCGATTCATGCTTTCTATATGAATCCAATAAATGTGATAGTAGCTCGTACACAAAGTTTGTTGTAGACTAACATTGGCAAGCTTGGGAAGTTCGATTCGCTTTCTTTCCGAATATCATAAACTTTTTGATCTTGCGATTGCAAATTACCATAAAAATATACAGCCATTTTTTTTGAATTTATATATTATTTGTAAATGAATAGTTTATTTTATAAGAATCTTCTTTGTGCTGCGAATATCTTAGATATTTTATAAATTAATAGGAGAACAATTAAAATTAAATACTGAGTTTTATTTTACTCCAAAATGCCAAATTTATGAGAGATACTGATATCGATACTATGGTAGTATTGGTCGATAATTTCAATTTTAACCGATACCCACATAATAATTAAATCTTATTAAAAATAATTATACAAAATTATTATGGTGTTGTTATAATTTTTTTTATAACTTTAGTGATAGCGCGCTATTTATTTTTTTTGAAAGGTGACGACTTTACTCTACTTTTAAAATTAAAATTAAATTATTCATAAATATATTAGTACTTTATCAGTGACGATGCGTGAAGTTTACCACTTCGGAAACAAAATATTAAGATTTATATAAATGCGCGAATATTTATCTTTTGTTTTTGAGTAAAATTTTCAATAACTAAAAAATTGTTAAATTTTGTAATAATTTTTTTTAAATTGAGGAGATACATTGGATAACCGATAAAATTTTTATCCCTTATTAAATAATAAAATTCCCGCTCGGTATTTGTGGTTGAAGAAGACAAAGTTAAGTTAAAAACTTTTGTGCTAAATAAGAACTCAATTAAATTAATGTTTTTAAAAAAGAAGATTTTTTTTTAAGTAAATAGAAAAGGTGAATAAAATATAAAAAAATCTTTTATGAATTTGACAGGTTCTGTTTCCAAACTTAAGTTGAATCACATTTTGTTGCTAGAACCAGTTCAAACTGGTTCCTGTAATTTTTTAAAATGGGTTCTTGCTTCAATTTCAAGATTTGTAATGGATTTCCAAACTACAATTAAAATAGATATTATATGAACAAAAAAGTAAACGAACGTTGGTAAACAGCAGCGAAAATATTGCCGCTTGCCGCTTTTGTTGTTTATTTTAAAGACCTCCGACTGATAGTATCGGGTGCATAGGTCTATTCATATATCATTATTATAAATATTATGTCATTTTTCAATAAAAAAAATTTTTTAGTCTCCAGGAACGGTTCACAAAGGCACAAAGATGGCTGGTTTAATGGGAGGACGCCGTAGATGTACTCGAGGACTCAGGGTTATTTTACTTTTATTTATTGATATTAGAGTTACGAGTAATTCCATGTAAAATCGACCAGTATTTTACCCTGCATTCAAAGTTAGTGCAAATTCGCGGCGATGTATATGAAATATGCTGTATTTTTATATTCACCTCGAATTCGCTTCCAAATGGCCTCTATCAAGCACTTACTTATTTTGACAAAATCTCAAATTAAGTATTTAAGAACCTTTAAAAAAAATTCAATTTTTTTTAATTATCCAAAATTTTGGGCATTTTTTTTTAAATTATCCAAAATTTTGGGCTTTTTTTTTTAAACATCAATATTTGAGCCTGATATATTTCCATTACATATCATTTGCCAAATTTAATGAACAAAATAATACATAGGCTAAGAAGAAGTTTAATGCCCAATCACATTCAGATAAATGAATAAAATACCTAGAAAGGCTAGCTTTATAACCCTATTTTAAAATAATTCACCACCACAAAACAGTTACTCAGGATTATCAGACGTCCTCTTTTAAGATGTTCAAAAGTGTCATATCTATTTTCATTTTATTGAAAAAAAATTCAATCAATTCAATTCTTTTTATTTTTTTAAAAAACTTTTGACAAAATACCAAATTATTTACAATAATTTTGAAATATTAAATATATCAAAATAAATATTTTAAATTATTAACCTATTTACTATGCCAAAACTAAACGAGGATTTCTCCAAAAAAGTATTATCTGCTTGAATTTGTTAACAAGGAAAATAAGAGTTTTGTACGTTGTCAATATCATATTCATTTTTATAGACATATAGCAGCAATGATTTAGCTATATTGAATAAATTCTCTCAGTACTTTTTTATCCAGATTTACAAAGCTAAATGGTCAAATTTCTGTAACGGAAGCTGACGTTTTACAGTATAAAATCATTTCAGATTTAAAATAAACAGATTATAAGTCATAAAAGTATGTAATGTTGATTCCAAAGTATTTTCTATAAAAATTCAGGATTAAAGAATAATCGAAGTTGATTTTCTCATTCATATATTGTACAATGACATTTCTTTTGACTTGATAGCCTACCAATAGATTTAGAGTTTTTTTTATGAAATGAAATTTCACACTAACTAAATTTTGCTACTAATTCCATATTTGGAATATATATTTTATTCCCTCTATAATTTATATTAAGTATTATATAGCCTCTCTATAATCAAATAATATTATATTAAATCGATGACCTTTATAAAATATAGCATCTTTAACACCAATTGAAAATATACAAAGGCAAAACTTATAATCTTTGGCTTCAAGTTCAAGTATTGCGTATTTTTTTATGATTCATCATTGAATGACCATCTTAGATTAGTTGGTAATTTTTAAAAAAAATTATTTGGCTATTTAATTTAGAAAAATTTTTTATTTTTAATTGATTAATTTGGTAAATAAAAACTATCATTATTATTTTTTAATTCAAAAATAAAATAATACATAAAATATACGATTAAACATTAAAGACCTGGAGTTGGACTTCTAGAAAATCTAATAATAAATATCTATTCATAAATCTTGAAGGGAATTTGTTTATTTTTTTAAAAAAACTAATATTTTCAGATATTTTATTTAATACAAAAACAAACAAAAAATTTAAACATTTGTCACATAATTCATAATCGTATTACATAAGATACAATTATGACATTTTAAAAAGCTACTCCTTCTGATATTAAGTTCCTTATTGTTTCTTCTTTTAGAGACATGTTTTTATATAATCATAATTATGCCTATAAAGATAGACACTCGCAAGATCTAGTGCTCAAAAAAAAGATTATAATCTTGGGTGATTTTTTTGAGAAAGCTCAAAAGCATGATTTTTGATCAAATTTTACCTAGAATTCCAATTTTTTGTAAAAAATCTTTTATAATAGTTTGTGAATTTTATGCTTAAAAAAATTTATTCATGATGAAATCACAATTTTTTTTGATTTTCTTTAAAAAAAATTCCAATTTTGTTGTTCTAAGATTTTTTTGGGTAAAAAATCTTAAACTGCTCATTTAAGATTTTTATTAAACCGTAAAAAATCATGTAATTTATATATTTTTTATTATTTTAGTTTATAATTTTGAGCAGAAATAACTATCACAATAGAAAATAGGTCAAAAAATATTTTGTGGCTTACATTTAACTACCTAGTTCATTGGCGCTAAGGGGATGTGGCGTGGTATAGGATTTCTTAAAATCTAGCCGATTTGACATGGAAACACCTCTTGTTTATTAAAAGAACGGAACAATTCATTTTCCTTTTTAAAAGATAGGGCGTTAAATTTTTAAGATAAAGTAATAGTGTAGTTCTACTTTAATTTTGTTTAGCTGTGTAGACTCAACCTTCAGGCGTTTGCTGGGGAAAATCGGTTAATTATAATTTATATTAGTTTCTTTAATTTGAGCTACTATCTTTTTTTAAAAAAAATCCGAGGCATGATAGTTTTCAGCTAAAAACTTGGTTTAGCCAGCTAAAAATTGGCTTAAACGACTGAAAATTTAGTAATTACTCAACTATATTTTACTGTCATATAGCCTAACTAAATTTTACTGATAATATGCAAAATAAAGATTTGGAGAATAAACACGAAACACAATGTAATGTACATCCATGGATTCGCTGTTCCTGGTCCCATTAACTCTTTTGTTAAAGTTTTTGACACTAGAATATACCTCAAGTCACCTCGCCAAAAAGAAGTTACAAATAATTTTCACTATAATTTGATTTTTTACACGATAAAAAAGAAGTTACAAATAATTTTCACTATAATTTGATTTTTTACACGATTATGAACAATGCCCCTTTCATTTAAGGAGCGATTTAAAAAAATAGAGTAAAATAATTTCATGTTATAAATTGAGCCCCGCATAGACAGCACCTATTTGATCTAACTCGGATTGTTCTGACAAAAATATGCTCGAACCCGGCTAGGATTATTGGGCTGGATGATATTGAAAATTTAAAATTATTTTGTTTTCCTAATGAAGATAGCATCAAATTATTTTGTTTTCCTAATGAAGATATCATCAAATTTTTTTATAATATCTCCCAGAGCTTATAATTTTTCCGCTTTCTTTGAAATGACTTACTCTTTTTTTTACAGTCCAATATATATTTTTTTGGATCAAATCGGACTCATATTTATTTATAAAATAAAAGTTGGTATTTATCAAAAAAAAAATTTTTCATCAGATTAGATCTGACCTAATGCAAAGCTATAGTTATAACTACCAATATAAAATTTCTGGGATTTCGAAATCAAAATTCCCGCCCTGGGAATATTGAGGAACTTTGTAAAAATGTTTCAAATTACCTAAAAATCAAAGAATCATATTCAATTTTTCAAACCTAGAATGAATAGTTAGATATAGAATGAAAACCAAAAAGTAGTCTTAAACTGTAGTATATTAATTTTTTATGCATAAACTTTTATTTAATACCTGCCAATATTTTGAATTTTTTTTCAATGATATTCAAATATTAGGAATATTTAAAATATTCTCGGAAATTTTAAATTTCATTTTCGTGAATATACCCGAAATTCCCGGGAAGGGTTTCGGCTTTTACATTAGTGGTTATAACTATGAAATACCATACCCTTATAAAATTATGATTTCTTAAGATAATTTTACAAATTAGTTTTTTTTGAGCTATTTATAATTTTAAGCTTCAAACTATATTTTCTTTATAATAGGATGCTCCTCCTTTCCCAACATTTTATCCTGAGGATGCAAACACAAATCTTCCGGAAGAGATTATACATCCTGATTTATTTGATTTCGATGATTCATCCATAAATTTTAAATCATAAATTTCGCATTTATATAAATTTATTAATGACTAGTTCTTATATAGAAGTTTTAAGAGTGCTTGTAAAATCAATAATATTTATTAATTAATATTTTACATAATAAAAAGTCTAATCAATCTATCTTGCAATCACTCATTAAGAAACAATATAAGATCTAAGATTGTCTAAAGTATCGTTATTTTCATTGACCAATCCATTAAAATTTTGTCCATGTTACACTAATATTTAATCATAGTTTAAAAAAAAATTTACATCTGTTGCCAACCAGTTATATACCACAAAATGAATATAGAAATCTTATAATTGAGTTTTGACTTAACAAATATCCGCCTGAGAAATAAATGATTCCATCTCCACTTTTTGTAATTATTTATAAAGGAGAGAAAGCTAAAAAATTGAGTTCCTATATTTTCAATATGATGGTATAACGTTATATTAGCTATAATTTAGCTTATTTTATTTTCCGATTTTCTTATGTAAATAGAATAGTATATTTATAAAAAATTGATTTAGGTTTAAAAAAACCATTTTTGACAGAAAGTGGATATGGAATAACCTTATTCTTAAGCGACGAAATAAGTGATATCGTATTAGCTGATATCCGTTATTGGCCACTATAAACTTGATTTACAGGATTCGGTTTCTAAAAAATTGTATCAATAAATTTAAAATGAATATAAAATTATTTTTATTCTATGAATTAAAAAAAACTATACAATATAGGGATAAATATATGAATGGGCTAAAAATATATTAATTATTTTGCTTGGTTGTAAAAATTTACAATGAAACTTGTCTAATTTGTAGAGCTATCAGGAGGAGAATTTTTACTCAAATTAAATCGTTGCCCATTTTATTAGAACCAATTAAACTTTTACTAAATTAGATGGTTTTTACTTTTTTTTGTAGATTAAATGCGGTTTTACGAAAAAAAAAGTTATATTTTGGTAAAGAGAAATAATTTTAATTATTATATATTATCACAGAAAATTTCTTTGAAAAAAATGGTAGAATGAAAATGATAAGAGCATTATAATGTAATGTTATTATTTGGCTTTGAATGTTTTTTTACAAGATTTTAAAAAATTAATTAATATTAATTGATGACGATAATATGAATGTAAAATTTCAAAAATATAATAAAAATTGTTTCTCATTGTTAACGTTAATAAATACTTATATCGATAAAAATTTACAATAATATAGCATAGTAGAGTATAAGAATAATTGGTCCAATATTTTAGATAATAATACAGCACAAGAAAATAAAATATGATTAAATTGCAGCAAAGTTAAATGTTTTGTCAATTAAAAAAAATTTTAACTACCAAAATGCAAATTTTCCGTTACTATTATTAGAGAAATTGAATATAAATAAATGATATTATTTCCTACCTTTCTAATCTAAATTTTTACAAATGAAAACCAAGCGTTTATAAAACTCATAATATTTGTGGTCATTAACCCAAGGGCACCAACTTCTGTGCTGTGATATGGGTTCTAAACTTTGTATAACTAATTCACTCGTTTCATCAGACTCCTCTTCCTGTTCATGATTTAGTTTTTCTATCGAAGGCACCACACTATCAACAACATTCTTTTCTTCATTGTTCTTGCTTAAATTAGGATTTGAAATGAGAATATTTGTATCGGGCTCTTGCAATTTATTAACATTAATAGTAGACCCGTCTTCATTCGCCAAGCATTTGATAAGACCAACCCTGATTTTACCTTTTATAAGATCTTTTTTGTGATCGTTAACTATTGTTTCATCTTTGTGACCGTTAACCAGCACTTCATCTTCTTTGTAACCGTTGATTGGTGTTTCATCATCACATTGCATATCGCTATTTTTTCCATCATTTAAATTGATTTCACCAATATTTTCGGCATTATTAGCCCCGTTTTCATGTTTGTTAACAGAAAATTTCGGGCATAAATCACTCATGTCTTCATTCAAAACATTTGGAATTGCGTTAGGATTTATTATTTGATTGGTGTGCAATAAATGTTCCTCAGCATTAAGAGCCGAGGAAACATTATCTACCACTTCATTTATCATTGCGATTATACAATTTTGATTATTATTTAATTCGTCGATTTGCGTTATTTCGGAATCTATGTAATTATTTTTTTCTAGAGGTGCATCAATAATATCTGTGTTATCTAATAAACTATTATTAGCCCCGGACTTTTGTTTAATATCACCAGCATTGATGTGGTCGGAAAGATTGCCATTACAGCTTAGTTTAGATTTTTTAGAGGCGTATAAATAATTTCCCAATTCATCGTTTGTTCGTTTTTTAGCGATTATTAAGGATTTGCATTCATTTAAGCTCTCTTTGATGGGGTGAGATTTGAGTTGTGATTTTTTTACAACATCGAAATTCCATAAACCAACATGTCTTTGACAATATTTGCATTCTATAATGTCTTGGTATTTTTCTCTAAAATGAAATGATGCATTTAGTTAAAATAGAGAGATATAAAATTGTTTTATAAATGTAAAAGAGTAAATTAACGAAATATAAAAAAAATGATATTTAATATCAAAAGTTTTTGAAAAAAGGTATACTTTTTTTGCCAACCACACATTGCCATAATAATAATGTTTCTTTCTCTTTGCCCAAATCGTAACTTATGTATGTTTTTAATATCTATACCCTCATAAAATTTCCCATAAATCAATTTCATTTCAGATATTTTAAAATCCTTGATAAAATAGTTAATTATAAATTTAATATTATATGTGATATTTATGTAAAAACTAAACATTAAAATTAATAGAATTAAGATTATTAAACAAAAATTAATCTGTCTAGTTGGTTTACATTATGTCAATAATTTCAATGGTATTGTCAATTTATAAATATATCATTTAATAACTTATCCTAAAAAGGTAAATATATTCAAAATACATACCGAACATTTATTTAGATTCAACTTGGGTATAACTTGTAATTGATTCAAATAATTTAATGTTAGGGTAATATATTTAGTTGTCAAATTATCATCAATACTTTGAAAAGGTAAGGTAGAAACGATATCTTTGTTAAATAAAAAATATATCAAGCTTTTCATTTAAAAATATAACAAATTAGAAACCATAATTATTAAACGCCAGTCAAGTATAGAGGAGACTGGAATAGATACCTATAACTATACTCTATAAAAATAATATAATCATATTGTTGAAATTTTATTTTTTATAAAAGTGAAAATTTTGTTTAACAAGCCCCAATAGTGGGGTTAATCAAACCTCCTCAGGAGGTTTCCTAAACCCTTGGATTTTTAGGCTATAATGAGTTGAAAAATTTTTTATTTATTAATAATGATAAATTTATTGTTTTATTGTTCAAAATATCATAATACTTTTAAATTGTAACTTAATTATGGTTTATTTAATAAAAATTTTGGACATATAAAAATAAGGATCTTAAGATTAAAATAATATCTAGACAATAATAAATATTCATATAACTTTCTTAATTTATAAAAGAGTCTTAAAACATTGCTATATAGTTTAATTTATATATATAAATGGTTAAATATTTTAATAAAAATTAAAATTCCGTTATGTAAAAATCTTTTGATTTCTATGTCAAAATTTTATTTCTTAAATAAAATTCTTAATAATTAATTATTTCAAAAGATTTTTCGTCAATAGATGCATACTAATAAAAGATATATTCGGATAAAATTTAAACTCTATTTGATTTTAAAACGAGGTAAAGTGGTTTGACAAACCCCAGGGTTTACCTAAACTTAGTCTCCCCTATACCCCTTAGAAAATCTAATGGCACTTAATTCAAGAGTTAATTAAGATTCACTTGTGTCCCGCAGATGTCAAGCATTATCTTGCACACTGGATATATGCTGAAATATTTCAAATATTTTATGGCAGCTCTTTGGCCAGCTTTCAAAAACTACTGGCCTCAAGGTATAAAATTTTTACATATATATATTGAATTCATATTATTGGAAATTAAAGATATCCATAATTACATACACTTCATTTACTACTGATAGGATGAACAACATTCTGAGAAATCCTATAATAAATTTTGTTATCACATCACTTAGGCCTATTTTTCACAAATCTATAAAGTCACAACTGTTTATTTCCCTACTGGAGAGTTTATTGGCAAAAAAAAATTGTTAAATGTAAGTGAAGAACTAGGTCCAAACAAAATACAGCTGTGGTTATGGACAATATGACAAAATGCATCAGCATGGAAACATGTTCAAAATTATTATCCCCATATTTTTGCATTAAATGCATTGCTCATGGAATGCATTAGCTCTAAAGATTTTATTACAAAAATTGATTGATATAAGAAGTTTCTGCCTCAGGTGAAAAATATAACTATTTTTGGAATCATCTACCTTAATTTGAATTAGAAGATCAACAGAAGCTATAATGTAGAAAAATCATTTCTCTAAAAAGTCTACATCAACACAATGGTGAACTGCAAATTCAATAGTTGACAAACTTGGTTATAAAATCTAGATGAAAGAATATTCATGAATTGATTGTCTATTATTTGTATTGTACTTTAAAATTTTATTTAAATGAATGCGAAAATAAAAAATTTGGAAGAAATGTAGCTTAGTTGTTAAGGAGCGGTGCTCCTCAAAAATATTGGAGTGCCCCTCCTTTTAAAAATCAGGAGCAGGAATTATCTGCTTTTCTGGAGAGAGGAGCGCCACTCCACCACTCTTTTAAATTTAATATATAAATATTTTTTAAATATTAATAAACTATTTATTTATTAATTAAAATTCAATAAAAATGAAATTCTATTTTATTTAAATTTATGCAAAATTAAATGTTGAACCAAGTTTAATATTGGTTTTTCAGTTAAAATATTAAGCATCAAGCTTTTCATTCTTTTTATATTGAAAATTTCTTGAAAAATATTGTAAGACATAATATTCATTTTATAGACTCCTTTTGAGAAGATAGGAGCGGAAGCAAGAGCTCTACTTTTAAAAAGGAGCGTTAACAACTCTGTATTGTAGTAATAAAAAATATTTTTTAAACCACAAAAATTATGTTTATTTTTTTCCCACTAATAATTATCTCACTGGTGTAACCAGGGATGCAAACCTGGCAAAAACCCGGGTTTTCTTTCTGGGTTTGAGTTTGAATCCCTGGGTGTTAAGGATGAGGCCTCACCTTCCTCTTCATAAAAAATGAATACAATATGTCACTAAAGATATTTTTTTAATTATAAGTAACATACTATATCCTTTGTTAAAATTGTGACAGAAATTTAATTTTATAAAAAAAATGAAGCTTGTTTGTTTGGAACAAAAAAAATAGTAGCTCTAAAATGAAAAAAAGTTTTGAGAAAATGGTCTGCATTTTTTAAAATGTGTTCTAGCTAGTCATTATAAGCAAAATCTTCAGGCTTGCATAATATTTTTCTAGATAAATAAGGCATTTTTACAAATCAGCTTGAATGGAGAATTTTATATCACTAGTTCTAGCTAATGTTGTTAAACAGCTTGATTTAACAAATGGCTAACCCAATATTTTAATTATACAACCCTTGATTTTGTTCAAAGATGGCTAAATTGTTTGGACAACTTTAATGAAATATTGAGGTTTGCGTAATATTATTTTGGCTAAATAATGTTGTTAAACAGCTTGATTTAACAAATGGCTAACCCAATATTTTAATTATACAACCCTTGATTTTGTTCAAAGATGGCTAAATTGTTTGGACAACTTTAATGAAATATTGAGGTTTGCGTAATATTATTTTGGCTAAAATCTTTATTAGCTGTTTAACAACATTAGTTTTAGCACCAAGTGGTTTGATCAATTTCCACAATACCATTTAAAATACATCATTTATGTTTACAAAACAACATTTGACTCTGCACTATAAGTTAATAATTTATCAAATGGCCAAAATAGAATATTTCTAAAAGTAATTTAGCCAAAAATCTTCAAAGTGAGGACTTTAAAATATTTTGTAAAATTTATAATGAAATCCATACAAAAGTTCCCTTCCCCTCTTGGATACACCAGTGAATTATGTCTTTATAAGAGCAATATAGATTCACTGGAAAATTTTTATTAGATTTAAAAGATTAATTCTGCAAGAGAACTTTTAAAAATTGAAAATTAATTATTAAATTTGTAATTTACCTGGGGTGGGATTGAATTGCCACGAACAATATGCATCATGATTTGTAACCAACATGTTGACTAACTTTTGTAAGGCTTTATCATCTAAATAATAAGTTATATAAAAATTAAATATAATAGGTAATATAAGATCAACTAATATATATAATATACAAAACAAGATTATTATCTATGATTGTATAGCATAATTATATTAAACAAAAAAAAAAATTTACAATAATCTTCCCATAAATCGGGCAAATTTGATGATAATAACTTTTTGCAGGTAACACATTTCAACAAATTATATTTAATATTTTGCCAACCATAACGAGCACATACTAGAGGCGATATACACAATGGCTTAGTGGGCCATTTAATAACGTCTAATATTAATAAGTTAAGGAAAATAATATATGTAAAAAGATTAATAAAATATTTTATAAAAAGGATATTGAAAAAGTTTTAACTCTTTCCCAATATTTATCTTCTCTTGAATTTACTGATATATCATCCAGATTGCTTTCAGTATATCTAATATATCATGGAAATATAAAATTTTTAATATAATAGATTATAATAAGTCTTAAAAAATGCAAAAAATTTACTTACGTTTTATTATCAATTAATACAGAAGAGAAGAATGTTTTAACATGTTTTGTAATATCCATAGAACCCATGCTGTAAAAATAAATTTAAAATGGGCTTAATATAAACGAAACAATACTTAACTGACATATAGTAATTTGATAACAGTTACGTCAGTTGCATATTAACATTGATGTAGTATTTGTGATAGTGACGTTGTCAGATTTCATCTGATGATTGTGGGAAAGGGGGTCTTTAAATCAGATTTTCCAATATCACCAATTATCATTGATTTTCTAATGGTTATTTTTATTCAGCTTTTTTAAAATAAGAAATATCTAATGTCAAATTGGCTGATAGAAAAGAAAGCACTAATAAATATCTATGCCAATGTTTCGAGCTTTATTAGCCCTATGAAGGACATAGTAAAATTTTTGAAAACCTTCCGATTAAATATTTATACTAAAAATATTTTTCTTATTTTGTTGACAATTAGAACTATTTATATCGATTGTTGGTTAGCGTGGCCGATTAAAGACAAATAAGTAATAATATTTCTTCATATGTATTTATGATAATAAATACACATTGTATATATTTTATTTCATTTTCTTTACTATTAAAAAATAGCAATATAATACTGTTTATATAAAATTTTCGCTATAGGTAATATTATATTGGGATTTTAATTAGAATAAGAAATTATAACAAAATAACATATCAAATGATATTGCAAATTTTATAATATAATATAATATAAAGGAAAAAGTAGTAATTAATTAAATTAAGTTCAAAATGTTTTATATTTGTATACTGGAACAATTATGTAATTTAAAAAAATATATCTATGTAAAAAATAAGATATAAAAAATAAAATTCCAAAAATATATATTGAAATAAATGTATTAAAAAATTATATGAAAAAAATATAAAAAAAAATAATTTAAAAAAAAGTATTTAACCCTAAAATTCTTATAAAATTATTAGAATCCAAATCCATAAGCCTTCTTTCCATACATCTCCTATGTTAGAGATCGGCAACATGGCAGATATATGCGCTTTCTACAATGCTAAAATGTGAAATGGTGAAAAATTATCGAAAAGCTCAAACAAAAAAAAATCCATTTTCTACATGTTGCATGAATGGGAAGGTTATTTAACAAATTTAGAAGCATTTAATTCCGCACTATAATTCATTTCACTAGGAGTTAATACATATAATACTCTATCAAATTCTCTCTTCGGTAATTATACCTTTCAAATTAATGGACAGGTTTACTATCGCATTGGTTTCCTTTTACCAAAATTAAGGGCCACACATAAATTTGCCCAAATGTATATATGATAGTAATAATGAGATACAATACAGGCATAATCAGGTTCCTTTTTTAGATCAAGAAGTCAGTAAAACTAGGGAAGAGCGCACGGACATGAGCCCCCTGAAAAATTTGAATAGCCCCCTGAAACAAACAATTTTTTTTAATGGCTCCTTAATATCCCCTTGAACTAAAAATAAATTGTTTTGATTGCCTCCTACACGATTAAGGTCCAAATAAGTATAGGAGATTTCTTTATAAAAAAAGTAGGCATATAGTTTATATTCCCCTATTATATATAATTGATTATAAATTATTAGGTAAAATGCCACTTTTACAGACGTATTTGACAGTAAATAATATATTATATTAAATATTTTAATAAATTTTACTAATAAATGCTTTTGAAAATAAACATAAGTAACAATTTGCATTCAATTCTCTAACGCCATCTATTTATATTTAAAATATTATTAAAAATTATACATCTTATTATTCATCCCACAATGGATGTAATAAATTAGATATCTTTTCTTCTCTTTTTTTTTACGTGATTTTAGGAAAGCTATTTTTTTTCTTATTTAAAAAACAGTTTTGAGTTAAATTTTTAATACGAGTATAATTTTGATATTATTACAATACAAACTACTAATAATTTAAGATATAATATACTCGAGGTAGTGCGGCGATAATATATAAAATCTTAATTGCTTTCATCATATCACTCTGGTTAAAATTTTTCATTTCTAATGAGGTATCCATCCCGTATAAATAACTAGGCTTCAATATATTTACAAAAAATATTTTAGTGTTTTTGTTTTATCAATTTATCTAACATAATAAATTCTGATATGAGTTAACATTGTGAATGTCATGGCTATGACTGCAAATTAACCAGCATCTATTATTTGTGTAGCAATGTAAGTTAAGATTATTACTACAGCTGCTGAGAGCATATGATTGCATATTTTAGATTAACAATAATTGTCAACTGTGTTGTCGTTTATATATTATAAAAAATGGAAGATAATCTTTTAGAAATTTAATATCTCACCGATTACTTATTTAGCTTCCATCATATCATCTAATAGGAAGCTCTAACCATCATATAGTTTTATGATGTGGATTGGTCGTTTATAATCTCTTCTTCAAGAATTGTTGATTTGGTTAGGCCTATAAATTTTTCCTTATTAGTCCATTCTATAAAACATTATTCATGACCTTTTGTCAATGTAAATTGCTAAGAATTATATTATGTGGTTTTTAAAAACCATTATCAATTGAGACATATGTATGAATTAATTAACCTTTTTTATCACTTGTAATTCTTTAGACGCAAAAATTTTTAATATCACAAATCGAAAATATTTTATATTCTAATAAATATATTTGGATTAAAAAGTATTATTTTTAGAAACTTGTATTGTGTTATTTATATGCTAGGTTATTTGTATGCTTAATATAATAAATGAACAAATATGAAATTAAGAATAATTATTCAGAGTTAGCAAATTTTAAAAAGTATAATATATAAATATAAAACCCGGCCGAAGGCGCACAAATTGGAGGGTATAAGGGGAAAAGTTTCCCATAATTTTTTTTTAGTTGAACCTCCTGAGATTGTATAGGCTAGCGACGCCCCTGCAGGAAATTATTCACAGCTACAACCTCTTTGCTTCTCAATTTATGAGAGTAGCTTCTATGATCACTAATGGCTTTCCTAACATATCTTAACTTAAAATTTACTCGAAGTTTTGACAAACGTTATCGAAATAAGCCTACCTCATCTGAAATAGCGATAATATTTCCTGGTGATGGCAGTGATCATAAACCCCATAGAAATATTATCCTAAGAAATATAGATGGTCTTTTAAAATGTATTAACGAGCTCTACTTTACATACGATCACTTGTCATTTTCAAGCATTATTAAATACCACCTAAAAATCTACTCGATGTTTTGACAAACGTTATCAAAATAAGCCAACCTCATCTGAAATAGCGATAATATTACCTGATAATGGCAGTGATCATAAAGCCCATAGAGATATTATCCTAAGAACTATTGATGGTCTTTTAAGACGTATTAACGAGCTCCACTTTTCAAACGATCCCTTGTCATTTTCAAGCGATATTAAATATCTCCCATCTTTTCATTATAGAAACTCAAATAATAAATGTTATCTGCAGAGAATGCTATTTATCGCTTTATGGTCAGACAGGATGATGAGAATGTTATTTTAAGATCCAAATGTCATTTACACCAATTTATTGTGGACACTTGTGATAAACAAAAAACGCTTCGATTAAATCTTATACATTATAATTAGTTCAAATTACTCGCAGATCTCTATCAAGGCTCTCATGATACTATTTTAGAGGGGGATTCCAATGCTGACACTTTTGGCAGAAGAATCGTTTTTCCTTCTTCTTTTACCGGTGGCCCAATTCAATTCATATGCATCAGCCATACCAGAAAGCAATGGCTATTGTACGTTGCTTTGTTAAGCCTTCATTATTTTAATTTAACCTACAATCCTAATTGGGATAAAATGAGTGAATTATTTCCTCATCACACTCCAAACGAATGCCCAGATTTAGTTTGTCACTTTTTTCAATTAAAATGTCATAAAAAGGATTTGCTCTAAATTTTAACAGATAGATAAAATAATAATTAATTATCACCATTTTAAAAAATCGGCCTAAATTTATACGGATTGATAAGAAAAACAAATTTCTTAAAAAATATATTAATAAATTGCAATTAAGTTTCATTAATATTGAATGGCATTTTTTTATTTAATTAAATAGCTTTTTTTGTTAAATAGCAGAAAGATATGGCCCTTATCAAATTCTTTGATAAATAATTTCGGAAAGGCTAAATTTATCTGAAAAATAAGAATAAGCCAATGGAATAAACAATAATTTATTTTCTAGATATAATTTTAATTGCCCAGTACAATAAAAATATAAGAATCATCTTTTTATATGTAAAAACGTGAATAAATTAAATATATTGACTACACAAGGATAAAATATTTTTATTTCATGGATAACAAATATTGATGCAAACATTAATCATTCAGCATTATAAAGAATCAATTTTATCGGTAGAATTGTTACAGTGGACGCAATTTCTATTCATATTTTCCCCCATAACTTATTTTTGGAGTTATCTCCAATAAAACGAGGTAAGATTTGTTATTTATTATAAAAGATATCAGGACAGACCTGATTATTTATTAAATGGTTTACCCAAGGTTTCCCTTATTAGGTATTCACGTGTTTTTTGTATGTATACTAAGAGCTAACCAGTAGAATGATTGGTGAATCAGAGATTTTTTTCCCTTCATTTTATGATAAATTAATTAGAAATTTAACTATCTCCGGGCTAGGGAATTTTTTAAAATTATTATGGGCAGGGCTTAGGATATATTTTTCAAAATTATTAAAGGTCTTGGACGCTTGGAAATTTTTTAAATATATAATATGGGCTAGACATTGAAGTAAGAAATTTTTTTGCAGGTCTCGGCCAGGCCTGATCAAAAAACCAAGGACGATGAAGATCTCTGATTCTGATTGCAATTTTAAATACATTATATTTTTTTTAAATTTTATTTTAGTTCTGAACTATCAAAATTGATATGGTCTTGAACCAGGCTTGTGGAAATTTTTTCAAAATTATTGTGAGCACCTCGTTTTGAGCCGATTTTTCAAAATGGCTAACTCAATATTTTGGTCAGAAAAATATTGCCTAAGACTCGAGATTTCGATAATATATGTCTAAACCTTTGTTCCTTCTGAGCAAAATCTTCAGGCATGTATAATATTTTCTGGATGAAATATTGAGTTAACCGTTTTTAAAAACCGGCTCAAAAAGAGCCGTTTAACAACACTACTTGGACCTGGCATAGGATTTTTTAATATTAAATTAGTCATAGGTAATCAGTAATATTTTAACAAAGAATTTAGATATGGGTCTCAAGTAAAAGCTAATAAAATATATTTTAACTCAAAAAATAGTACACACTTTGTCTTAATGGGTTGGACTTGGTGTGAAGGGGATGAGGGGTAAAACGGATAAAAATTGGATAATGTTAATTTTAAATGAAATAAACTGCGCATCGAGCAAATTAATGTAAATTTTAGATGACTAAACTATGCATCGAGCAAATTAATGTTATTTTTAGATGACTACACTATGCATCGAAAAAAATAGTGTTAATTTTAGATGAGTAAGCTATAAATAAATCGCATGGATTTCTTACTTATTAATATAAAAATTGACTGTAATTATAATCATTTATAGACATAAACCTTTTATTTATTCTAAAATATGATAAACAGCCATCTTGGAGTTATATAGTTATTAGTCGACCACAAATGTTATAACAATATGGAATTAAAATATAAAATCCCTAAGGGATTAGTTCTTTAAATTGTAGATATAAAACAGTCGGGATATATTGGTATGTGTGGTTTTTTGCATAAATTTGAATCGTTCATAATTACTCTTATTTGATTTGCGGGAATACACACAGTGTGGGAATCATTTAGCCAATAGTTTAACAAATTCAGTTTATCCAAAGTGCTTAAAATGTCCTCCCTGTTGATACTAGTTTCCAAACTATAAGAATGATGCAATTAATATAAAGTACAAACGATTGATATAATAAAATAATGATGGAAAATGATAGGCATATTAATTGTAATTTTTATTTGATATAATTTCAACGAAATAATCAGTTCTTCTGTTATTTTTAAATGAAATGTTTTATCTTTGATCCTCTTGACAAAAATCGTATAAATATGTTCATAATAAAATGATTAACATATTTAACTAACTGACTTGAGGACTTAATCCTGATTAAACAAGACTTTTAACACAAGGATGAGGATTTATATGGTAAACAAAAATAACTGAGGATGAGTTTTTTTTAAAATCAAATTTATTTTTTCAATTCTATAGATTTCCAAAAAAATCAAAAACAAAATAAAATTTTGTTTTTTTTAGCGAAATAAGATATCATTTTTTTTAAAAACGACAAAAAAATATCTGAAACAAAAAGAAGTCTTGACAATTTATTAAAATTTTAAAACATAAAATTGCAACTATCTTATTTGGAGGTACAAAGGGTGGAGGAAATCATTTTAGGAGATGGCAACGAAGAAAATAATGGAGATTACCCATGATTCTTACTTTGTGAAGGGGGGAGATGTAGCAATTGTATGTTTAAAAAAAACATATATATTAATAAATTGTCAAGACTTCTTTTTTTCAGATATTTTTTTGTCGTTTTAAAAAGAGATATTTTATTTTACTAAAAATGATTCATTTTGATTATACTGTAAATCATCATCCTCTTGTTATAAGTCTTATTTCATCAGTATTAAGTCATCAGTTAGTTTTTATTAAGTTTTCGATATTTTTCAAATCAAATTTATTTTATCATTTCTATATATATATTTCCAAAAAGATCAAAAAAAGAAAAGAACATGTAATCATCTTATGAAGGTATCGTATATATATAAAAATAAAACCTGATATCGTTCACATTAATTAAGCACTCGCTCTCTCCGTTGTTATTCTTATTTTCGTGGATATATCTATCCAATATTTGCAAAATTTTCCACCTCCAAAAACATTGATATGATTTTTGACCTAGATAGGATAATGGTTTTTCTGGTTGTCCGATGATGTGTTCGCGCTTAGATAATTCGTAACCTTAACAAAGAATATTTTTACATATTAAGTATTATGGAGTTCTAACTCAATTTTTGGTTGAAATACAATCTTAGGAGGCCTCCTCTTCCCTTTTATATTTAAAAAAATAACCTTATAAGAATAAAATTCAGTTGGTATTAATTTTTTTTAGAAGAATGTGATTTTTAAAAAAATTGCTCTCGTAAAATTGACTGAAATTAATTATGGACTGAATATTGAATAAGAGGCGATAATTACGTCATAATACTAGCTTGCTTCAACACAATTAGAACCAACGATTTTTACAAGCAAGATTTTATTATATAAAACACTTCTTTTTAAAAATATTGATAATAAAAAATTTTGCAAGTTTAATATAATTAGATTTGATTGTTTTCAAAAAAAAAATTTCTTATTATGGGATAGGGTTATTATTTTTTTAAATAATATTTTATAACTTTACATGCCTATAAAGATATTTAAAATTATATTTAAACTGTTACTTATGCAAGGCATGTGTGTAAGAATTGTTTTAAAATATGGTAAAAATTTAAAAAAATATTTATAAGTCTATATATAATTCATATAATGAGCAATTATCAAAACTTATTTGTATAAGGAATTTGCCATATCCTTTCTTTTGGAATGGAGGAAACACTACTATACACGCAATGTTATTGTTATCTTCTGATTCTTTCTCCTATATAAAAAAATAAAATAAAACATAGGTTAGTTATCACAACGTATTTTTTATTAATTATAAGTAGGAACAGGCCTACCTTATTCGCCAATAACGATCTGATATTTGTCGATCAAACTAAACCCAATTCTTAACCGATTTTTAAGGGACCTGGAATTTTAATTACAAAAATAGGAGATAGAATATTCTAATTCTCTGGCGGCCATATATATTTTTTAAAATTGCTAATAAATTTTTTTTTTAAGAAAAACAAAATTAAATTTAAAATAATATATATATATTATATATATATATAGTGCAGAAATATCGGATAATTTTTTGATCTTTATTGAAAATAAAAAAAAAACTAATTTTTAATGTCAAAATAAATTTGGCAATTTTGTTATAATATGATGCACAAAAATATATTTATTTAAATTTGCAGGGCATGAAGATTATCTCGTTGGATTTAAGTCAATACAGCAACCCTTTCATAAGCTGTGCAAGTTTCGGAATACAAAATTTTTATTGGCTAGGGTAGAAAGATTCGGTAGTTCCTCCAAAAAATTAGAATTGTAGAATGTTTAATTGTTAACCTTGTCAACCTTGTCAACCATTTTGTATTTGACATTTTCTCTTGGTTTAAATCTATACTAATATCATCATACTTTATAAGTTTAAGATGTTTAATAATTAATTTGGACTATGTGCAATTTTTCTCTATTAGATATTTTCAGGGCTGTCTTTTTTAAAAAAAGGTTCTCGTTTGGGTTCAGTTTTTAAATACTTGTTCAATGTAAGCGGTTATACTGGGTATTCATTGTTGTTAACTTGGATGTATACATCTTGACATCGGATATATGATGATTATCGTGATGTATGTAGTGATTATATTAGTATTATTTAATTCGATTATTTATTCTTTTTGGTGGATTTTTTTAAATATATGTTTTGGAGATATTAAAATAAAAAGAAAAAAAAATATTAGTCTCATATTTTGTGTTATTTACTGCATTAAAAAAAAATAAAGCCAACACCTAGATAATTTTTGAAATAAAAAATAAATGAAATAAATCAAAGTACTATTACTTGCAGATCGCAAATAGAAAGTGGTAGGGCAAGTTTTTTTCAAACATTTTCCTAAATTGAAATAATTTCAGAACTATCATTATCATTTACTATTAAATGCGTTTGTATTTTACTTTGGAAAAATAATGCCAAATTCATGTAGACCCCTTTTTTATTGAAGATGGAAATTCAAATATTTCTTTAAATTTCGAATAAAATTAATAGTTCCTCTACGAGATCCAGTTCGTAGTTTGAAAGTGATAGATAACGTTTTGCAATTCTTCTTAAAATATTATTATAATTTTTACTTTGCTTAGATATGCTTTCGAACATAATATACTATGCCATCTGGTTGGCACATTTATATCCCTCAATTGGGGGTCCTTATTGATATTATATTGGAATCGACAATTTAAAAAACAGGTATCGGGATATAAATCGGTTCTATCAAGCGATGTTAGATGTATTGTATTTAGCCATTTTTTCTAATGACATTATACAATTACAACATTGATGTTGACAAATCATAAGAACAAGAATGTACAAAATTCAAAAAAAATTTTTATTTAAAATAAATTCATGCGCCGGCTGACGTGATTTGCATAAAAAACGACTTTTTGGCATGGTCAAAAATATGGCCGGCCAGCACAAAGGTTCAATCATACATAAATTTATACATATCCTAAATCGTTGTTGTGTGAATGACAACTCTTACATAAATATCATTTTATAAATAAGCCTGAAATATATTTATATAAAAAGTCTAAATAATAGTGCTGCTAAAAAGCCCCATTTTTAAAAAGCCAATTAAAATTTTAGCCAAAATGATCTTATGTAAGCCTCGAGATTTGAAAAATAGAAACCAAAACCTTTCTGCCATCCATTAGCAAAATCTACAGGCTTACAAGATATTATTTTGGCTAAAATCTTAATCAAGCCGTTTTAAAAAATCGATCCAAATCGGCATTTTAACAACTAAATAAGTCATTTTTTTTATATGGAAAAAAAGCGATACACTATAATTAATAATTTAAAGCTTTTCTATCAATATTTTATCATGTATCATTCTCAATGAGTGTATTTTTTTAAAATCTCCCAATTCTGATAAACCTTAAAAAACATTGTATATTATATAAAACAAATAATTGTTGTATGATATTTATAGTATTGCACTGGATTGTTAAAAAAAATTAAATGAATCCTATATAAATTAACTTTAAAAAAACGATTAAAAAATGGGTATTGTATCTGTTTTATGGTAAAATCAGCTGATCCATTCTTTTTAAAAAATTTAATACCAGTGCCCAATACCGATATTAATATCAGTGCAACCCAAATTATAAGGAAGTATTGATTATAATACATCTCTAAAAAAATGATATGTATATTATATAAATCGTTTTTTTATAAATTCTCTACATTCAACATAAAGATGAAAATAATTAATGAAATATAATAAAATTCATCAGACAGAATCATTAATGGAACTATTTTTTCCAGTGAAATTAAATAAGCATAGATTTGAAATATAACATATCGTCAGCTGAGTATTATAATGTTCATGACAAATCAACTAAATAGTGATTTTCGGACGACCAAAAAATATCAACTAAAACATGAATTATTAAATACAAATTGTAGATAGATTATAAGGTAAATAAAAGACCATTATTATTTTATTGGAAGATTTAACAAAGATATAAAAAATCAAATGTCAAAAAATGTTAGGAATTCTAAAAAAAATCTTTATTTCCAGTGTCTTTGAATATCAAATTTAAAATATTTTTTTATATTTAAATCTAAATGAAATTATATTTAATCTAAATTTAGTATAGAATCTTAGGAATTCCTACAGCTTTTAAGGAATCTTTCAGAGAGAAATTGTAATAATTATATTAATAATATTGGGATTTTTTAAATAAGACTTATTTTATTTATTTTTTGCCCATTTTATTAATATTTTTGTTGTTTTTGAAATACTCTATTTTAAACTTTCTTACAAAATAACATTATAAAGGAATTAATTTCTTATAAAAAAAATAACATAAATTAGAAGTATCCCTTTATTAGGTAGACTATATATGAAATGCTTAACATGTTGAGTCCTACAGAGCCATGAAATCCCAGATAACATCATCAATAAAATATAGTACTGGCCTGTAGCTCAAAATTTTTCAATGTTATATTTCCTTCTATTATTCCTTTTTTGCCTGATTAATTATTACATTTTATAAAATTAAGTGAGAAATATTAACTAATTATTCCATATCATATGTTGTAAAGAATCACTTATAAATATTGTTTTTAAATAAGACCATGGGCTGTAATGAACTGGGTCTAGATCTAAAAATAAAATCGCCCTTGGGAGACACAGGCCATCTAATGTAGTATTGTTAAATGGCTCAATTTGAGCCAATTTTAAAAACGGCTAAGTCAGTATTTTAGCCAGAAAAATATTGTCTAATAGTGCACACAAATTGAACGTTGCAACGCTGCGTTTCAAAACTCAAACAATGCATTCTTTCAAATTGAGCACATTTCCATTTACAAATTTTGTTGAAGTGAGAATGAATACACCAACTAAAATGTAAGAATAATTATTATTAAATAATCATATATAAATTATTTTAGGACATGGAATGATAAAATAACAATAGTTTGCAGAAATGTGGAACCTGAAGATAATATGGAATCAAGAACACCCTAAACCATAAAAAAAACTTTTCTTCAGATTGGTTTTCTTCCAAAACAATTATTAATCTATTAAATTCATTTAGTTTAGGTTTATTTCTTTTTGAGGGAGATATATTAAAGTTGTTTGAAGTAGGGCAATCTTCCATGGTTTTTTGCATGAAGTTAATGTATTTTTTATATTTACATTAGTGGGTTCCTCCTGATGAGCCTGATGGTTTACCTATTTTCTCCTTATTCAATTAATCTTTAAATTCCTCAACCTCTTCTTGAGATATAGAGGGCTGGTATTAAAACCAGGAAATTCCAAGGCTAAGCTAATTAAATAATTATATTTTTATTCTTATATAATTATATAATTATATCTGTAACCAATAACAGACAAATGTTCCATATCAGGAAAGTTTTTTTATGGTTAGGATGTTCTTGATTTCATATTATCTCTTCAGGTTCCAGCATTTCTGCAAACCTTTTTATTATTTCAACATTCCATGTTCTAAAATAAATATGATTATTTAATAATTATTATTTTTACATTTTAGTTGGTGTATTCATTCTCACTTCAACAAAATTTCAAAAAATGCAAGCAAGTTTGTCTTTAAAAATATTTTTTTTAATGAAAATGTGCTCAATTTGAAAGAATGCATTTAAAATGCTTTGTTTGTGTTTTGAAACCTAGCATTGCAATGTTCAATTTGTGTGTACTATAAGGCAAGTAATTTTTTTTGGTTTAAATTTAAAGGTTTCATATTAAAATTAAACTTAACGCATCAATTTAAACAAGGCTGCATTTACGTTTTTTTATATGTGTTTTGAAACGCTGCATTGCAAAGTTCAATTTGTGCACACTATAAGGCTCGAGATTTCGCTAATAGGTGTCCAAATCTTTGTGCAACCTATGAGCAAAATCTTAAGGCTTGTATAATATTTTTCCTAATAAAATATTGAGTTAACCATTTTTAAAAATTGGCTCATAATGAGCTGTTTAACAACACTAATCTTATGTGAATGCTAATTTTTAAAATAACAAATTTTCAGCTATAAGTGCAATTTCTAAAAAGCTAGAATTTTAAGAGTATATTATGAATATTAATAAGTTTTTAAAATTAGAATGATTTGATTTTTTAAATAAAGAGCTATATTTTATTTGTAAGTTATTACTTATTATTTTTTTTATATTTTAAGCTATAGATGCAGAAAATTTTTGATCCTTTGAGATTCTGTCTCAAACAAATATTATATTTTATAGAATATAAATTTACCTTTGAAAAATAACCAACTAATTGGTATTTTTCATTGTTATGATCAATTTCAAATAAAAGATAAAAAAGAAAGGAATCCACATCATAGTACACTGTTTTTTGATCTATGAATAATTTGCCCAATAGACAGAGACACTGAGAATATAACTTTTTTGTATAATAAAAAAAAATTTATATTAAATAATTTACAAATTATAAATTTGAGGTAATAAAATTTGTTTGTGATTTTTTAACCTTGTATTTTTCTCCGTCAACTTCAAATAAAGCTAAATTATTATGTTTATAAATCTGACAACCAGGTGGGGTTATATTATTGCAATCCATCTTAAAAAAAAATTTGTATAAAAGAAAATTTAAAAAATTACTATATGTTTGTAAAGTGTGGATTTTGATTTAAAGTATTTTAAGCAAATGTGACATACGAATAAATTTGAGCTTTTACCATAAGCATTTGGATAAGGAGAAAAATACCAAGTGTCCATGATGTATTTCCCCAATTGTACTGATGTTATAAATTTAACTTTGGTAAACTAAAATATAAATGAAAAATCTTTTAAGCATTTAAAACCTCTTTAAATTCTTTTTCCAAGGTGGCACTAATAGTATCACTTCTAGCCTTTTTTCTCAAATCATTTAGAACCTATCATTATTTTAAATTATTTCCATGCATGATTTGATATATACCATTTCTCCTCTAGCAATTTTATGGGACATTCTTTTTTTCATACGATTACGAGTTAAAATATTTTTGTTAGTTTCAGCAGATTTTTCAAGAATATCCAATTCAGCTTTCAGCAAAATAACTTCTGGATCTTCGTATGGATCTTTATATGAATTAAAATCAATTTTGTCTAAGGTGATCCATTCATCATACCTTCGATTCACTATTCAATAATAAAAATAATATATATTTGAAATCATAACTTACATCCTTTATAATGGACAAAGTATTCCTTAACATTTATATTTTGAGCATCTTCTATAGGTCGCTTAGCACATATTTCGCCTTCATCTAAAAATATTTATTATTACAACAAATGGGAAAATTTTTAAATTACGCCATTTATTCCATTTTGTTTTTACCAAATATGAAGCATTTAATACCACTTTCTTATCAAGGCTCATAAAATGGTTAGACTAGCTTGATCTAATCTTTTTATTAGGTATAAAAAAAATTATTAAATATACTAAAAAAATAACATACATATGTCATCAATCAATGTCTAAAAGATTGATGGCTAACACACTATGTCATACCTTGTTTATGCTAAGTGTTAGTTATAAATTTTTTGAAAAATGGCTTTGGAAAGTGTATGCAATTTTAAAAGAAGTACTCTTTTAGATTTTTCCGCCGCAAACACAGGCTTAGTTAGCAAACGAGATTTAATAACAAATAAATTTATTCTTTTTCCATCGGACGATGTAATAATATATCATTACTTTATATCTTACTTGCTTTTAGCCCATTGGAAATATTAATGAATACATTCACAATGATCACAATCAAAATGAAAGTGGTAAAAATGGTATCAAGATAAAGCTAAACCATGGAACTACTACATTAGCTTTTCAATATCAAGGTGGAATAGTAGTTGCTGTAGATTCTAGAGCAACAGCAGGAGGATATATAGGTAAAAAGGATATATATTATAATCATTTTTTAATATTTAAAAATAGCTTCTCAAACTGTAAATAAAGTTTTGGAAATAAGTCCTTTTATACTTGGAACAATGGCAGGTGGTGCTGCAGATTGTCAATATTGGGAAAGAGTTTTGTCAAAAATTTGTAGAATACATGAACTTAGAAGCAAGGAAAGAATATCAGTTGCTGCTGCATCTAAAACATTAGCAAATATCATGTATAATTATAAAGGAATGGGTTTATCTATGGTAATTTTCTTTTAATTAAAATCTAATAATGTATTAAATCTAGGGAACCATGATTTGTGGTTGGGATAAAAAGGTTTTTTTTATATTATAAATTATATAGCTATTTTCACCTTTTTAGGGACCAAGCATATATTATGTTGACAATGAAGCAGCCCGGTTGCATCATCATTTATTTTCTGTAGGTTCTGGTTCTGTTTTTGCATATCCTATTTTAGACACTGAATGGAAACAGGATTTAACCACTGAGGATGCTTTAAATTTGGGAGTAAAGGCAATATTTCATGCCACCTACCGAGATGCTGGTAGTGGAGGATGTGTAAATTGTAAATTACTTTTAATACAATATATAAATTTAACAGGGGTTTTTAATATTAATATTATAGATGTACTGGTGCCATATCTTTTTTATTTGGATATGGCTGGTTCTTTTAAAAAATATGTTCTTAACCTATTCTTTTTAAAAATATATATATATTATCCTTTGTTTTTTTAAATGGATTATAAATTTTTTTTTAAAGATATTCTTTTATTAATTAATGTGAAATTAATAAACAAAGTAGCAATACAAAAAAAAATTATCTTTAGTCAAATGAAATAATGTAAGCAATTATATTTTTTTTACTGTATTAAATTTGTATTCTATCTATAGAGATAATAATTATCTTCTATAAGATGAGTTACCAGGCATGGCTATTTAAAAAATTAGGATCCAGTACATCACTAAATATAAAATGATATTGATACAGTGGCATAGTTACGGGGGTGGTTTTCAGGTTTGGACCCCTTCCAGAGCAAAAATTTATTTTTAGATTATACGTTCAAAAAACTTCTAAGTGGTGACTTTTTATCAAATAAATACCAATAATATTTATATTTTTCTGGTTTTGATGTTTGTGGAAGTATATTATATTACAATTGAAATTATTCTGGATAGTATTATTATAAAGTCATTGAGAATAATTTACTAAATTATAAAACAAATTGCCCCCATGGACCCCCTCTAAGGAAAATTCCTAGCTACGCCACTGCAATTATTTATAAATATTTGAGGTTATCCTGTAGTCTGGCCTTGACAACTTATAAATATATTAAGAGCCCTTAGTTTGGCTATTATATGTTTTTTTCAGATGTATTGCTAAAAAATTTGGTGGGGTGGGGTTACAATTTTATAATCAAAAGTTTTTTTTATAAAACCAATTTTTTTTGAGTGTGAATAAATTCTTTATTTACATTATATTTTAAAAATAATGTCATGTCATTAATTTTATACCACCTAAATCTATAGAAATATTTTAAATATGATTTTTAAAATTTCATAAATCTTTCATTTCTTTGGGCTGTATTTTTTTGAAAAGAATGTTTGTCCTACTATGATTCCTTTTCCAATTTTAATATAGTATCATTTAATGTCCAATGAACAAGAAAATCGAGATTGGTTGGCCCCTATCTGTATAAATTTTTAGGACATTATATTTCCTAATTAAAAACAAAATTTTAATTCACTCATTAGAAATTATATTACCTAAGGTAATGGGGATCAAAGGTAAAAAAATCACTTTTTTAAAAACATTTTACTAATTTTAAGTAATTAGTTTAAAAAGCTAAATTAGTATGAATAACCAAATAAATATTATATAATTATTAAGGAAACATCAAAATTAATATTTTGAATAGATTATGAACTCCAATTTTTCAAATTTTATTTTCTAATAATCTTTTACTACTTTTCTAATAATTTCCAATAACTAGCATGGCTGGGTAATTATAAAAATTAATAATGTCTTAGATAGTGCTATATATAAATATTTCAATACAATAAAAGGCTTCCTATTTTATCCTTAAGATCATTTTAAGCCATTTAATACCATGCATATTGAATAAATTTTTTTAAAATAGAATTTATTTAATAAAATATGGAAATAAATCAAAATTTTTACTTTAGTTGATAATAAAATATAAAATGAAAATAATAATAAAAATATTGAAAAGTAAAACCTATATATTAAAATATGAAAAAGAAGGGAAATAATTCTTTTTCGACTAAAATTAATTTTTTATAACAATAATAAAGTAAAAAATATATGACAAGGGGGTTCAGCCACTTTTTAAATTGTGGACAGAGGGCTATAAATCACAAATAAAATAATACAGCAGGGCTTAGCTCTCCTTGCAATACACCCTTGGACTTTTTCTTTTATAAAAAAATATTACAGCTGAGCCAGGGAACTTGTACAAGAGTATTTTATGGAGAGCTGGGCAAAAAATTTACGGGCATTGCCAGAATACTTTTTAAATTCATATGGGGCAGTTTGGACTGGTCATCGATGACCTTAAATTAGAGTTGTTAGAGAGTGCCGCTACATTTTTTCAAAAACATATGGAGCACCGCTATTTTTATAATTCTGGAATGGGAAGAATTTTCTTTTAGGGCACTCCTCTGCTCCTTAATTTTATTGTATAAATTGCTTTAATAAAATAATCTAATGTATTTGTTGAATACAATAAAATTTATATATATTTATTTAAATCTATGAAACTATTTATTATTTTTTAATGTTGAACCAAGTTTTATATATTATTTAAGTTCAAATTATAAAACAGAAAAACCATGGAAGACGATATCATTTTATTCATAAAGATAAAAGTTATTGTAGTGAATGAAATAAAATTCTTATCCTACAAGAAATAGTTTTCTCTGCTAAATGAGATGGAATGTTTAACCATAACTTAAAATGGATTAAGATTTTCAACTTTTGGATATCATCTTTATTAGATTTGATACAGAGAAAGCTATAGAAAATATTAGATTTAAAATTGTATCCCAATGTTCATTTCAAAAATCCAGTTTAAATGGCAAAATATATCCATAAATATAATTAATAAATTGGCAAGATATTTGATATTTCCAAATACCACAAGATGAAATTTATATAATGAATTTATGATATTCTTAATATGTGATCTTGATAATTTATTTGATAACACAGAACTTATACTCTATCTCTCAGGAACATAAATCTATTAGAGAATATAAACAAATATCAATATAATCGTTATTTTTCGAAATGAATAAATTTCAGGTTATGAAGCCTTTGTTAAAAACCTTGAAGATTCTTGAGAGTTTAATTTAGCAGATTTATGGGTTTCCCAATCTTTTATAGTCTATTATACACGCCATTGATAAAAGGTCATAATTTTATATAATAAATTATATATTTTTGAATAACCTAAGATTTTCACAAGTTTATAATGGTAAAATCTTATATCCATTCTACAATAAAATTGGATTAAGAATGCATAAGTAAGGATAAAAATAAATAAATTTAATAGAACAAATTCCTAACACAAAAATATCTACAATTACACCGAAAATACTCTTGAATGATTTACAAGATTTTTTTGGATTCAATCAAATTGATTATCAAGAAGATAATAATAATTAATATATTAGACAAATTTTTTTTTAACAAATTGTGACAATAAATTTTATGAGCTTTTAAAAAAAATTATGCCCTTTTCTCTAGTACTCTCATTGAGCATTTCTAGTATTACTAAACAGGTTTTTGGCGACAAGCCTGGTTGTTTATTAGATTCCAATTTAGAAAATTAGCTACTGTTAAAAGCAAATAAATGATCATAAATTTTTTTGACTTAAAATATATAGATAAAAAAATGATTTTGTTTTGGGTTTTTTATATTATAAAAATTAAAGAAGTCGCGCCCTTTTTTTTTATTTAAAGCGGGAGCGCTTCTTTTAAAAACTCAGGAATCGGGAGTTAGCTCTTTTTGAAATGATAGGAGCAGGAGCTAACCCCTTTTAAAAATGGAGCGTTAACAACTCTATCTCAAATATATATTATTTTAAGAAATATATTTTTAATAACCACATTAATTTTATTATATATAAATTTTAGTGTTTCACATTGATGAAAATGGGTGGAAGAAGATAGGAAGCTATGATGTCTTTGATTTGTATTATAAATATCAAGAAATGCATGATTTTAAGCCAGTTAATTCCCATGTCGCCTTCAAATAAAATATTTATATAAATGAATTCAATTATAAATATTTTATGTTAAAAATATAAGAGATTTGTTATTTTTTACAATTCCTATAGTAAATAAATAAAAATAATTTTTTGGAATATTTTATTAGTATAACTTCAAAAACAAAATAGTCTTGTTGATTCATAAATTATTTTATATTAAAAAAGTTAGTGGGAAAACCCCAAACTATTATGATTTTCTTTCTCGTATAACTCTTATAAATTCTTTCAACAAGCTTAAAACGAGTTTGTGGCTTTCTAAAAGTTTGTAAAAAAGAAGTATTTATATTTGGTAGCCAATCAAATTAGAGATAATTAATTTCGTACCTTTTTAATTTACTTTTTTCATTTTATTATAGGATATTTCTTTAAGATAACCACAATTTTTTTTAAAGATTTTTCATTTTTGTGAATAACTTTTATCAATTTTTGTTGTATTTGTATTTGCCCCGTTAAAAAAATTTAAATTAGTGAAGGCCCAGTCCTGTTTTCTTGATTGGGACCATTGTTTAATTTGAATTGTTGTGGCTTGGTCCTTGCAATCGGTCAGGGCTTATAGAAAATTTGTTTTTATAATTCAATCAATTACAGTTTCTTATGAATAATTATTTTTCAGGTTAATGTTAATAATATCGAGCAAGATGGTAAAATCTTTCATATGTATTTGGTCATGCTCCTCTAGAATAATAAATGAAAATTTTCAACTTATAATATTTACAGGTATTCATACCCATAATAAGGGGTCAGATCTTAATATTGTGGCGTTTGGTTTGGTATTCTAGCCTAGCTGGGTCTCATGAATTGTTACCTTTGCTATTGTGAATTTATATTTATGATAGCTCAAAAATTATTTGATTATAAAAATAACTATTAATCAACTAAATCATACATAACCCTTATACATAATGGTCTAGGTCCCTGAATTTAGATAATTATCAATGGAAACAAAAATTTTAAGAAAGATCTGTTTTTAGATATAAAAAAAATATCGCAGTGATCTATGTCATTTTTATACTTCCATTTTAGAGTTTAAAAAGCGTGCTCATCATATTGATATTGGCAATTATAATTTGTACAAAATTTCTCTTGCATTAAGAAATGACAAAGATATTATGTTATATGCTAGGTGATCTAATTCCATTACAATTATATAGAAAAATACATCACTAAGGGAAATAAATATTGATAAGAATTCAACATTCTTAAAAATTTCAGGATCATTTGTGTTTATTTAAACGCTTAAATAGTAGGGTAAAGAGGAAAAACAAGAGGGGTTCAGGTTTGAAATTACTTGAACTAAGCTTCAGGTTTATTAAAAATTTATTTTTAATTATTCACACTATAATTAAATTAAGAGTCTTAACATACATAATCTATATACTTTTTGAATAGTATAATGACTATCTTTCATGGGCTATAATTTATTTCTTCAGTATTTTCAAAATTACCAATATTTAAAAAATAATTTTTCAGTATAATATACTTTGATATGAATAACAATTGTAATGAAGGGATTATTCGCAAAATCTTGGTAGGAAATATTTTTCAGACTAAAATATTAAGTTAGTCATTAATAGGCTCAAATTGCGCTGTTTAACAAACACTACCTCCACCACCTCTTTAGCAAAATTAGCTATAAACTGACATCTAATTAGTGATAGCTAAGTTAAAGCTAATTAGCAATAGCAATTATTTGAAGCCAATAACAAATTGGCTAAACATAACCGATATTCATGGTATCAGTTAATACTCAATAAGATCTCTAAACTGAAGGAAGTAAGGTATTTTTTTTTATTTAGTTTTTTCACATAAATGATAATTTGTTGAATTATAATATAATGCATCATTTTTTGGAACTAATATTGGGCATAACCAGATACATAGTTGTATCAATGACAATTATTGGCTAAAAAAGGTTATATTAGTTATCTCTGCTTTAAAGAAGAATTTAGTATTCACCCATAGTACCAAAAATAAAAGGTATAAGCTATATCACATATATAGGGCAAATAACATTACTGGGCTAGGTGTCATTGCATCTCTCACTTATATAATCAATTTATTTTACTTTTGTTTAATTATAAGATGTTTATATTATTTTAATAAACACTCTTAGTTATTCATATATTGTAAACTATAATAAAATGACAAAAATCCATATATAATTTATGAGCAAACTTAACAATATGCATCTTATTTTAAATAAAAATATATCCATGATATTAATCAGCCTTTTGGTTTTAATTTATTATTTCTAATCCTTTCTCGTTCTAAGCTAATATTCATTTCCTGTTCATTATGCATTTTTAAGGTATTTTCAATTTCTTCATTTAATTTTACAATTGTCTTCTGTAAATAATTTTTAAAATAAATAAATGAAGTATTTATACACTCATTTCAATTTCAGCAATTTTTCTTCTATATTGTCCCCCATTTAATGGTGTTGGTCTTCCATCTATTACATTTTAAAATTATTTATTAGACAAGTTTTAAATAACCTAAGTAAGACCAATCAGGCCCCTTATTTAAAGTTTGGAACTTTTTTAATGAAGACTTTATGGGCCTAGTATTTTTGGTTTAAATTATTTATATTTTTTATAAAAACTTGAGTTTTTTTATATTTGATATCTCAAAATAAGTTGACATATATTTAAAGTTTAATAGCACATTTTTAATAGCAAGCATTAGAAAATAATTTTAAAATATTTGACAGGCCATTTACGTGATACTTGATAAAAGCGTTTTCGCCCTCTGGTTGTGGATACAACAGAGCTACGCTAAGGTTTTCCTCAAAAATCCATCAAACTGGATAGTTAATTAAGGGGACTAGGATATTTAAATCAATCATAATGATAGGCTACGTGATTGACGATATCTAAAAAATACTAGGATATTGAAAATCTATTAATTCATTGATAAAATTATATGCTCTTTTTCAATTACAAATAATTAGGAAAAGGCAAGGAATTCTATAATTACTGATATTAACAAACTTTTATCGGGGAAGAGCTTTCGGTATTCGAACTCAAGTCTAATTTATTTAATTTTAACAAGCACTGTCAAAGTATTATCATATTTTTAAACATAGGCATGGCCAGAATGCTTCAAGTGGAGGGCCATAGACGTAACCGGGGGGGAGGGAGGGGCAAAGGGAAATCCCCCTTCAGAAATTTATCACTTTTTGTGAATATCATTTTAAGCAAATAAAAAATACCCCCTTAGTCCTTTCCCCCCCCCCTTCCTGACCCTCAAAAATGAATGCTTATATCTTAAACAATAATATGAAAGAAAAAATGTAAAAGTTAATATTTTTTATAAAACTATTCATCATAATTTATATATATTTGGAAAAAAACATTTTTATATATAAAAAGTGAACCAAAAATGTTTTTTAAGAAATGGAACAAAGATAAGTCTTAAGACAAAAGTGAAATCTATTATAATTAGTAATAATAATTGCTAAAAAAATTTCGAGCCGGGTGGGGTCGGATCTTGGAAATTTTATAAAATATATCTAAATTTGTCAATTTTATATTGAATTTTTTATGTAAAATAAAAATTTTTGATTTAATTTATTGAAACTAAATGCTATATAACATATGTCTTTTATATAAAGTAATTATAAAAATTAATTTCTATATTTAAATATATTCGGGCCTGGTCGGGCTGGTAAAATAAATTTCGGGTTCGGGCAAGGACGGCAAAACTTTTTTAAAAAATTTTGGGTTCGGGCCGGGCCGGCAAAACTTTTTTAAATTTCGGGCCGGACCGAGCTTGAAAAATTAGGCCCGATGCAGATCACTATATCAAATATAATTTTTTATAAAGTGAGTAATTTTAATTTATTTATGTTAATGAAAGTAAAATATAATTATAAAACTATTGATAAAATTAAATCATAAATTAAATAAAAAAATAAATGCATAAAACAAACATTGGAATATGATATGTCGTAGATTTATAGTATATCTAATTTTATCAATTATCATATGACAATCAAGTAATTTTTACCAATATAGTGAATTATATATTTTACACAAAACTATAAAATATAAGGACATCAGAAAATATCTTTTAAAGACATTGTGGGATAAATAATATGAAAATTAATTTTTAATATCATTTTTAATTAAAATAAATAGATGGCGCTAAATAATTGTATGCATATTGTTGCTATATTTATTATCAAGAGAATTGATTAATAAAATTTATTGAATATTAATTGTAATATATTCTCTAACTGTCAAGTATGTCTGTAAATGTGGAATTTTATTTTGTATTATGTAACCAATTCTATATAATGGAGGAATAACAACTATATGTCTACTTACTTTTTATAAATAAATTTCTTATACTTGTTTGGAATAAATTATTACCATGCTATTATAATAATGTATAAAAAGTAATTTATTATATTTTATATAAACAAATAAAAATATATTTCATATTTGTTCTAAGCTAATTTATTAAAATTAACCTATTATGTTGTAAAAATATTTTATGACTATATATAGACTAAAATAACCCTGCCGAAGGCCCGGCAAAAGCGGGCCGAAGGCCCGCCCAAATGGGATCTGGGGGCGAAACCCCCAAGTAATTTTTTAATTCCCCTCCCCTTAGGAAAATCCTGGCTACGCCTATGGGAAGCACTAATTATATAGATCCTTCCCGTAATAGTTGGAGGTCTTTAGGTCCACATTTTTTTTTAAGTTGGGTATGCTATATTTCTATAAAATTTAATCCCCTTTAAATAAAAAATTTTTAATTCAAATTATTTTATTAGTCTAAATATTTTTAATTTATTAAAATTGTAGCTTATTATATATATTATATAAATATTTAGGAGATATGAAGGATGGGAGTAGGTGTCTGCAATGCCCGGCACCAGAGGCTCCAATTTATAAAATGTCTTTGGAGACTGAAATATTTTTATAAATATTTTCATAGCAAAAAAAAACCTAATCATATTTTAATAATTGTATCTTCTTCTTCATTAAAATTTAAAATTACGATATGATTTAGTTGCTATTTCATCGTAAAACGCAGCGTCTACATGACAGAATTTTCACTAGATGCAAACCCCCTTCAAAAACCTTTGCCTACCCCCCTGAAAAATTTACCACCTGCCAAATATCAATATTTTGTAAATATAAAGGATTTATATAAAGGATTTATTTTGTAAATATAAATGATTTAATTTGTAAATATAAAGGATTTATTTTGTAAATATAAAGGATTTATTTTGTAAATATAAAGGATTTATTTTGTAAATATAAAGGATTTATTTTGTAAATATAAAGGATTTATATTGTAAATATAAAGGATTTATATTGTAAATATAAAGGATTTATATTGTAAATATAAAGGATTTATATTGTAAATATAAAGGATTTATATTGTAAATATAAAGGATTTATATTGTAAATATAAAGGATTTATATTGTAAATATAAAGGATTTATATTGTAAATATAAAGGATTTATATTGTAAATATAAAGGATTTATATTGTAAATATAAAGGATTTATGTTGTAAATATAAAGGATTTATGTTGTAAATATAAAGGATTTATTTTGTAAATATAAAGGATTTATTTTGTAAATATAAAGGATTTATTTTGTAAATATAAAGGATTTATTTTGTAAATATGAAGGATTTATTTTGTAAATATAAAGGATTTATTTTGTAAATATAAAGGATTTATTTTGTAAATATAATGGATTTATTTTATAAGGATTTATTTTGTAAATATAAAGGATTTGTTTTGTAAATATAAAGGATTTATTTTTTAGATATTCAATTAAAACCTCAATTATTTACAATGAATTCATTATTATAGCATTTTGAGCTTGCTAAAATATCTAAACCTTTTAAATTATATTTAAAAGGATAGTAGAATTTGGAAAACAATGTATATGATTGTTTGCAATATATAGATTTGGTCGATGAATTGTATTATAATTGTTCTATAATAAAACTATTAATTTCCTATTTCATCTCAAATTTAATAGATAACCCCCAAAAAATTTATCCTAACCCCATTAAAGCCGCCTGCCCCCTACTCTCCTCAAAAAAATAGGATGCAAAATGTTCCTATCCCTCCCGCTCATGTAGACGCTGGTAGAACGTAAGTAAGGTTTAAGACGTTTTTGTCCTTAAAAAGACCATTCTGTAGAACAAGCACATACAGGAATGTTAATAACATTTACTCCAAAACAATAGAAATAATTTCTTTTTTACTGTTATTTTAATATAGTTATGGCGTCTTCTAAAGATTTTAAAGTATATTTTCTAGGTTTAATGAGCATCCAAAAACATATTTTTATGAAGAATCAGATGATCTATTTCGACAAAATCTTCATAGAATACTAGAACATGATTTCCAAAGGCAGATTATTTTACCCTAACTAAATGTTCTATTACTGGATCGTTGAAATTAAAACAAATTTTTATGCAATTGTATGATCTAAAGTTTTATAATAAACTTGTCTATGATATACATTAAATAACCCGAAATAATGATATGATAAATTAGAGCCTTCTTCGAATCTTAAAGGCACTTTTTTCCATGTCGCTTCAACATGGACACCTCTAAATTTACTTTTAATTAAATTAATATCATCTAAACTATCATCTTGTAGAATTGCATCTAGATTAATGTTAGATTTCTATTTTATTTTTAACATTTTAAAAATGTAATGAAAAACTTAGTATAATCATTTATAACTTATAATACGTATTATTATTATCATTTTAAGTGATAAAAATTTTTTAAAAAAGCATTATTTGGTTTAATAAATTTATTGTTCTTGTTGCATTGCAACCTCCGAAATGTATTCATATGGCCTTAAAAATATTAACTATCATTTTTATCTTAGATGGAACAAAATATCCCATGAGTTTGGGAGAAGATCGAATAAAAGATCATAAATCTTTCATCAATACTATAAAATTGCGAATTTTTAGTATTAAATAGTGCTGCATAATTCAGAAAAGAAACTCGTTACTTTTGAAAGGACAGTAACGCGTTACTCGTTACTTAAAAAAATACTAAATATTATATATAAATTATCGTTTTATTTATTTATTTCTCCATAGATAATAAAATTAAAATTATACAAAAATAATATATTATAAGATAAGTTATTTGTAACAATTCTTAATTTATTTTTAACAATTAATTTCCAAAATTTATATCAGATAAATAAAGGCATTTAAGCTCAACATAGCTTTCGCTGTGCTAATAGCACGTTTATTGGTGCAGAGGTTGGTGATGGGGTTGGGAGGGTTGTATTATATTTAATAAATAGAATTTTTATTTGGGGAATTTATTAAAATTTCAAATAATGATTTTCAAAAAAGCTTTATAGATCATCTTTATATTTTCATATCATTGACAGTTTTTTAAAAGTCTTTAACAAAATTTAAATTTTTACCTTCATGTGTTTTTTTTGGATTTGAACTGCTGGACATTGATGTTGGAAGATTTAATTCAGGGTGCAATCTACACTTACAAGATATAGATTTATTGCCAATTTTATTCATTATTTGTATAATTTACAAAAAAAGATTAAGAATTTTTAGTAGAAAATATTTTGGCTGAGCATTCTCAAAAAATAAAAATTTTTATTTTATTTATCTTCAGAGTCATAAATCTTTGAAATTTTTTTGTTTTGAGAGTTTGTAAAACCCCTATAAAAAATATCAGAGCGTTGCAGAAATACCATTTGCACTGCCCGGCCCCGGATTTTTTTTTCCAAAAATTTTTCCATGTTTTA